CCAATGAATTTAGAAAACTTATCACTAAATTGTATAATATAAACCTAAATTTATTTCAAATAAAAGCATTTGAGTTTTCTGATGACCTGATAAATTTGATTCACATAAAAATTAAAAAATTGTAAGATTACTATTGATTACTTAAGCATATAAACATAAGTAAAAACACATGCAGGACTAATTTATTAATCAATTTATAGAGTCTTCCTAATGTAAATAAAATTTAATCTATATTTATAATTTTATTTTACTTAGATGTCAACCTGATCTTTAAATTGAGATGTAAAAAATTTTAAAAATGTAATATTTAATAAAATTAAATTAAATACCCAATTAAAAAAACTACTCTCAATAAAAAGTAAAATGATTAAAAAATTATTAGTACTTTCTCTTTCAGTAGCCTTGATTTTTGCTGGCACCCCTGGTGCAGATGCTACTTGTAATTCAACTTCTGACTCTACTACTTGTGGTTCAGCTGGTGCAAGTACTTGGACTACAAGTACTACAGGTGGCAAATTCAAAATTACTGATTGTACTGCTGTGGGTGGTAGCTTATCAAATATTTTTGATACTTTTTGTACTTCTTGCCCATAAAGTGGAAATACTTATGCTAACGCTGCTTAAACTGGATGTAGTTCCACACCTTCTGCAGGTAGTAATGTTGCATGCTAATCATAAGGAAGTTGTCCTACTTCTAGCTGCGGTGCCCTCCCTTCTGCAGCATTTACATGGACAAAAGCTTCAGATACAACAAATTGTGTGATTACATCTTGCTTAGCTGCTCCTATGCCTAATTCTGGTTTAACAGATAACTTCTGTACTTCATGCTCAAAAAACAAATTCGCTAATTCTTATGGTACAGCTTGCGTAAATCCTACTGGTGGAAATTGCTCTAGAAATAGTAATTGGACTGATAGCGATTGCCAAGTATGTAATGCAGGTGGTAAGAACTCTGCTAATGTTAAAGCTAGTTCAGATCATACATAATGCGTTGCAGCTTCTAGCAGTAGTTCTTCAGTTATAGCTGTTTCAGCATTGCTAGTAGCTTCTTTACTTATTTGAAAATAAGCAAAATAAATCTAAATACAATCATTATTAAACATTTTTTGAGATTGTTGGCGTACGTGTGTATGATAAATAAATAATGTTATTTAGGTATATATCTATATATATGTATGCTGATTTGATTTCAAAATTAAGATTTAATCTTTTTAAAATTTTATATTTTAAAATATAAATTAATTAAATAAATATTTCCTCTAACGTTACAAAGTAATTATTTTTATGATTATTAATTAATATTTATGCAAGAAAAGTTGTTAATAAATTTTACTATTTTTTTATTGATGAATAGTTTAAAAATAATATGATAGCTATTTCACCAGCAGGAGTAACAAATAGGTGCCATATAAATAAATTTTACAAATTAATTTTTAAATATTTTGTTACAAAATTATGAAAAATGCTTGATTATTTAAAATGTGAAGATCTATTGTATTAATATTAAAAATTTTAAAAATTCGTATGTTTAAATTATAAATTTGTCAATTTAAAACTTCAGATTTGGAATTTTATTAATTTATCCAAAATCTAAATAGAAATTTAGAAGAAAAAATTGATTCAAATTTATCTAAATCAAGAGAGAAAAGTTGATTCTTTCTTTCTTCCTAAAAGGCATTATGTTTTATTTAAAAACTTTAATATTTACATTTTTATATTATAAAAAAGAGCTTTAAATTCCATTTAAAAACTTTAATCTTCTGATTACAATTAAATTTATTTTTTACTTATTCTTTAAATAAAAATGTCTCTACATAAAATGCAATATTTAAGCATAACCTTTTTGTTAATTTTAAATTCAATATAAAAATGTCTAAGTAAAATATATTTATTCCTTTAACTTCTCAGCTCCACCTAAAATATATGTTTTTTAATTTTCTAATTAAAAATAAAAAGAGAAAATATTATCATAAATATTTTATTATTTCATAAATAAATAAATCATAACGAATATTATTTGATAAAAGATAATATTTTAAAATAAAAGATTATGCACTTTTTATTATTAATCTTTATAGTTTTATCTTTAATTCTATTATATATCACCCTAAATTAAATATTTTATTCAATGCATCTTTAATATGAAACCTTAAAGTAAAATCAATAATAATATAATAGGGATAAATAAAATGTTTGATTCATCCAAAAATTTTTGCAAACTGAGGGTTGGTAGCATAAAGTCTTTTTATGGATATTGAATCAAAATTAACTATGAAAATTAGTAAATTTGAACTAATAAATTCTTATTTTAATTTCTAAAAAATACTGCTTTTTATTATCTTACAGCCACTCATAGAAACCATCAGAGACAAGACAAAATTAATTAGTTTTTTTTATTTTAGTTTATGTATGACACTTTCTTTGCTGTAACGCATTTAATTACTTGATTTTAAAAATATTTTACAAATATTTTAACTTTATAATATTTTATTAAATATAGAATGTTTATTTTTTATGGGGTAGATTTATTTTATTTATAAAAATTGCTTTATATTTTAAACCTAAAAGTACAATCAAAAATAAAATTCTCTTCATAAACGTAAATCTTGATCAACTTACAAATGTTTACATTTAAAAGATTGATTGTAAAATATCTTTTTTATTAATTTTGAAAAAAGGCTAATTAATTTAATAAATTTCCACCAATTTCTTCTTATTTTAATTTAGAAAAGATTCTGCTTTTAATAGATTCTAATGATCCATAAAAGCCAGATATAAACAGAAAAGTAAAATTAATAAATAGCTTACAATATTTATAAACAAAATTAATTACATTTTTTTTATTAAGTTAAGGTACGCTATTTTCTTTTCTGAAGCACATTTATTTCTTTTTAAAAATGTTTAAATAAAAAATATTCATTTTTTATAGAATATATTTATTTTATTTATTAAAATTTCTTAATATTTTAAACCTAAAAGTAGAATAAAAAATAAAATAATCTTAATAAATAAATTGCTTGATGAATTTAAAATTTTTAAAAATTAAGGATTGATAGTCAAAATATTTTTATGGATTTAAAAGAAAGCTAATCATTAAATTGAATAAATTTGAACTAATAGCTTCTTATTTCAGTTTAGAAAAGATATTTCTTTCTTTTAATAGGTTCTAGTGATTGATAAAAACCAAAAATTAATACCGTAAAAAGCCTCTTACCATCGAATAAGTCATGATTCGAGGAGGGGATTAAGTAAAATTTGGAGCTCTGGGGTACTATATTTTAGGTATCTATCTCAAAGCATCTGCCAAACGAGGTATTACGGTAGAATAGATAAATAGAACAAATAATCTACAAATTTTTAAATAAAATTTATTACATTTTTCTATTTAGTTTAAGCAAGCAGACTATTTTCTTTTCTTAAGCATATTAAATTTAAAATATTTAACAATTATTTTACAATTTAAATTTATTTATAAAAATATTTATTTATAATAGATTAGATTTTTTTATTTATCTACTCTTAAATTTATTAAATTTTACCTTTATTTTATAACATATTAGTAATTTACTTTAGAGATAAAGTTAAAATATTTAGTATTACTTTCTGCATATAAAAATAATTAATACGTTTATCTATTTAATTGTTTAAGTAAACCCATATAAAAATTAAGTAAGTTATCTAACTAAATGTATTTCAAATGAAAAAATTATACCTTAATATATATGTTTGATTCTCTATCTATTTGATTTTTTTAATTTGTAAAGCTTCAGAAAAAGTTAAGCTTGAAGAAGTTTAATTGATATGCAAAAATATACTTTAAGTAAATGACCAAGAAAATTTCAAAACAGTTAATTAATATTTTGAAGTCTATTATTAATTAATCAATATATCATAATTATTTACAAAAAAGAAATTCAATCATAAAAAATAATTCACGTTTATAGTATATTTTGAGGCATAAAACTTTTTTCTTTTTAATAAAATCTGCCAAATGTTATAAATAATATGAATTTAGGCTAATGTTTAATAATTTGAAAAAAAAATCAAAATATCTTTTATCTCAAATTAAATTGATTTATGAAGCCAAAAAAATGTTTTGACCTCTTGATTTATTTTAAATATGATTAATATTATTTACTCCTCTTAATTATCTTACACTGATTTAATTTAAAAAATCTATAAAATTAGTTTTCAGTTGATTAAAATAACTGGTGTAATAATTATGATGATGTATTCATGATTAATTAATTAAGATTTTAAGAAATGGTAAAAAATTTACAGATTTTCAAAGACTTCTTACATTCATGTATAGTTAATTAAATTTTTTTTGAAAGAATGAATAATTCGTATTAATGTAAAGCTTAAATTAAAGTTAGATATTTCTTAGTTGTTCGAAGTCTGGCTGGTTAACTTTTCTATTTCTCAATAACTCATAAGTTCTAAATTTTAAATTTGAGTAAAGTCAAAAGTCATCAAAAAATTTTGGTGCTTTAAAAATAAATATTTTATCATATAATTATTTTAATTTTTAAATAAAAACATTTGCTTATAACATCCATAGAATTTAGAAAACTTATAACTAAACTGTATAATATTTCCTAAATTTATTTCCTATAAAAAACATTGAACTTACTGATGATCTGATAAATTTGATTCAGATAAAATTAAAAAATTTTAAGGTTATTTATTATTGATTAATTAAGCACATAAACATAAGTAAAAACACATGCAGAACTAATTTATTAATCAATCTATATAGTCTTACAAATTTAAATACAATTTAATCTATATATATAATTTTATTTTACAACCTGATCTTTAAATTGAGATGTAAAAAATTTTTAAAAATGTAATATTTAATAAAATTAAATTAAATAAAATACCAAATTAAAAAAACTACTCTCAATAAAAATAAAATGATTAAAAAATTATTAGTACTTTCTCTTACAGTAGCCTTGATTTTTACTACCCCTGGTGCAGATGTTACTTGTAATTCAACTACTGACTCTACTACTTGTGGTTCAGCTGGTGCAAGTACTTGGATTACAGGTAGTACTGCTGGCAAATTCAAAATTGCTGATTGTAGTGCTGTCGGTAGCAGTTTAACAAACATTTTTGATACTTTCTGTCTTTCTTGCCCATAAGGTGGAAATTCAAATATTTATGCTAACGCTAGTTAAAGCGGATGTCGTAACACACCTATTAATAATGGTGTGAATATTCAATGCTAATAAGGAAGTAATTGTTCTACTAGCTGTCCTGCTCTCCCTTTAGCATTTACATGGAAAACAGGTCTATAACCAAATTAATGTATGATTGAATCTTGCTATGCTGCTCCTATTCCTAATTCTGGTTTAACATTTATATTGTGTGGTTCATGCTCTCCGAATGGCGATAAACCTAACTCTTATGGAACAGCTTGTGTAAAAACTACTGGTGGATTTTGCGATAGAAACTAAGATTGGACTGATGATGATTGCAAAATATGTAATGCAGGTGGTAAAAATTCTGCTAATATTAAAGCTAGTTCAGATAAAACATAATGTGTTGCAGCTGCTAGCAGCAGTAGCTCATCAGTTATAGCTGTTTCAGCATTGCTCATAGCTTCTTTACTTATTTGAGAATAAGTAAAATAAATCTAATTATAATCATTAAGCATTTTTTGATATTGTTAGCCTATGTATGTATAAATATTATTTTTTTTGTATCTATCTATCTATCTATCTATCTATCTATCTATCTATCTATCTATCTATCTATCTATCTATCTATCTATCTATATGTTTTGATTTCAAAATTAAGATTTAATCATTTTACAATTTTATATTTTAAAACATAAATTAATGTAAATAAATATTTCCTCTAACGTTAAAAATTAAAAATCTTTATTATAATTATTAATTAATGCAAGAAAAGTAGTTAATAAGTTTTACTATTTTTTTATTGATGAATTGTTAAATAATAATATAATATGATAATAACATTGATGTAAGTAGAAACTATATTTTTTAATATTTTTCAAACATATATTATTAAGCATATGTGCACACTTTGCTGCCTAAAGAATATATTATTTCTAAATAAAAAATGTTTATAAATGCCCAATTAAATAAGATAAAGAAGAAAAATAGTTTTTAATTTCTAAATTATGAAATAGTGTTTATTTTTACATTCAAAAATTTATTTTTGTTGGAATTTAAGTTTAAATTTTTAAAGGATTTTACAATTTTAGTTAAATGAAAAAAATTTAATATTATCAAGTTTTTTTTTTTAATTCATAAAAAGTATATATTCAAAAATTATTAATAGATTCATATTATTTCAATTATTAAAAACTAAAAAAATAGAAAAAGGTTCAATTATTTATTTTTTAACATTTAAAAATATTACAGCTATTAATAAAAAACCAAAATTAATTAATCTACTAACCAATCAAATAGATAAAAATTTTGAGCTAAAAAGAGTGATGTAAGAATTATTAACTAATTCATCTTGAGAAGATAAGAAAGTAAAAAAATTATCCTAAAAGGAATTTTAAACTACAAAGGTATAATGTAATCTTAATTCTAAGAAATTAATTTAACATACAAAAATATCTCTAAATTCATAACTAAAGTTAGAGAAAGGAACAAAAAACTAAAACATCAGTCAAAGGCCATATAGAGATACTAAATTTATTTTTTTAAAAATAGATAAACTAAAGGATGAATAGCATAAATTAATTTGTACCATCTAAGAAAGTTATTTAACTTAGAATATAACAGTTTTTAATAAATTTGTTGATTTTAATTTACAAAAACTAGTAGTTATAAAAATAAACTTTTTATATTATTTTATCAGAAAAATAAGGTAGATAAAATTGTATCTACTATAAATTTATGTGATAAATTTAATTTTCTACTATAAATTTATGTGATAAACTTTATGTGATGAATACAAACAAGTAAACCTCTAAGTTAAAGTCAAAAAAAAATTTTTTATCAAATTTTCGAACTAAATTTAGAAATAACCTTAACTTAGAAATAAGCATTTATTAATTTAAATATAATTTTCCTAAATAAATATTTACATAATATAGATTAATAGGTATATTGATTAACAAAATAAATAAGTAGTCATTTAATAATAAATTAATTATCATTAGTTGTTTATGTTAAGTTATTTATATATAGATGCTTACATATATTAATAAATTTAACTTACTCATTCATAAATGTTACTATTTATTTATTAAAAGAAAAGAGTTACTTAAGAAAATAATAAAAAATATTTCAAAAGCTATTAATTAAAATAGTAATTAATTATCATTTATTAAGCTGATTTATTGAAAATAAATTAAATCTTAACTTTTTTTTTATTAACAAATATCCAAATTATAAAAAATATTTGAGAGATTTTAGATAAACTTTTTTCATTTCTTAGCTTAATTAAAATAAAAAATTAAAATATTTTTACATTAACTGTGCTTCTTGTTTTTCTCTTTGAGTTTGAATCACTTTAATCCTCTTCTTTAATTTTAAAGTTTTTATTGAATCTAGCATGGGGCTTATACAATTCTTTGTTCGGAACTTCTTGGCTCACTGACTCATGACTATCTTCTTCATTGTTACTTCCTTCCAAATCTATTGATTAATTAGCTCTCGAGTTTTTTGTGTCAACAGATGAATCTGCTGTTTACTACCCTAAAAATTAAAAAACATAAAATTTAGAATTTCATATAGAATAAAATTAGATACTTCTTGTACGAAGACTCATTCTCTACTCATTACTCTGTTATTACTATTTTTTCTAGGGTTTTTCTTAAGAATAAGACTGACTGTTATTATCTTTGTTTTTATCATCTATACTTTGGTTATTACTTTATGTTTTAGCATTCTCAGGTTAATTATTATTATTGCTGTTATTGTTGTTGTTGTTATTGTCATTCTTATTGTTGTTATTTATGTTATTTTCATTATTGCTGCTAACATTATTATTTCTATTATTGCTAACGCTTTCAATATGATTGTTTGGATCTTTTATTAACTGAACGCTGTTTGAGTTTTTGTTATCAACTAAAGATTAGTGATCAAGAATATCGACATCATCTTCTACATCAGCATCTTCATTTTCTAAATCTTCTTATTCAATTTATATATCAATTTCATCATCATCTTCATCATCATCACCATCAATATCTCCATCTTCAGCTTCTTCATCTGAGTACTCTTCTTTTACATCATAGTAGCCATCTTCATGATCTTCTCTAATTGATTCATTTCGGCTATCAGCAAATTCTTTAAAACCAAGTTCTTTACCAAACTTTTTTTCCCACTTTCTAAGAGTCGTAGGGTGGATTCTATATTTATTTGCTACACTTTGCTTGACGCTACCTAATTTTAATTCCATAAGAATAACCTTCTTTTCTGCTGCAGAGTATTTTTCTTATGCACACCTGTTTTCTTGATAGATTCTATTATATTCTTGAATTTCTGGGAGACTCGAGTACAATTTTCTCCATTTTCTGATGACTGAACCACTGACTCCATGGATTTTTGCAGCCTTCATTATGTTTCCCATTTTGAGTGCATCTTTGAGGATCTTTAGTTTTCTCTCTTCTTTTTCTTCTCTGTAGAATTTTCTTCTCTTTCTATTTAGAAGATTGGATGTTCCATTGGTGATTTCTATAATTTGTTTTATATATATCTTAAAGTAGAATTAATTTATATTTCTTTACCCTTATTTTCAACGGCTTGGCTGTAGTTCTATTAATTAAAATTTTAACATCAAGTTATATATAAATCATTATGGTAAATTATTTTATTTACTCTGCTGGATTGGCTTCTTGAATAATTGTAGATACTATTGCTATTATTATTGTTAATATTGTTACTGTAGGGCTTCAGAGTTCTAAGATTCATGCTTGAACCTTTGTTTCTACTCCTAAGTGTATAGGAAGCAGAATCTTCAGCATGCTACTATTCTATTTTGGGAGTGTCAGGAAGCATATTTTGATTCTCTTTAGCAAATATCTGCTCTTTTTACTACTTCTAGTTTAAATTTTCAGCTATGTAATTTTCAGCCTAGGTTTCAAATAAATTAAGATTAAAATGGTGAAATAATAATATATTTAGGTAGGATATGACTGATATTACTGAATGAAATAAAAAAGTGTGTGCTTGCTTTAGACACAAAAGTAAGTAATAATTAGAAATTTACTCTTTGATTCTTTATAATGTCTTTGAAAGCTAGCTTCGATGCTCCACGCAAAGTATTACGAAAATTCTAGAAGGAAGGATCAACTTCTTCGATGTCTATGAGGAATTTCTTGCACTGGTGACTGAAGTTCCTCTGGAGATCTTAAGCTTATAGGATGAGCTTTCGGGTAAGAATGTGTGGAAAGTCTACATTTTCTGAGTTAATAGGATGCTTGAACTTGAGTGACTATTTCGCTGGGTCGAATACAAGGGATTTCCTAAGTGTAAAGTTAGTAATAAAATCAGAATCAGGTTTATAACTATAAACTCTTGCATAAGTCTTGATGGAGGGACAGTACTCGACAATTTTAGATTACATATTTTCAAGTGCATTGACCAGCGTACTTTTCATGACCTCTAACTACTCGTAAGCTGTAATAACAGCACTGTTTTCTAGTTCGTTGTAGCTTTTTTCTTTCAAATCCTAAATCATTTCAGTCCAATTTGTAATTTAACATGCGTATTAGTCCCATTTGTGGTCGCTGCAATTTTCATGTTTTTGCTAGATACAATTGAAGCAAAATAAGGTGTTCCCTCTCTCACATTAACTAAAAGCGCACATTATGTCCATTGGGCAACCCAGACATTAGAAATTTTTGTCAGCAGTTTGACTTTAATTAGGCTACTGCCTTAACTACATATCTACTTATAGTGGTTACTATCCAAATACACCTTCCTTTTTTGAGTTTGCAAAACTTCGCGTTTTGTTTTTAAAATATTTTATTAGTGAATTAGCTGTCTTTTGCTTTTACTCTACTTTAAATCAATAATTACTATCTAATTAATAGCTTGTCAATTTCTCTTCTTTTTGTGAATGAATTAGAGCAAAAGAAATATGTTTGTTTTTTATTTATTAATTAATAATAAATAAACAAATTAAGTTTGTATTTCAAAAAAATCTTCACTTGTCAATTTTTCTCTAAAACAGTTGATATTCTTATTTGTTATCTTAAGCTGTAAAACTATTAAATAAATCATATTACAACATCAAACAATGTTTAATTACTCCATTCTCTCTAGCTCGCTTAAAATAAACAATATTCATCTAACTAACTATCTCTCTCCTCTTTTTTGGATAGAGAAAATATATTTGTAATATTAGATACCCCTTCGCATTTTAATTAAATTATTAAAGAGAAGAAGGAAGGAAGATCGAACAAAAGAAAGACTACTACTTTTTATGAAGAATAAATATAAATTATCAAATTTCATTTGTCATAAATAAGGTTGGTTGATATATAAAATAAAATATTTCGTAGCCCTTTGTAAACAGTATTTCTTCTCAATATACATCTTTTTGTTAACAATCAAGACAATCTTATTAAATATTCAATTTAATGTAATTTATTCACTTCAATTATTTAAATTTTTATCTTATAAATAGCGTCTAATAGGAATAAAAATTCAATCTTTTATAAAAACATTTTAATAAATATTTGAGTGTGATTAAATTTATTTTATACAATTTAATTAGATTATCAAAAGAGTTATTCACTAATGAAAGAATATAATGTTAAAAATGAATAGTAGCTTAAAAGGTGAATAATAAATATTTCATTCATTTAATAATACATAAATATGTTCATATTATATATAAATCAATTAAAACTATATACAAAATAATAAATAGCTGATTACCAAAATACATGAAATGTTATTGCTAGCTTTGCTATAATAATTACTATTGATTGCCTCAACCAAATTTTATAATGTCTTAATTGATGATGATAATCTAAAGATTTATGAAGCATATATTTTTAATTAATTAATTAAATAATTAATTAAAGATTTCAAAAGAATCTTAAACACCTTGGTAAATCGAAAACAAACAATAATCAAAAAACAAATTTCTTAAAAGAAATATCCAAGAGAGTAAAATGCTTGAAGAAAACAACAAAGGAGATTTTATCTAACAAGAATAAGACTAATTTTTGGAAAAGGTAAATTAAATTTATCATATTGGAGAATTTTAATGATTCTTAATTTGATTTAGTTGCTCAAATACGCATCATATATATATTTATTATTCTTAATATTATCAAAAAGAAACGATTCCCTCTAAACTTGCTTAACTCATTTTTGGTCTGTGGGATTTGTGATGGATACTTCCGCTTTGCACACACAATTACAGAATGTGGACACACTTGTAAGCAAGTTGATTATGTTTGGTCAAATTTAGCAAATATGGATTAATTTAAACTAAATTCTTTGCTTATTTTTTGATATCAAATATTTTTTATTACTTCTATCACTAATTTTTGTTTTGTTGTAGTAAATATTAAAATAATATGTTATTTATATAATATAAAAAGTTTGCAAAATATGCATTCATGACTACATCTCCAAAAACCAGAACACTAAAAACAAAAGAAAGTGTCCATCTTGCAAAGGTGAACTTGAAATCCATCTCAGTAAATCCATCAGAAAAGACCCCTACAAACAGCAAATGGTAGATTTCTTGTACCCCCAATTTGCTAAATAAGAGCAGTTGATCGTTAAAAGAGTAAAAGAGCTATTTCCCCTTATTGATTTAGAATTCTTACTTGACGAATTTAACTACGAAAATCGTAAAACATTTTATTAATTTATTTTTTAAATAAATAAATAAATGGAATTTAATTTTATAAATTTCAAATAAATCCTTTTTGTGATAATTTTAAATAAATTAAATAATTACTTAAACAGTCAATCAACAACAATACCAAAGGAAGAAAAAGCACTCTGACTCTCCTAAATTAAACCTTAAAATGGTTGTCGATAAATATCTTAACATTCCCTTTGATAAGTTCGTCTAAGACCTTTATGAAGAGAGCAGCTTTTTAAAAATGAAGCAAATTCTTCTTGAAAAATACCCTGATTACTACAAAAAACAAGCTGATACATCCAACAAATCAGATTAGGAAGAAAATAGCAGTAGTTCCTACGGTAAAAACAATATATCCAGCAAAGTTATAAATTGATTAATTAAATTTTGATTAATTTAAATTAGAAGAAGATAGCGAAGAGAAACAAAAAGATCCTCTGTAACTGAATGGTAAGAGAAAGCCTAGTGTTTAATATGAACAATAAGTCCAAAAAAAATAATAAACAAACTAATCTCCTGCATAGCGTTAAATTTAAGCACCAGCTTAAAATTAAACATAATCAAATTAAGGTAGAGCTCCTTCTCCTCCTTAAAATCAAATTCAAATTCCTCCTACTTAAGTAAAATTAAAGAAGTTCCCCTTCAAAACAAGTGCTCCAACTGAAAGAGCCTTAGAAGTATTCACATCAAAAACAGACAGACACAGATATATATCAGAAAAAACATTAAAGAGTATCTAAGAGCACGATGATACCTTGTTCAAATTTTATGTCAATCCACTTACGAATTTAGAACAGTAAAAAATCTAAATAAGTTAATTAAACAATTTAATTGACTAATATTTTATTTTAATTAATAAGTGAATATGTTGGATTGTAAAATATTTTACGTTTACAGAAGAAGAGTAATGTCCAAGAACTCAGCCTTAAGTAAGTAAAGAGCTTTTTCGTTAAGACCATTAAGGCCCACACTTAATAAAAGAATATTGATATCCCTACAATTTCATCCAATAATGTAAATTACTCAAAAAATAAAATTGAATATAAATTGCTATATTATTCTTAGGTTAATTTGTACTTTTGCGAACAACTTTTATGCGATATAAGCACTCCTCTTAAAGAAATCTATGAATAAGTTAACGATAGTCAACCTTTTATATTTGATTACGAAATTGTTCTTGATAATCTAGAGTAGAATTCTTCATGAAATAACTAATTATAATATAATAAATAAATAACTAGCTTAAGCTATCTTGCTATTAAATAATATCAGAAAAAATGAAAATTTGAAAACTAAATTTGTTTGTTATAAAATAAATAAAGAGAGTTAAAAATACAAGAGCAAAAACCAATAACAAAAAAAGACAATCAAAATAAAAACAATCTTTAATTATTACTAAATTTTAATTATTTATTTCTTTTAAAAGTAATCTTTTACATGCATCTTCCTACTAAATAATGTAGTTAATTAATATTTTCTATATCTTAATTAATATCATGTTTATCATTAAAAACATTTAAATTATCTTTTTATAAAATATCATTATAAATATACAAATTTATTTACATATACTGTCTAATTAATCTTAATTTACTAATTAATTGTTCCAGTTTTTAGAATTTTTTTCTACATTTCAAATTGAAATTATTAATATTAATAACACTGTAATTTCTAAAAATTATCAAAGCCATCAAAATAAAATAATAGCAAAATCTAAAAATTCATTTTTTTGTAATTCTCTTATCCATTTTTAAATTTTTCATATGGTTAAAGTTTTTTATGGAATAAGTAATATTTAGTTATATAATTCTTTGGTATTTTTTACTAAACAGTAAAAGTTAAAATCTATTATCTTATAAGTAAAAACTTATTATTTATTTAATTAGAATTAATTAATATTAAGCAATATTAAAAGATCTTTTATAAAATATATATTAAATTTTTAAACATTTATTTTTAAAATCTTATTTAAAGTAAATATCTTGTTAATTACTAATTAAATTAGTAAGGTTTATAATAAATTTTCAAGAAATTTACTAATGAAAATTAAAAATGTATTTTTCAATAAAATCACTTTTAAATATGTAAGCAACTAATATATAGAGAGTCTTAATATTTAGATTGCAAAAATTTTATAAAAAACCTTAAATAAATAAATAAATAATTTATTGATATATTTTTTATTTTGGAAAAAATACTCTTAAATTTTAAGATAAAAAATAATTTAGTATTAATTAACTTTAAACTATCTATTAGATTGTATTTACTTGTTTTTAAATAATATAGCTTTTAACTAACAAAAATAATTTTAAATCTTGTTAAATCGAGTTAATCCAAGATTATATTCTTAAATATAAAAAAATATGTATAAATTTGTTATGAGAAATTGATTATATATATATAAATACTTTTTAGCATTTTAAAAATTAAATTAAACACTAAAATAGAAAATTAATAGAAATACAGATAGATAGACATTCTGATTGATTGATTTATTTATGTTTCTTAGATATTTATTTTCATTACCTATATTTTTATCCTATGCTTACAACTACACCCTTTTTTTATATTATATATTGTTAACGACCTTCATTTAGATAAATTATTAAAATTACTTTAACTTTACTTCTGATTCTAATTGTTCCTGTAACAGAACCATTTTGAGACTCTGCGCTGATGTTTATGAGGAAATCATCACCTAATATTATATAATTTAAATTTAGTTTAAAGTTATTTCTTTATCATTTTTTTACCTAGCTTGGTCTTAGCATAGAAATTGACACAAATTACTGTAGCATTTTTGATTTCCTCTTCGTCGTTAAGCATATATAATTTAAATTATTCTTTGAATTAGAGGAAGAATTATAACATCTCGCTTTTTTAGACATTAAAATAAATTTTAGTTTTAATTAATATAAATAAATATTTTTTTAAATTTTATATTAAGGTTAATTATTAAATAATTATTTACATCTTTTGAGGATTGATGACAATACGGTTTTCCCATTCATACTTAGCCCACATTTCTCTATAAGAATTAAAATCTATTTCTGCAGGATATACGAAATCAATTAGGTCAATATCTATTTCTTTAGTGATTAAATAAGCTTGTTCAATACCAGCAATATTTTCGTAGTTGATGGCACCGAAAATAACTCCTATATCTATTGAGGTGAATTTAAGAGAAGTTTTTACATAAGCACTTTAGTTAGGTTATAAGGTTACAGCCTATGCCTTCTCAATTACTCTCTTTTAATCATTTTCTTGAGTGAAGAATTCTATTTGAACTTTTTGTAAGGGCTTGGTTGTGCGATTTATTAACAAAGTTTCGAATTAAATATCATATTTATGAATGTAAACAAATGATTCAGCATAAATTGGATCACTATATCCAGTTAATTAGACCAATTTATTTAATTTGCTTGCAAAATCATTGTCTTCTCCAACTCCTTTAAATTCTATTTAATTTATTTCTTCATCCTACAAATCTAAATCACCAATTTCTGCTTGCTTACCCCTTTAAGTTTACATTTAAAAAGTTAATTATTACAATTTTATTTTTTTATTTACTTCAAGGCTCTAATAACAATTAAATCATCAGGCTATTTGGCAATATGTGAATCTTTCTTTTCTTCTCTTTATTGTTCAAGATCAGTTCTCTTTGTCAATTTCTCTTTGTGCTTCACAATATTTTCATTGCTTTCTAACCATTAAATCTTTTCATTTACAAACTTCTTAGGCTCAGTCAATAACTTAACACCAAGGTATATTTTTTCAAGAGAATCTAAATCATATTCTTCATTCTAAATTAAATATGAATAATTTTAATACATTTTATAATATTGCAATAATTTATTCTACCTTCTTGCTTTGCTTAGCAGTGTACAATCTAATCAAAGAACAGAAAACTAACAAAATTTAGCTAGTGTACTTGTTGTATTTCTTAGCATCAAGCTTGATCTTGAAAACCAGCTTTAGTAAAGTACGGGCAGCAATACTACCTATGTAAGAATATTGAGAAAGAATAATTCTGAATTAAGAATCTTGTTGTTCACTAGCATCAACTGATTATTCTATTTTTTTGTAAAAAATTATGGTAATTATTTATTTTTTATTTTTAAAAAAATTAGAAATTTATAATAATTTATAAGATTATGATTTAATTTATAGATTTACTTCTTGCTTCCTTTTCTTCAATTACTTCAGTACCATAGCTACCATCAGCTAAAATGACTGTTTTGTATTTTTTTTAAGTAGGTTTAGGTGCTTCTTTTTCTTCTGACTTTTGGTCGTCGGTAGTTTATTAAACATAGGTGATTGGAAGTGAACCAATTGCTTCTAAGATTTAATCTAAGCTACGGGTGACTTATTCTCCTGAGGAGTATTCACCAAGAATCCAGAGAACACCATTGTATATGTAAGGAGATGAGATGTCTCTAAATCTTTCTAACAACTTTGACATCAAACGCTCTCTGCTTTGAGGATAGGTTGTAACAATTCCAGTAAGGATTCTTTTTACTTGATCTTAAGTTTTTTGTTTTAAGCCACTGTTAGTTAAGAATACTTCGTTGATCAAATTCATAACATCGTCTAAAACGCTTTCAAAGTTAAAAACGCAGTACTCAACAAAATCAAGAAGAATCTTAGTAAATTCCTTTCCACTAATAAAAATAATATAATTAAAAATATGATGGCAATCTAGCTAAAAATTACTTTTCTTCAGAAATTGTCTTCTTTACTTCTTTGACAACCTTAGGGAAGATATAGCTGACGTTTCTAGAGTTAGTTAAGCTTGAAATAATATCAATGGCATTTTTACGAATTTAGTTAGAAGGATTGTTCAATACTTTAGTAATTTCAATAACTTGTTCTTCAAGATATTTAGGTTCAATATTGAGAATATATTAAATTTTATCAAGAACTACCATTTTAACATTGTTTTCTGAGTTATTTAACAATAGTTAAACATATATATTAGTGGCTAACTTCAAAGTTGTAGGTGTATTAGATATTTATATTAAAGTATTAGCACACTCAAACTAAACAGAAGGACTACGGGATTTTTAGAAGAATAAAATGCATTTCATAAGCTTAGATTTCTAGCTAGGATCATATTTGCAAGTTTTTCTATTCAAATTAAATAAATATTTAAATGTATTTTTAATTTTATAGAAAAAAATAGAATAATTTTTATTTATTGAATTTATTAGACGATATTTATTTTTAAAATAAGTGAAAGTATCTCTCAATTTTGTAAAATTAATAAAATCCTCCTTATTTTAGTTATCAATAAAATTATTGATATTCTTAATTTGAGGTGAAAGGTTAATCATAACATCCACTGTTTAATTTGTTGTTTCTAAAAATATTGCACTTTATTGACTTATGGAACTTAAAGAAAGTTGCTTAATTTATATTTTGTTTTTAAAATCTATCTAGGTTTTAATTTCAAGTTTAATTGCTTTTTTGTTTCATATTAAATTGGAATATGAATTTATTTTTAGAGTTTAAAATGAGTAATAGATATAATAATATTAATATCGAAAATTATTGATGAGAATTTAAACCAACTATTGAACTATTAATTAAATAATGAGATCTAAAAACCTAAAATTTGACAAATAATACTTGTGTGTCTTTCCTTTTTAAGTACACAATCAATAACATTGCCTTTAGTATTTTTATATTTATATATGTTTACAATAATTAAACCATTTCTTTTTTATTGCTTTATTTTGTGGTAATTTTATTTATTTAACATTATTTCTAACTCTTTGCTACTATACATTATGCTTTATTCAAAGAATGAATGATCAGTCAATTTGTTGGCTATTTAACTAAATACATTCCAATTCCAAATTATATATATAAAAGGAGGTTGAATCTTTAAGTCTTAAATTTAAATTGAGGAAAATCGTTTGCTTTTGTAGACAATATCATTTTTTTTGTATCCAAAAAATATTTTGAGTATTAAATTACCTAAAGAGTTCCAAGACTGAAAGTTGCATGATGTCTCCCATTTCGTCAACTCTATCATCTTAAATAATTTAATAGAGGTAAGCCATAGCTTTCTCAAGGTTGGTATGATAAAGAAGTAGGAAAGCGTTTCTTTTGGTTGACAAATCAGTTTCGTTTTAGAGGACCTTTTCCATTTCAGTATCGATATCATTAATCAGATCATCACCGAAATTTAAAAATATTTAGTAAATAGCGATAATAGCATTTCTTCTAACATAAGTGTGCTTGTGATTTAAGCTTTCCATAATACTTGAAATTAAAGGCTCTAAAATACCCTTATACATAATTCTTGAAACCAAACGAAGAGTTCTTCCTCTTAAATACTCGTTTGGATGCAACAAGTCTGATCTCAAACTGTTGCAAACTAAAATCATTTCGTCTTTAAGCTTACCATCTTTATTGACCTTCTCAATGATCTATTTTTATATTCATTTTATAATAAAATTAATATGCTTCTTCTTATTTAATATTCATCATTTCAAGCTCAAAAACATATTCATAGATATTTCTAAATGATTTCATTTATATTTATTTACTGCAAAATCAATTAAAATAAATTAATTTATCTGGTTTTTATTCAGCTTTTGAATATTTGCTTGCTTTCATGATAAATATTGCTCATAATTTATTGATCTATTTATTTATTTACTTCCCAGTAGTACAACAAAATCTTCTTGAGGTCATGGTTTTCAGCTTGATAAGGAACCAAGTAAGTTATAATAGTCATGGTCAATTTATCAAAATTCTCATCCTGAATAATTGCATAAATGAGGGACTTAAGACCTTTAATCTTTTCTTCATATTTTCCCATAAGAAGAGTCTTAATTTCTTAAGGAGTGAGCTGCTCTTATTCAGCTCTAATATAAATGCTACAATAACGTTCTTTGTGCTCGCTAGCTTATTATATATTTGCTGATGCCATCTTTCTTTGAACTTACTAAGTTGCTTATAAAATTAACTTTTGTAATATATTTCTTATTTTATTTGCCTTTTTATTTCTATTAAATATCTTCTTTACCTAAAACAGTATGTGAATTTATATATTGATTTATAAGGTCGTTTATTTGTTAATTAATTTATTTAATTACTTGCATGCATATTAAGTGCTTTACTAAATTATTGATATTCTTAAATAAAACAAGGATAATAAATTAAATTCATTTATTTATATCAGATATTGTTTTTTGTATGCTTTTTCTCTAAATAATCACTTTCTTTTATCATCAATCTAATTAATTAAAAATTAGAATGAAAAAAAAACTTAATAATACATATATTCATTCATTTTTCAATTATTCAATCGTATGGTTCAACGCGTGTAAACAATCATTTCGGATTCATTCAATATATTTATTTTTTTTTATTCAATTTCAAAAGAAGAATGCTTTTCTAATAAACTCCTAAATATTCATTTTTAATTTAATACACTCAACTCATTATTTTTTTGATTGGTTTTCTATTAAAAAAAATAATTATTTAATGATTAAAATTTAATTTAAATACTTACAAAAAAATGTTGAAACAAACTTATTCCAAAATTAATGATTATTTAAAATAAAATTTGACACATAAATTGAGCTATATTCAGGTTTTTTAAATTTATTTGAATAGTATTCTAAATCGAGTGATATAATTTATTTACTAACTAATTTTATCTTTAAAAATGCACAAAAAAATAAATAAGAAATTCAAATTTAATATCATAAAAATAAATTTAAAAAGGTTAGTTTAGTTTAAATAGAGAATTCTAAAAATCTTAATAAATTAATATAAATAAACGCAAATAATCTAATTTTGGTGATAAAAGATATATAAATAAGTCAATAAAATTATTAAAATACTCAGGAAGATTAATTAAATAAATATCTATTAAACAGAAATTAAAAATATAATTTCAAAAATGAAATATGTTATTTTGAATAATATTGCAATCCTAAGATATATTTCATGTTTAAATTAAATACTTTTCATAGGTATTTAAAGTACTTGTTTAAAATTAGTTTTTGAAATCAGCAAACACAAATGAAATTAAGGTAGTATTTATCATAATTTTTATTAAATTTTTATGAAATATTGAGATAAATATAACCAAATAATATTAAAATTAAGATCAAATTAATTTAAAATATATGAAAATTATAGTTTGAAAAGGAATTAAGTAAACTCAATAAATCAAAAATAATTATCTGAATTTATTTATATTAAATTGTATAATTAAGTTATTTTTTTTAATATTTAATATTATTTAAGATAAAAGAATATTTTATTAGTTTAAATTATTTTTTATATATGCTTACTTAATAATAAATTATTTTTATATTAAAATTTAAAATAATTTTTAATTTCTAAATTACAAGCACAATCAACAATTTAAATTAAACAAACATTTAAAAAATTGTTATATTCAAAACTATTTATTTTATTAAAATTTCAAAATTGATATAAGAAAGTTTTATTAAATTAGATTTAGATTTTAATTTAGTTTAGTAGATTTATTTTTTTGTAAAATAATAAATTTTTTATTCTTGTAATTATTTTGTTTTAAATTGATTTACTTTTTTGATAAAGCTTTTTGAAATATTTAAGAATTTATTGCTCAAAATTACTTATGAAGGGATTAAATAACTACTATTTATAAATTTGATTTATTATACGAAATTAAATATTAATGAGTTTAAGGTTGAGAAGTTTTCATTATTTGACTGATTGAATGAACATCAAAATTATTTTGAAATTAACAAAGATACATTCATTCATTCATTAATTAATTTATTTAAAAATTTTGAATATTTGTTTACATTTTGTATTTGGAATTAGAAAAATGTAAAAATATTTGTTTTGAATATTTGAGAAGTATTTTTTTTTTTTCGTTGTTGTTAAGTTATAGGGAAGAATGAATAAGTTTATATGAAAAATAGTTTTGAGTTAAAAATTTAAATAAAGTACACGCACATATATATGGCATTTAAAAAATATGATATTTTGTATGATATATGAGCATATAGTTTAGTATAATTTATGAATAGAAGTTTTGGTTGGTTGTTTGTTAAATCAAGCAGTGAGGACGCAAGCACCACCGACAGCGACGATTCTTCTTTCAGCAGTCTTGGAGAAGTATTTAGCCTTAACAACGACAGGTTGGTTGGGGAGTCTACCCTTACCCAAAACCTTGAAGAAACCAGCCTTGGTAACATCAATAACGGGGACCTTCTTCTTATCTTCAGCGTACTTTTGTCTGGTAGCATCAGAAACCAAACTCCAGAGCTTGTCGATATTAACAACGGGGCAGTGGAGAGGGTTCTTCTTTAAGTGGAAGGTTCTCATACCCAACTTTCCGTAGTAGCCTAATCAAAACAAAAAATATATTAGTTTTTATATTAAAATAACATCGTTTTAAAATTTTATAAAAAGGAATTTGCTTAAGTAGCAGCATCGTTCAAATTTAACAAAAATGCTTTCTATTTATTTATTCTAAACTCTTTTCAGCTTAACAGTAAGTAAGGAAGAAATTATTCATTCAATCTTATTGAATATATATGATCTTTCTCTAATCAAAAATAAGCAATACTGTTTATCATTACTTCTCGTATTTATAAGCATATCTATCTGTTAATTTGTTTATATCCTTTGATTTATTTATGACTTTGATTCAATTCTATCAATAAAATACTTAGAAACTTCATAGGTATTTATTTGAACTTAATATTTGCTAGATGGCTAATTAATTAATTATTCATTATTTTTTGATAAGTCTTTTCAACAAATTGTGTGTGTAGAGGAGCTAGCTCAGATAGAATTAATTTTGGATTCATTCAGTAAACCAGGTGAAAAATTCGATTCATTGAACTTTTAAGTTAATTACTATCAAGAAAATTTTACTTATTTTAAATTTCTTATTTTTAGCTGCAATTTTTCAATTGTAAATTGAACAAAAATTTGTTGATAGAAATAATCTTTGCTCTATTGTTTTGGTTTTTCTGAAAAGTAGTTAAGCAATGGATGAATAAATAAATTGCTTTTGTTGTTATATTTAAGATGCTGTTATAAACTAAATTCCCTTATAAAGAAGTATTAAATTTGCTTTTTTATATATGAATATTTGTATTTAATTTGATATCATACCAGGATGCCACTTTTCCATCAAGATCTATTTAATTAAAATAAATTTATCAATATTGGTGACTAGATAGATAAATCAAAGAAATAAAGTTATCTCCAATTCTACTCACTCTTGCTTGCAAACTAATTGAGCTTTCAAACAGTATGCAAAAGCGAAGTAGAATTCGATTAAACTGATTGAAAAAAAATTAAGAAAGAAATAATTACTCTGTGATGATGCATACCACCGGCCTTACCACGACCACCTCTGCAACCACCCTTTCTGTCTATATTTTAGAATGAAATTGTATTAATAATTTTGTTTATTTAGTTGTTTGTTTTCTCTAATCCCTTATCTCATGTCCTCCTTCAAAATTAGCTTGAGGGTTGACTTTGTCTCCCTTCAAGCTAACTATCTACAATAATGCATGCTTTAAATTACTAAATCTATTTTTTCTTTCTTATTTTTCTATTTTGGAACGACCTAGTTAGTTGTTTCATTAGCGGGACTGAGCTTAAGTCCTAGATTATTTAGTTTTTCGAAAGATAAAGTAACGTTTGATTGCATTAAAGGATGCTTTGAACCATCTTGCTCGCTCTTTAACAGATTGATTTATTTTTATGAAAAAATCAAATCATGATTTTTGTACGAACGAAGCGAATCGAAGATGGACTGAAAGAAGAATCCCATGAGATGGATTGAGATTAAATGATGAATAAGATGATAGTGGATTTTTAATTACGCTTTCCGACTCTACCGTGACCGTGAGAGACGTGACCTCTCAACTTTCTAGTCTTCTTTAAGTGAGATACCATTTTTATTTACTATATATATGTCTTTGTTTTGATTAATTTATTTTTTGCCTTTAAAAATTGTTTTTATATCTTTTAGCCTTTTAATCTCTCCTCTTTCTAATTAATTTGCCTCTACCCGTCTATATTTTCGCACTCCCAAAAATTATATTGAATTTCCTCCTCAAAGCATCTTATTTTATTTTTCTTTTTTAGCCCATTCTTATTTTAAATAGTCATTCATTTTTCTAACATTTCTCCATTCATTTTTACTTGCTATCTCTTTCATGCATGCTAGCATATATTTCCTTCATTTCTTTAAATATTCACTTCTTTCATTCATTTATTTAATTTCTTCAAATTGCTCTATTCATTTATTTATTTACTTACTTATATATTTTCACTTAATATCAATCAACTTCATTATTAGCTTTATTTCATTAATATTCAATAACTAATAAATCAATCGATTAATAACACATTTAGTTGCTTAGATTGCATTTTTATTGATTTATTTATGATTTTTCAAAATAATCAACATAAAAATTGTCCATTTTTTTTGATAAATTGATTTTATACTTAAAATTAAACATTATTTCTTTAAAAAATTTTTATTTATTTTTTGGATAAAAAATTATTTTAATATTAAAATAAAAATAAATTAAATGAAATAATTAATTAATTAAGATTTATTCAATAAATAAATTTAAATATTCTATTTCTAAAAATTTAGCTAAAATTTTAATCTAATTTTAAAACTAAATCAAACTAAATAAATTACATATTTAAAAAATCTAAAATAAATAAAATTTTTAATAATAATATTCTAAGGAATTACTAAAAAAATTTGATTAGTCTATTTTTTAAGGAAAAAAATAGATTACAAAACACTAACTAAAATATTTCAAAAATTAGATGAGAATTATGAACGAAAAGATTTAAAACAGCAGTTAATTTTAATTACACAACTATAATATATAAATAAAGCTTTGATTCTTTTTATTCTAATTTATTCTCATAAAAAATTTGATAAAGAATATATAATTCTTAATTTTATCAAGCTATCTACAAATTAAATTAAAATTTTATTAATTTTATCTAAAATCATATTAAAATACGCTTAATCCTACTTTTTATGGGTTTACAATTGCTTGCCATATATACTTATTGTTTTAAATTACTGATATAAGTTAATTATAAACAGATGTAAAATTATAATTAATATTCTAATAATATTTTAAATTAGAAATACATGCATATTATTAGCTGAGAAACCCTTTCTGATAAATTTTACATGAAAAATTATTACCTAAAAAATAGCCTTAATATTTTAAACTTAAATATTAAAAATATATTGTAAAAATGTTAATATATTCTACTAAACTTAAATATATTTTTAGTTGTTATAGTCAATCATTTTTCAATATTTTATCAATATATCAAAATAAAAATATTCAGCTGTTTGTTTTGAATTTTAATTAAAATGAAAATATTTTATAATTTTTATTGCAAAAATATCCAATTTAGTTAAACTATTAATTATTATATATTTATTTTTTTTAAAGCCTTGAAAAATATATTTAATAAATATTATATTTCTTAAGATCTTTTATGTTTTGATAAATAAAATAGAAAATACACTATTAAATATTATCAAAAGTTATTAAAAAATTGTTTTTTTTTAAAAAGCTGATGGATTTTTTTATTTTAGTCTTTCTTTTTTAACTCTATTTTTAACTTAAAACAATTTTGGTTTATAATTTCATTAATTTTTTAATAATCATAATTTATTATAAAATTGAAGACTCCATATTTTCTACTTTTTTACTGAATTCATAGCTTCTACTAAATCATTAAAACCGCAATAGTAAATTCGAATACCTTTTAATATTCATAATACCTTACTTAACTTTCCTCAAGATAAATTTTAAAGAAATGACTAATTTAGGCAATTTTGCTAATGGCTTAAAATACTATTTATAATTAATTACTATATCTAATAACTCAAGAATATTTAAACAAACTAATTTTATTTCACCGTTAGACAAATCCTATTTGAAATAAAAATAGGTTCTATTACAATAGAATACTTTAAATTTTTTTATAAAGTTGTGGCTAGTAAAATAACTTCAAAATCCTATTTTGTAATAATTTACTTATTTATATCTTTAATACTATCATACAATCTAAAAACAACTCTTTTACTAAGAATTTAATAACTATTTCAAAAAAAAAGATTTTTTTGAAATTTATTATTTGTATTAAATTTACATTCAAAAATTATTAAAATCATTAGAATATTTATTAATACCAAAAAAATTCTTTAATTAATTTATTAAAGAAATATTAATTTAAACAATTTTGTTAATAACTAAAATTAAGATTAATTCAAAATAATTTGTTTAAAATGCATTTTATTAAAATTTTTTAACAAAAACTATTATATTCTATTAAATAATATTTTAAAATAAACTCAAAAAATTACACTAAACTACTCTTTAAAAACAGATCTATAAAATTTTATTTTTATTTATATTATTAAGAAAATAGATTTTGAATGTAAATTAAATAATTTTTAAAAATTTTACTTATTGTACATTATCACTAATCACTAATTAAGTTGTTTTTTCAAAAAAATTAAAAATATTTTTCCAATTTTTTTTTTTTTAAATTCTACCACTGATTATAAGTCTTTTTATTTTTAATTTATTACATTTCATTAAAGTTTAATATATTTGTTCTCATTATTATATAAATGAAACATGTAAATAGTGGATTTGTTATAAAATATGCATTTAAAGGCTATTTATCCAATTATAATTTTTTAATTTAAATAAAATTTAAAAAATATTTAAAACAATTTTAAGCTCTATTAATAAAGTAGATGTCAAATGAAAAATAAAGTGTCTTTTATATTTATTTGTTCTCATTAACATATAAATGAAACGTGTAAATTTGTTACAAAATATTTATTTATTAAAATTTTCATCCAATTATTATTTTTTAATTTAAATAACATTTAAAAAATATTGAAACACGTGTTTGTAATTTATTTATGCTTGGATTCATCATTTTAAGTTCTATTAATAAAGTAGATGTCAAATGAAAAATAAAGTGTCTTTTATATTTATTTGTTCTCATTAACACATAAATGAAACATGTAAATTTGTTACAAAATATTTATTTATTAAAATTTTCATCCAATTATTATTTTTTAATTTAAGTAGCATTTAAAAAGTTTTTAAACACGTGTTTGTAATTTAATTATGCTTGGATTCATCATTTTAAGTTATCTATAAATAGAGTAGAGGTCAAATGAAAAATAAAGTGTCTTTTAAAATATAAATTAGCCATTTATATTATTAAACGTGGTCAAATAAATGGTGGTGATTATAATGTTGCATTTTTTATACTCTGAAAGTTAGAAAATGTTTAAAATAAAATATTTAAAAATATTTTTAATAATTTAGTAGGATTTAAAGTTATTCTACTTATTAAAAATTTTAAATAAGCTAATTAATTTGGATCTATGAATTTATATGATGAATTAATAATATTATTTAACAATTTTTTTTCAATAATTACTAAATTGATCTTTCTTTTTATAGCTATCTTTAAAAATGAAGTAATGAATGTAATAAAAAACATAATAAATAAATCAACAAAAAAAAATAAGTTAAAAAAATAAAAAACAAACATATAAAATGAGAAGTAAATCAAATAAAAATACAGAAAGGCTTGAAGTTCAACAAGAAAATTTGGGAATTTTTAGTAAAATAAAAACTAAGATATCAAATTATCTAGGTTTACAACTAAATATAAACTGTAATTATTTAATTAAATATTTAAGCATTATTTATTTATTTGTTTTAATTTATAAAGAAATTTATGATAAATGCTTCAAAAATCAACATAATGGTTAAAGAAAGAAGGATTCTTAAAAAAATAAATAATAAATAATTTACGATTAAGGATTAATTCATCTAAATAGAAACAATTTTGATTTAGCTATTTCTTCCTTTAAAAAAATTATTGAAACTGATTAAATGAATATAAAAGCTTTAAATTTAATAGGTGTATCATACAAAAAGTAAAACAGGATAGATAAAGCAATTAAATATTTTAAAAAAGCTAGCAGTATAGATGAATCATATGCAGAACCAATAGTTAATTTAGGATTAATATTTTAGGAATAAAATTAAATTGATGAGGCAATTGAATACTATTTAATGGCTTTGGAAATAGATAAAAAATAAAAGTCAGTTTGTTAAAACTTAGGACTATTATTTAAATATTAAAATAATTTAGAAAAATCTATTAATTATTACAAATTAGCAATTTAAATTGATTCTAGCTGTCAATAATCTCATTATCAATTAGGAATAGCTTATATGGAACTTAAAATATATTAATAAGCTATATTTTGCTTAAAAAAAGTACTTGAAATAAACCCAAACCATTTTGAATCCAATATACATTTAGCAAGCTTATATTTTGAACTGAAGCAATTTAATATCTCATTTAAATTTTATTTATAAGCAATTAGAATTGATCCACTAAATAGCTATTTTATTATAGGAGACTAATATAAAAAAAATGGTTTCATAGAACAGTCAATATACTGGATTAATAAACCAATAAAAATTGATCCTAATAATATACAAAACCTTAAAATAATGGCAAATGCATATTATGCTAAAAAAAAATTTAAATAATCCATTAAGTGTTATAAAAAGATAGCTAATTTAGATGCAAAAGAATAAATTTATTGTTTCAAACGAATTTATTAGATTTATTTTGAAATAAATTTAGATAATAATGCATTTAAATATCTAAAAAAATTAAATCATCTTGAAAAAAATAAAGAAAACGCTTTCAATTAAAAGTAAGCTATAAAATACTATTAAAAAGCTATTGAAGATAGTTAAAATGATAACAAATTACTGCCTTAATTTCATTATATATTGGCAAAAGCTTTTTTTAAAGATTAATAATTTGAGCAAGCAATTTTAAACTACAACAAATCAATATTGATGAATAATAATTTAAAATCTTAAAATTAGAAATTGCTAATTGAATTTATTGATTTTTCTAAAATTTTGCTTAGTTAAAGATATATCCATTTCAATATCAAATAGAGTGAATTGTACAAATAAATTTGTTTAATAACGTAAAAATTGAAAAGAGATATTACAATTAAAATAAAAGTAAAATAAAAAAATGACGGAATAGCATTTGTAAAAATAAAAGGTGACAATCTCTAAAATCTATTTGACTTTAATGAAGAAAATGGTTCAATTCAGTAAAACTTAGAATAAAAAATGATTGAAGTTTAACTTTATTCTATTTCTTTACATATAACAAAAAGCTATTTGTAATAGAATGAACTTACTATATTACCATATTAAATATCAAATTTTGTGTAGAAATTGATATTTAAAAATAAGAAAAATTAAGAATTTAGTTATGATTTTTTAATAGATTATGATTTTTTAATAGATATTATATTATCCCAAAAATAATTAGTAAATTTACACTATTTAGAAATATATATCATAATATATTTAATTGTTCTGCTTTGAGACTTATTGATTGTCTTCACGAAATTAATAGTAAATATGTGATAAATATAAATGGACTTAATTTAAAATACAAAAGAGATCCATTTAAATAAATAAATTATTTATAACTCAACTATTTATAATTTAAAAATTATTTACCAATAAGTGAATTACTATATTTGATTGAAAGAGTGAAAAAACTTAAAATATTTTTGATTGAAAATTTAAATTAAGAAGGAATTAGCGAAATAGTTGAACTTTTATAAGGTTTAACAGATTTATAGGAGTTTTATTTTAAATAAGAAGGGTACTTTTTGTAAAATGAAATTAAATAAAGCCTTTAGGAACTTAAATTTGGAGGTCTTCAATTATAAATCTTAGATACAGAGCAGCTACCTTTTCACTGTCTATAAACTACTTTGTTATAAAGCTCTAATCTTCAAGTGCTGAGATTAAATTCAATAGTAAAAGATAAATAAATTTTATAGAATATTGCTTAGTTTAAATATTTATAAGAGCTCAAGTTAAAATATTTCATCTCAAAAAATTCTATTTTAACTCCCATAAAGAAATTACTAAAAATAGAAAATTTAGATTTATAACTAGAGTTCGATATGGACAACTTTAATTTTTTTTATAGATTTTTAAAATATTTGAAAAAAATATATTTAGATGTCAATATTAGGTTATCGTCATTTTATGATTGTTCTTTCGTAATATAATATTATTAACAATAATAAAATTTATTTTCAGAATTCCAAGAATAATTAATAGATTACTATTGCTTAAGTGTTAATACATTATAAATTGGATCATTGGTAGATAAGATAGTTTAATAGATATAATATAGTCACTTAAAAAAATAAATTGATTAAGGATAAGAGAGATAAATTATTTAAAATCAATAGAAAACTTATGATTTTGATTTTGAATTACTAAATACTAATATTTGCTCATAAATATTATAAAGTTTTTAAAAACTTATCTAAAAATAAAAAGGAATTTTTTTTTAAGAAATAAAATTGGATTGTTATATTTCAATAACTATTAAATATAAAAAACTAAGCATTTAAGATAAATAAGAAAGCCAAAATTAGACGAAATTATAAATTTATACATCAGATATCTATAAAAATAAAAAAGAGTATGACAAACTCAGATATAATATTTTAAATTGCTAAAATATAAAATTCATCACTATTTCATTAAATCAAGGCGATAAAATTATAAATTAACATCTCAAGCTATTTATTTAAGAAGTTCTTTTAAGCAATTATTTCAAGAAAAACTTAATAATAGATATTTTCTCAAAAGATAGTTCTCTTGAAGAAATTATTGGAATAATTTTGCTAGCAGAAAAAATTTCTTTAATTTCTTTGAAAGTTAGTTCCTATTATTGGGAATTTTATTCATTTGGTAAAAAACAAATTTTATTTTCTCTAGCAAGACTATAACAAGTCTAATTTTTAAGCATAAATTTTTTTGAAATAAATGAAATAAATTTCTTTAAAAAAAGAATGAAGAGATTAGTTTAAGTAAATCGTTGATGACTCCTCAAAAATAAAAATAACTTAATATTTATATTTGTTTTTTATAAATAAAATTAAAACTAATTGATAGTGGCAAGTTTTAGAGTAAATTCCTATTTAATTTGTAATTGGTGGATCTTTACATTTTATATACCTTCACTTGATGTTTAGAAAAATTTAAGGAATAATTGAAAATTTTTTGATTAAATATTAATTTTATATTTATTTTAAATGAAAACAGACAAAAATGTTGAAGAATTTTGAATTTTCAAAAAAACAAAAGAATTTTCTAAAAACTTTATCCTTCAACCATAAATCCTCATCAATTCTCACACATTTTATTTTCACTATTTTCTCTGAAATTTTGAAATTTTTAAAATTTTTGAATTTTAGTGTCTTAATTAAAAAGTGTCTTAATTAAGGAGAATCTACGGTATTTTGGATTTCATAATTCCTAAGATACAATTTACGCAGAAAATGTATTTTAAAATTAAAATTTTCTAAATTATAATTAATGTATAATACTTTTCAATTCTAATTATTAGAATATATTTATTAATAAAAATATAATTGTAATATGATTCAAATATTTGATAAATTTATATTTTTTGATATTAATCTATTTTCAGAGCAAAAAAGCTAGTAAAGCATAGATAATAGAAATAACTAATTAGTACCCAAAAGTATCAGTAGAAGAAGGTGAAATATAAGTAAATGTTTAATATTAATAAGGAAAAGGTTTGCTTGGTCTGATAGCAATAAGTTAAGCAATAGCAGATCCCGTTCTATTATTACCTTTTGAGGCAAAAGAAGTAAAAAGCTTGAAGGCAGAACCTGTTTCAGTATAGTCTTCTAAAACATATATATTTAAAAAATCTGTAGTTAATTCTGTATTGTTTATGGAAATAGGTTTTCCATCAGAAGTAACAAAGTTCAAATCAACAAAGGGGCAATTATCTACAGTTTTATTTGTTGTTCCTTTAACTTAAAATCCAGTGAAGTTACCTTTAGCATTTTATTATGGTATAGGAATTAACGTAACATTCCCTATGAATGAGCAGAGACCATTGGTATCAACACCAGCAGGATAATCTTAATGAATTAATTATAAGTTTTAAGTGAGATCTATTGCCAATTAAGCATATATGCAAGTTGCTAATAAAGAAGCGAAAAGAGATACTTTTTTCATATACTTTAGTTAAATTCTGGATTCAATTTTTTATTATTAAAATTTATTATTTTTGATTTTCACAATAATAACTTAATTTAAATGAAAAAATTTATTGCATAAAAAGAAAGAATTATTCATGCGTGTAAGGTAACAATGTAAAGTCTTGGCTAAAAAATTTTAATATATCAAAAAAGGATCAATTACAACTAGTGTCATAATAAAATTAAATATTCTTAAATAATAACTATCAAAAAATAATTTCATTTTTATTTACTAGTGCTGTTTTTGATCAAATATTCATCAAAATAATAGAATAGAATCTATCATTTATTGATTTACCAAAAAAAAGTAGAAAATCAAAAATCATTACGTCAAATATCTTACAGACAATTAATATTTGCTTGATAAATTTAAAAGATGTAAACAGAATTTTATTTCAAATAGGATTTATTTTTAAAAGTAAATATTTTTTGTCTAAAAACAGTTATTATGAATAAAATAATAAATAAATAATTTTACAAAAACAATTTTAAATAGAGTTAATATCATTTATTTTAAGCTAATGTTAGTTGTTAATATATTCTTTATAAGTTTGTAATGATAAAGAAAATTTAAATCATTTGATAAAGATTGATCAAATTATTTATTAAATTATAAGGATTAGCTTCTAATGGAATCAAATATAGATTTCAAAAATTAAATTTATACTGACAAAATCTTTATGCTTATCAGTAAAAAATTGACTTCCTTAATTAATTTAGATTTTTCCCTCATCTAATATTTAACCAATTACCTATTAGCTTTAATTATATTTAATCTTTTTAATTTAGGATTTCTAAATATTTTCTTAATTAATTAAGTAGAGATATTATGAAAAAGATTAAAATGAGTCATTTTTTTATCTTTCATTTTCTTACAACTAATTAAGTTGCTCAAATAAAAGGGCTAATCAAGAAGTTTGCATTATATTAAGATATTAAATAATTGTTTTTTTCAAATAAATTAATAATATACTATAAATTTTAATATGTTATTATTGTATCCGCCCCTTATATCTTTTGTTTTTTTAATAAAAAATTTATTTTTAAAATACAATAAAAAATATATTATTATTTATGATCTTTTTTTCTAAATATGATTTAACTTAAAATATAAAAATCATTAATAATTTTTTATTTACTTTGTAGATTTATGAATTCTTATTGAAAGTATTTCATAAATTTATTAATTACTGTATTAAGTAAAAATTAGATTAATGAGAAAGAAAATATTTTCAAAATTATAGTATATTAATTATCAAATTAACCAAAGTTAATAGGAAAAACCCTCTGAGTTGGTGCTAATGTTTGGAGTTCGAGATGTCCACAATCTGGCAATCTGGACTAAATTTCATATTTAAAAATAAAATTTTTCTATTTTAAAAAAAGAAAAGCTATTATAAATATTAAAAATATGATTAATTTTAAAATAATCTTAATTAAAAATTCAATAATAACAAGTTAAATAAAATTTTTTGCAAAGATTATTTTTATTATTTGTGGAGGTAGTTTTTATAAGTGCTAAGAGATAAAAATTTGAATTATTTATAGTATTATAAAATTTTACGATATTTGATGCACTTATTAAACAAGATTAGAAATAAGGAAATTTTTTTTTTGAAAAATTAAAAATTAAAGTAATTAAATTCTAAAAAGTTATTTGTTTCCTTAAAAAAAATACATTTTAAATTACATAAAAATACATTTAATAATAATTTATTTCTATATATTGCTAGCTATTTTGGTTTATTTAGTTTTATTTAAAGGCTTTTTAAGTATTTATTGATTATTTAATTAAAAAAAATTCTTAATAATTTTCATTTAAAAGTAGTATGTTGATATGAATGTATTATTTTACTAAATTATGGTATTTTAGATTAATTATTTATTCTTTAAGCAAAAATTATCTCTATTAACTTAAGCTTCTATTTCTCATTTTGGAATTTTTTATCTAATTTTTGTTTTTAAATAGTTACAAAACTCCTTAACTTCTACCACTTTTCTTCAGCATTTTTCATTATTATTAATTATTTGTTTAACTTGAGTTTAATTATGATTTTTGCACAAGTACTAGAATTTTATTATAGATATTCTATTGTACGAATATAAATGCTCTTTTTATTTTAAGTTATTTATGAAAATATTAGAAGGATCATAAGCATCACAGATAATACTATCAATGAAGTAATTGTTATTGATAAAAAAATTTAATCAATCTTAAGTTGCATTATGTTCAAGCTAAAGCAAGCACAAGCTAAGCATTGTATATTAAATTCTACTTTATTTAATTTTTTGCTTTCGAATGGTTGACCTTTTTTAATTAAAATTAATATATTCTTATAATTTATAATTAAATTGATTACATAGAAAGACTAACAAGGTATAAATTAATGTGACTAAAAGTGCGAAAACCATGGGAAATACTGCCATTTAATAAGAGTAATATAGAATTATGCACATAAGGTTTTTATAAGCTAGCTTAATTAAATCCCAATAATAGAACTTAAGCTTATAATCGTTTGTGAAAAATCCATAAATAATTTAATTTTCATATTATTAAAGTTTGTATTTCTTTATTTGCATATTCCTTTATAATATTGCATGTGGTAGCATAAAGCTTAGTAAAATTAAAGGTATAATAATTTTATAAGAAATTTCTTATTAATTTTAATCACATTAAATTGATAGGAATTCAGTCACAAAGCTTACACCATCAAAAGACTAACAAAGAATCTGTTTTAAAAATGTAAATTTATTTAAATTAATGAAAGGAAATTAAAAATAAAAAAATTACTGATTTATACATTTTAGAAAATATCGCTGTTTAAGAATAAAAAGTAAATATGTATATTCCCATAAGAATTAGCTAGCTAATATTTTTCTAACGTTTGAATAGAATGACGATCGTAAACAAAGCGATTATGAAAATTTGAAGAATAATTTAAAAGAAAGTAGAAGTTAAAATTATCAAATTATAACTAAATAATTTATTTAAGAAGCACTCTACTAATCTTAACTAAGAACTAAGTAAATTTCCAATATCTATAAAAATAATTTGAATAATATTGGGAATATTTGAGTCAAATGATAATGTCATGCCAATTAAATAGGATTAAAATAAAAAAAATTTAATTTTTCTGATGTAGCTCAAGTCAAAATTATCGACATGCTTGTTTAAAAGGAGGGATAATACTTTACCCTTAAGCTTGATTTGTATTTGGTTTTAATAACTATGTGTAAACCATGCAACAACTAAAATTGGTATTAAAATAAATATCAAAATATAAACTATCTCTTTTGCTTAGAAATCGCTGCATCTTTATTTTTTAAAAATTAAAAATTATTTTTAATTAATAAATTATTAAAAAAATACTTTTAACACTTTTGATTTAAATTTAGAAAATATTTATCTCCCCAATATTGACCACTTCTATCACAATCTTCACATAGAGCTCCAACATATCCTTCATAAAAATTTCAAATTTAATTTTAATTTTATTAACTAAATTAATTAATTACCTTCCTTACAGTAATAATTTAAATCTGTTTTCTTTACCTAAAGCAGTAATAAATTAGAAGATTTTATTCTTTGAATTTCTAAATCTCCAACACAATTTTTACAATCAAACAATTTGGAAGAGTTTTGATTGACTCTCCATAAATTAGAAGGTAGAAGAATCAATTTACCTTTGCAAAATACATCTTTACTTGGACAACTATAGCAGGAATCAGAAACTTGAAGACTGTAAGTAGACTCGTAACATTCAGCACAAAAATCATATTTTTCATGAATTTATTAAACTACATACCCTACAGGGCAGTATTAACTGAACTAAATAAGAACTGTAAAGGTGTATGTGTTATTATAGTTAATAATTTATTCTTATTAGTTATACTAAGGTGCTTTTATTAGTCTGCTAGAAACTCGGAGTTATAACTATTAACCTCTTTTCCCATAAATCTAAATTTACTTAGTTAGATCAAAATTTCCATGGTTTTATCTTAATTCTTGCAAGTTAATAAAACCAAAGCCCTTTTCAATGGTTACTTATAATGTTTCTTCTGAATTAAAATCTAGAAGCTCTTCGTTTTAGTCGTTAGAAAGCCTAAATTAAATAGAATCCTATTATTTAATTAACAAAATTATATTAAAATATTATTTTAATTTTATTAAAATTATGATAAATAATAAATAATCAGGAAACAAAATAAAAAATTTATCTCCTCTTAAAATTATTCAATGAAAGTTAAAGTTCCTAAAATGATATTTAATGCTTCAATTTAGAATAATTTTTACTATTTGTACTTTTTATTATTATGATTTAATTAATTCAGGTTAAGCTTGTTTAAAAATTTTATTAACGATTTTAAATATTTTATAAAATTATTACTTTTAACTACCCTCCTTGGTGATTTTATATCAGTAATACTTTAAGATTTAGCTATTTTTTACCGTTAAGGTAAGTAGCAATATGAGTTGGAGAAGCTTAAATAGTTTATCCATAGTTAAGAAGAGCTTTGTTGAATTTAAACTCATTTCGAGAAAAATAATTTATTCCTTAGAATGTTGTTGAAGCTATTGCTCCTCCCATAGATGCTTAATTTGATTAAAAAGAGCTCTTTGATATCTATAAGGTTCTTTTAAGAATGTTTTCATCTTTATTTTCTAAAAAAATAGCTCCACCATACAAGTTTGCTCTATTGTTTTCAAAAACAGTTTAAATTATATAAAGAGAAGATTAGTTTATGAATATTGCTCCACCACTATTCTGTGCTAAATTGTTACTAAATTAAGAGCGAATAATTTAAAAATTATTTGTATCATACTATATTGACATTTGATCTACTTAACCATTCTATGCTTATTCAAGAAACAAAGCAGAACCATACATGGCTATATTTTTGTCAAAAGTTGTGTTCTATATATACAGATAATTAGTTACTATATTTAAAATTCCTTAACTACAAGTTTAGCATATATTTGAATTTATTTATGATAAAGTTATAATGCACTCTTAGCTATTATAAATTGCTAAATTTTCATTTTAAGTAGTGATCTAAAATGGCATTTAAATGCTTTTATTATTTTTTATGGTAATATTTACTATTTGTATTTTTTTTATTTGCTTAAGAGTAATTAAATTTCCAAAGAATAAGCTACCTTCATAAATATTGCTTAATTCATTGAAAAATTGAACATTAGTAATCAATAGTATCTTTTAATATACTAAATATATTATTAAAGGTTCAACTTATTATTAAAAATTTTTTGAAGATATTTAAAAATAAGACTTCATGATTTGTACTTCATAGACATCATTAATTGAGATTAGGGAAGCTTAATTTTATACACCTTATTTGAGCTATTCAATTAATTAATCTTTAAATGGTAGAGTAAGTTAAATTACATTATTAATATTAACAATGCATGTTATATTCTAGAAAATTATAGCTGTCTATGATATTTTAGAGCTATCGACGTTGATGATACTACCTTTGATTGATAGATTGTCATTAAATTAGCTATATTATATTTAAACAACACTTCTTGGACTGATAGTTGTTTTTATTTATAAAGCACCTCCATAAAACAAAGCAAAATTGTTTGAAAATGTAGATTTTTCAATTAATACATCTTAACTAAAAGATTGCAGCCCATCAATGTAAACTGCACCTCCTGAACTTTCAGAATAAATTGTATTAGAAGCAGTGTTGTTTAAAAATATACAATTATGTAAATATAAGCCCCCTTTGTTTTAAGAAACCCAATAAAAAGCTCCTCCACAAAAAGCATTTCCATTTATAAAAAAAGAATTTTTAATATTTAGTTATTCACTACTTAATTTAAAGAATCCTCCATATACTAAGTTATTTAAGTTAAAATTCTGTATGTCATTTTAAAATTAGCAATTATCGAAAGTGATCTATTTGAGAAAACCTGAAATCCAGTTAAATTAGCTGTTTTGTTACAAGTCGGTGAAATTAGATTTTAAAACATCAGCAATAAGGTTTGGAGAATTAAAATAAATACCATAAGATATCTATCCAATTTGATTCTTTATTTTTAAAAGATAAATATTAGCTTTAAAAATTTTCAGTAATATAATAAGTATTTGTTGAAAATAATAAACAAATGTTTAATTATAGAGAAGTATGGTACATAAAATAAAATGCTTGCTAATAAACTAAATACCGAGCTTGGTTTTTTATGTTTTTTAAATTTAAAAAATACTGATATTAGAGAATTTTAAATAAGAATTTTTTCAAGATGAAATATATTTTAAAAATAATTTAAACAATTAATTACTTGTTTTATCAATGGTATTGCTCCAAAATATTTAAAATTTATGTTAGTCAAATTCAAATATGAATTTAATTTAGATGTGATAGCAACAAGAGCGCAATTTTAAGTGACATTATAATATAATAATTTAGTTTAAGTGCTATTATAGTTCAATATTTAAATTTATAAAGGATTGCTATTCAGCTTTTAGAAGCTATTTTGTATTTAAATTATATTAGAAGATATTATAATATTTTCTTAAGTTATATTAACTAAATTAATTTTATTTTATATTTAGCTAAGCTAGCATATTTATGGAGATATTAACTAATCATTGTTCTATTTCTAAAAAACATTTGAAAGGAAAACACTTTTACAATTATCAGCACTAAAAACTATAAAGTAAGTGTTGTCAATGGTTGTTATATTGCTGATTAAAACTTAACCCAAATTCATTAGCTAAATCAAAGAAGAGCTAATTTTATCTTGAAATATATTTTATTTTAAAAATATTCCTTCAAGAGTCAAATCAGTTGATAGTTAGGTTGATAATAAAAGTAAAAAATTGTTTTTTAGATTAAATTTATTATTTTATATAAAAATGTTTGAAAAGGAATATTATTGCTTTTTGCCCTTTTAATAAAATAAGCTATCTACCTATTAAAAAAAATTGTATTAATTAATTTAGCTTGATTCAATCTGAAATCCTTTTATATCAAACTAATTAGAAATTATAAGAGGATTTGTATCTGATAAGATTTAGGAAAAACTGCATTGATTGAAAGCCATATTATTTATTGATAGTTAGTTTAGAAAGTTTGAATTTAAGATTTAGGATTTGTTAAAAAAGTAGCTCTGAAAGAACGTGATGTTATCAAACAAAATTCTGACATATTGGTTTTATAATGAGTTCTACTATATATCAAGTAACAAAGTCTAATCTTCTATTGTTGATTATGTAAAAATCAAATTTGACATATCTAAAGTAGAGTTTTTAAAGTTTAGCTTCACCATTTTTGAATTACTAAATGTTACCTTTTTATTTGATTTAAAAAAAATATTTTGTTATTTTTAAAAATTTCTTTATTTTTTTTAATTTATCTTAAATTACATGATTAAACTGTACTGAGTCAAATTTGATGTAAACTGAAGAATTTGAGAAAGTATTATTAATCTAAATAAGCTATTACTGATTTAATATTTAAATATTTTAGAATGATACATCCTTAAAAATTATTGTTGATTATTGTAAAGTTGATAAATTTATTATCAAATATTATTTAGAGAGGTTTTTTTATAGGAATTAAGAGAAAGAACAGTTAAATAAGTTAAAGCTAGAAAGATTTTTATCTGAAGCAACAAATCCAATATCTTGCATACTTAGACTCTATTAAAATAGTATTCCTTAGATATTTATTTAGTCAAATCCTTAGATCCTGATAGCATCTTACTATTAAAAAGTCATAGTTTTGTTTAAATTAGAGTTTAAAGTAGTTATATTTAAAATAGCTGTTTCAAGAGATCTAACTTGGTCTTTCAGAGTAGTTACTAATGTTTAGTGCTTTGACTCAACACACAGCTCTCCCAAAAATATTATTTACACCTCTAACTGTTTTACTTGCAGTTCATTATAGTAAACAATAGCTTAGTTGTAATTTATTTCGTCAAGGATTAATTAATCAAAATTTATCTCGTTTAGCTTATTGTAATTTATTGGATTTGATTATGTACCAATACCTAAACTGCTTTCTGCATCTAAGCACTAAGTGTAAATAACTCTCTACTTTTTATAGAAGCATCCTTATTCAGAGTTATTACATAAATAACATTTTCTTCTTACTTTATCATATGTAATTTTGTAGTTTAGTAAATCTGGATTAGAACCATATGATTTTTTACATGATAGGCACTAAGAATCATATAAATATAGAGGATTTATATTTAAATCGTTATTATTTATGCATGTTTCGCACCTATTAATTTAATATTATTTTTAAAAAGGAATTAAAATTTTTTATTTACATGATAGGACAAATTTGACAATCATCACTAGAAGCTGTTATCGTAACCATAGAATTAAAATCTAGAATGTAATTTTGATTAAAATATAATTTTCCAATAAAATATGATATCTTGCTTATTAAAGCTTAGAGTTTTTCATAATTGCATTGCATGCACTATGGTTTGTTGTTAATTAATTTACATAAAAGACAATATTGACCACATTAAATTGGTAAACATAACTTTTATTGCTGATCAAAAAAATATCCATCAAGACATTAAGTACAATATAATGAATATTTATTGTCTTTATTATAATCCAATCTTTGTTGCAGAGTATAAAAATTTTTATCATATATTATTGAATGCGTCAAATTAAATTCTCTGGTACCTAACAATATAAATAAAAATTAAATTTGTATTTAAATTATATTTTTGTGTACCTTCATAGCAACTTGAACATCCTATAGGACACTTTATGCAACCATAAAATGATGGAGTACTGTTTTAATCAATACATTTCGTGCATTAATAAAAATTAATACCTTGTTAAGAGTCTAAATATAAATAACATTCAGAGCAATTATAAATCTATTAGGTTTGAATATTTAATGTTAATAAAAAAATTATTTAAAATTCACTAATTTCAATTAATTATTAATTACATTTTATGAGCAAATATCATTTTGACAATTAGGAGGGTTTTATAAATTACTTAATACATTCCCATCCAAACAATATTAGCAGACATTTTAGTTTTTTATATAAATACAACTGTTACATTAGTTAATAGATTAGCAGCCTATTAAGTCACATTAATTTTAATTAATTAATGAATACCCTGAGTTACATTTTTTGCATTAATATTAGAATGTAAAGGAGCTTGATGGTGAAACAAATGACCATAAATACGAAGAAATATCTTTTATTTAGGAGCCATTATTTACCACAATAGTATTTCTTTCACAATTTTGAATATTATTTACACAATCCTCACCTTATTATTTAATAGATGTTTTTCATTTTAATATAAACATTTTAAAAACTATATTTATAATCATTTTTTAAAAATATGATTTTATTTATTTATTGTTTACCATTTTAGGATAAGAAATAACCATCTTAGCATTAAGTACATTTCCTTATGAATTACTTTTAATTAAAGTCATTTAGAGATATTATCCTCAAGTATTCAGTATAATAGTTCCAAACAGATTATGAATTTTCTAATTTAATATTATAATAAAACAATTTAATTTTTGTTATAAAAAAATAACTATCTGTGCTTAATAAATTTTTTTGTGTAATTGACTATATTTTTAAAAAAAGTTAATTTAAATTATTTGCATATTATTTATTTTTGTAAATTTTTATAAAAAATAAAACTATTATTTACCATATTAACAATAGTTACACTTATCGCCACATTATGTACAATATTGAAGATTATAAGAAACCAGATAATTAATTTAGCACTACAAGCAGATGATAATAATATTTCCATTATAAATCTAGGAAGAATCTACATTTTATTAATTGAGCAAAGTAATAAAACCCTAAATAAGTGTAGCATACGAGCATTTAATACATTAATTTGGACAAGGTTAACAAACTCCATTCGATAAAATATATCCTGACATACATTATAAGCAAACAGCTTATAACGAAGATATTTACATGCAAGAAAAGCAATCCTTAGAGCCTTCAAATAAATAAATTAAAATTAAATTAATAAATATTAGAAGAAAAATAAGTTACATGTGCTAATATCCAATGCGCTCAAACTATATTAACCATTTTTATTATTCAATATAAAATTAGTAGCATGAAGATTATTATTAACAATTTGTAATACATTGTCTAACAATATAATATAGTTTGTACAAGTTCTATAATTTGATCCAATCTTATTCCTATTAATTATATTTAATTTATATTTTTATTATAAGTCAATAATACTTACCACAACCCATAATCAGAAGAGCAATCTAAGCATCGATAAGTTGGAATATTTTTATAATATTGCTTAAGATCGTTGTATTAATATTAAATATTAGGGCATTAAATGCATATCTAATTTATAGTGGACTCTTAAAATAAAAAATACCCCTCTACACATTAAGTGCAAATATTTTGTGATGAGCACGAATAACACCTAACAAAAAAAATTATATGAATATTTGAAGAAAAAAAATAATATTTAGTAAAATTGAAAATATGAATTTATTTATTTATTTTAAAATATATTTACCCAGTTTGACATTTTGATTTGATATTTGACTGGCAATAATTTTAATCATAGCAGTCTTATTTTACATATGTCAATTTCATTTAAAAATAAACTTATTACTTATTAGATTAAAAAGAATATTTTTAATCTATACTATAACACTTTTAATTCCCAGGGTTAGTATAATATTGTGGGCACTACAAGCATTAATCATTGCTTACAGACAAGTTTTAGCAAAATCCTTTATTGTTAGAGCAAAAATTATTGCCATTAGAGTCAGTTTAATCTATAGTTTTCAACAAACACTTTTTATATTCATCTATTTAAAAGCATTAATTTAATTTTATTTGGTTTAGTAATTAAAGAGAACTAAAACAATAACTGTTAACCATGCAAAATTCATCAGGGCAAATAATACAACCTCCATATTAAATTTAAGAACATTAACCTTTTTATTTATAATAAATATTATAGATAAAATAATTCTAATTATAAAAATGTATATTTTTAAAATTACAAATATTTTTCATTTACATAAACTCTTGATAATATAAAAAAAATATTAGCTACTTTAGAAGATTTTATTTTAATAAAATTGGATTTATGTTTTTTAAATTTTCTTTTTAAAATTATTAACTTTTTAAAAATAGGTTATTTTAAATTTTTTAAATGTTTAATAGTGGAAGAATTATGTATATTATTATATACCTAAGTTATTTGTGCAATAAATATTAGAGCCTGAAATTAAATTTTAACAAGATAAATCTGGAGCTAGGCATTAATCAATATTACAAGAAAAACATTAGCCATATGTTGCACATTTACCGAACTAATCAACACACATATTTTTTTTAGCATCTATGTATTTGCATTATTGTGTTTATATATCAAGACAATACCTTTATATTGCACACATTACCTATTGTGTAAATTTTTATAAATTAATATTTTTTAAGAAACAAATTAATTTACTGCTACTGACTAATTCTAAGGAATGCATTATTGAGTATCTTTCTCAATACCTATAATTTTTATAAACGCTAAATAATTTTACAGAAAGAAAAAAATCATACCTATTGTGTTCTAATTGTTATAATCAAGTTTATAGCATGAGCGTAAATTAGTTATTGAGTTTTTCATAGAACAGAATCTATTAAAATTTTAATAAAACTATTTTTTATTAATTTAAAAAAATGAATTTACCCATATTTGAAACAATCAGAAACCCCAAATTTGCCTTCCATTTTTTCATGTAAACAATAGTCAGTATTTAATTCTTTTCCTGGATTTTCAATTGATAAAGGTATGCAAATATTAGCTTTAATACAATAACTTTAAGCACACTATATAGCTATAGTTACACCCTATGGTATACATTTCTGATCAGACGCATTTCTACCTATATTTTGCATTTTATCAGGATTTAATTTTACACATTGATTTGATGAGATGTCTAAACAATAATGTCCATCTAAGCACCCTATACTATTTACTATAATTTTTTTTAGTCATCTTTAATTATAATAAAATTAATATTTACTAGTATTTATATCCTAACAAGTTTAATTAACATTTTTAGCCCTAAAAATAAGATTTGGATAGCTTGGAAGAGGCTCTGATAGTTTTTGGCATTTATAGATTCCTGGTCTAAAATAAAATAATAATTAAAAATATACTTACTTATAAATATGAAAAAAATGTATTTAAATTACCTAATTGTTAAAATACAATAAGTGATCCCATAACAAGTTGCTATTTCTATTAAAAAAAATAAGAAAAAGAAAATAATATAAAATTGATACATATATTTGAAACTTCGTTTTCAATTATACAATATCCTTAAATGTCTGTTCCTACTATAAAATATCCAAAATATTATCCTCCTTCAGTAAAGCAATAGTCTTTTCCACTTATGGGATAAGTATAAAGGCAAGAACCTTGTACACATGTTTCAATACTGTCTCCTTTGCCATCTTGATTTAAATAAGGTAAGCAATAATTTGTATACTTTTGACGAGCAAATCTCTTTTCTTAGTGGGAAAAGAGCAAAGATTAGCAGGAATTTCCATTCTACTAATTTAAACAGAACTACCCTTCCATACATCTTTAAAATATATTGGTGTTAAGATAATTAAATTAATAAGTTATTACCTGATTGCATTTGGAATATCCTACTAAACACAATAACCATTTGAGTCTATTCCTATTCTTTATTAACTAGCATCAAAAGGTAAACATGTTTCAAAAGATTTTGGATCTGAAGGATTTAGTTTTTATTTACAATAGTTATAGGAGCATTTAAAAATACCTTTATTTAATTTTTTTTACATTATATTATCAAAATTACATTAAAATAATGAATACTTTAATAATATTAGCCACTAACTACACATTATCCGTTTGTTTACATACCCTAATATTTTAGGTTACAAATTTAGTTTATATCAAAGGAAAGGATTATTTTATTTCAAATTTACAGAGTGATTAGCATTAGTATCGTTAATTTTAAAGCAAGCTTTTAAAACAGTATCTAAACAGGCATATGCAGTAGAGCATTAAATGGCTATTTACTATCCTTCTGACAAACAATTATAATAAGGATCTCTTCCTATCATGATTTAGTTGTATAGTTGACAAGAGTTATTACTAACACAGTATCTAATAAAAAAATTAATTTTTTATATATTTAAAATTCAAATAACTAAATTACCCTTCGTAACATTATATAGCTTTAGAATCAGCTTACTAATTTGGAATTAAGCACTTAAACATATTAGAGTCTACTCCAACATTTAATTATCCATCTAACTATCTAATAAATCCATTAGTATCCTAGCAATAATTTTAATGCAAATTCTTTACATCTAATCAAAATTAATTTTTAAAAATAATTAATACTACTTATATATACCCTTCAAGAAATTAAACAAATAATTAAAAAATTTCATAAATATTTAAAAATTTTAATAGAGGTGGGTTATTTATTGTAAAAAAATAAAAGTTAACTTACTTGCTATCACTCCTAATTAATAAGTAATTTGGTTATTTACAGCGCACTGTTTATTCTCAATAATATATCCTAAATAAAAAGCAGAATTTGTATAATTAACACAGCAATGATTTATTTAATCAAAGCAGATTGAATTAGTATCATTAAAGCAAATATCAACATTATCGCTTGCTTATTATAAACTTGTCAAACATTACTAATTGATACCTCTACCTATGTATTAGGTACTAGATAAAGGATAACAATTACCATTCAAAGAGCATCCTCCTTAAGTTCCAAAAGTTGTTGTCAAAGTACAATATTTATTGGTTTGATCAAAGCAAACATAGGAGTTAAAAATAGTGCATCTTTTTTATTAAACATCAATTTATTATTTATTTATAATTCTATTAATTTTACTTAAATAATAATAAATACAATAAAAAAAGTATTACACTGTTGCTATTGATTAATTAAGAGTTAAACATAATCCTTCTTCATTTTTTCCAGCAAAATTAATACCATCTATAAGAGTACATTTAGCATTATTAAGATTTAATACTAAGCAATGATGAATTTCACATTTTTTTATATCTAGTTTATTTAAATTAATGTAATAGTTGTTGCTAATTTAAAAAATCTACTTTATTTTGCAATAAATACTTCTCTCTATATGCAGTTACCAAAAATATCTATTCCCTTTATTTAAAATTTAAATTCTTGTTAAAAAAAGTAATTTTATTTATTTTAAAACAATTACAGCAGTATTTATATTAGAGTAAGACAACCAATAGCAAACTTAATTTAGTAAGCAAACGTCATAATTTATAAAAGCGCATTCTATTGAATTATTTTATGAATCTGTGCTACATTACTAATTTTGAAGTTTTGCTATTTATACTCCATCAAAGCCTATTTTTTTACAGCTATTGTCAGCAGCGAGGCAGTAGCTTATAATAAAATTTTAAATTATAAATTTATAATGAATAAATAATATATTTTTTATTATTTTATAGTTCATATTTAAAAATAATTACCTTTAAATACAAAACTCTACTTATGCAGATATTTAAGAGTCTACTAAACATTTTTAGTAAACACCATCTCTTCCTACAAATTGAGGCTATATATTTTATATCACGAAATCGCTATTTTAGCAGTATATTTAATTTAAATTCAGCACAGCTATATAATTGATAATATTAAAATAAAATCATAAACCTTATAATAATATTACTTTAGTATGAAATTGTGGATGTTTTTTGGTTAAATTAAGCACAAATTCCAGTCTATTAAATGTATCCTAAGTATACATTTGAATTTCTATATAAAACACATCTCATCTAATCACTTGATTTACACACTTAATCAGGGTCATCCATGCATATGTCGACTTGTGTCCCATCAATATTTTACTAGTCAAGTAAGCATTAGAAATTTTTATCTTTTCCTATATTTTGTTGTAAAGAAAACTGCTAACAAGTAAAGTTTAAAATACAGCCATTTTAATTTTAATGATAATAAACACACATTTAGTTTGCTTATTCATAGCAAATAGAACTCGTTTTTGAACATCTAAATTAATATATTAAAACTTAAATATAAAATTTATATAAATTAATAAATTATTAAATTTTTATTTTAGAATTTAAAAATAATATAATTTAAAAAAAATAAATTAAGTTAAAAAAATTCTTATGGTATTACTTAATGGCTCCTGGCATATTAGCATCTAAACAATTTCCTTTATCATCTACTCCAACTTAACCAGGTGATCCGTCTATTAGGAAACAAGCTGATTAACCACTTAAATTGTTTTTAATACAATAATTTGATTGACACTTTAATAAATCTTTAAAAAAAAATATTAAATTCAATATTAGATTACTTCAATCAAAATTACTTGAAGTGTAAGTTCCAACATTCAAACAATTTCCATTAGTATCTATTCCCTATAAATGTAAATGTAATAGTTAAGCTTATAAAAATTCTATTTTTAAAATAAACTTACTGAAGTGATGCTTGAATCTTTTAGGAAATAGCATGATTAGGAATTATATAAGCAAACATCACAATTTAAGCAACCGCATTAAATAGCTATCGTCTAAAAAGCATTACCACAAGTACCATTTACTAATTTAGATATATAAACTCCATCAAATCCTATCTATTTGCAAGAGTTAGAATTATAAAGGCAATACCTATTACAGAAAATTAAAATTAAATTTTAACTTTTTATAAATTTAACTTTACCCTGAACTACAGAATTCAATAGTTAGATTATTTTGTGGCTATTGTGAATAAATACACATTTAATATTGTAAATATCTTCCTAAAAACTAAGGACTGGTTTATTAAATAACAAAGCTACTATCCTAGCAATAGTTTTGACTTAAATTTAGGATATCTAAAAGAAAATAAATTTAATGATTCAATAATACCAAATAAATAAGTTACTTTAATATTACGTTAAAGAAGTGCTCTAACCTACTTATGCACAATAACCTGTTCCTTCAATATACCCTAAATAAGTTGTTGATCCAGTATAAAGGATACATTAAGTTTAATCACTCTTATAACAAATAGAATTCGGTAAATTTAGACATTTATCTATTAACGAATTTTATGGAGATGATTATTAACTCAATAAACAGTTGTATTTTTTATCTCTTCCTATAAATTGTTGCAGTGAAAGCTAATAACATATTGAATTAAAATTGCAGCCATTTTAATTTACGCCATAACTAAGAGTTTAAACGCACATCTACTTATCCTAGTCATAGCAAACACTTTGAGTTTTCTATGTACACCTAAATATTATTTTTTTAAATATGAATTATTCAAATTAAAACAAAATTATTACTAACAATTTTAAAAAAGGAAAATAAAATATAATAATTTCAATAGAATGAATATATAAAATTTAAAGTTTTAAATTAAATTAAAATTTTTACTTGACTGCTCCAGATTAGTTTATATTTAAACAATATCCTTTATTATCTATACCGAACTAACCTGATAATCCATCTATTGAGAAGCATGCTAATTAACCACTTTGATTCTTTTTCAGGCAATATTTTTCTTGACACTTCAATAAATCTGATTAATAAAATATTTAATAAATGAATACATTTTTTTTGTTTTTCTATTTACTTGAAACATAAGTTCCAGCATTTAAACAATTTCCTAGAGTATCAACCCCCTTTAAATTTTAATAAAAAAAATTAAGTTAGAATTAATTGATAATTAATTCTACTGAAGTTATGCCCTAGTCTTACAAGAAATAACAAGACTAAAAGTTATAAAAGCAAACATCACAGTTTATACAACCACATTAAATAGCTGTTGCCTACTAAGCTATACCACAAGTTCCATCTGCTAACTTAGCAATATAAACACCATCAAATCCTATCTATTTACAAGAATTAGAGCTACTGATGCAGTAACTAATTATAATAAAAAAATTTAAACTTAGTATTACTTATTTTTTATTTCAATTTACCCTGAAATGCAAAATTCGACTGATAGATTATTTTATGACTGTAATGTAGAAATGCATATTTGATATTATTAATACCTTCCCTAAAATTAAGGATTAACTTATTAAATAATAAAGTTGTTGTCCTGGCAATAAGATTGGCTTAAATTTATAATGTCTAAACGAAAATAAATTTAATCATTCAATAATATATAATAAATTAAATTACTTTAATATTATGTTAAGGAAGTACTCTATCCTAATTATGCACAATATCCTGTGCCACTAATATATCCTAAATAAGTTGTTGAACCATTATAAAGGATGCATTAAGTTTAATCACTCTTTTAGCAAATTGAGCTTGGTATATTAAGACATTTATCTACAAGTAGATTTTAAGGAGAAACTTATGAATTTTATAAGCATAAATAATTTTTATCTCTTCCAATATATTATGGTATTTAGTTCAAAGACATTGTATAGCAAATTCCATTGATAGCACAAATGTTGTCACTTTAAGAGATATCTATACAAAATTTGGTTAAGGGGTCTTAACAAACATTCTTAGAGTTAAAGCAACTTTTATAAATATTCATATAAATGATTGATTCAAAAATCATAATATAAAATTTGATTAATACGAATGAGCTAGTTTAGTAGAAGTAAGGCAGTATCCTTATTAGTCAATTCCTATAGCCTAAGGAGATCCATCAAAAGGTACACAAGAAAATGTTAAATCCGATTACTCTTAAATACAATACTAACTACTGCAAAAGCCAATATCTTTAATTTATAATGAACAATCATAATAATATTAAGAAGATAAGTCTAGTTATAATTTAAATATTTTTTATATAATTAAATACTTTTATATGACTAATTTATTTGTACACACAATCCTTATTATGTATTTCCCTTTTTATTAAAATTAAAATAATTATATATACAAATAGAAATAAATTTTACTATTGACTACAGGTTGATGTTAGATACTAATTGGCAAGTATTATTTTAATCTAAGCAGGCTGGATAATTTTAAAAGCAAGACATAGAATTTTCGGTATTTAAGGGAGCGCAAGATTGATCTATTAATTTAGAAAGGGAATTTTAATTAGACCCAAGAGGAATACAGGTTATCCCATCAAAACATTCGCTATGATATTTGATAAAAATATTTGAGAAATAATTCAATAAATATTTTAATTTCCTTTTAAATCAATGAGTAAATAAATAAAATAAAATTTACTTCTCACTGCAAATTACACCTTAAGATAATCTATGAGCGTTTTTAATTTATTTTAAATCTAAAACACAATCTCCTGCCTTAGAAATTCCCTGTACAACATAATTAAATGATATGTAAATTAAAAAATAATTTTTTTTTTTTTTTAATTTACAATGATTTTGATATAAAATTAATCTTTGACATCTACGCAGCTTACATGGTATTGATTTACCAATCTACAGTACCCTTTTTTACAAATAGACTTAACATTTGCATTTATATTTTCGCCTCTTACAATACACTAATTATTACTTAGTACTCTTCCCTATATAGAACAATAAAGTTTCAGATAAATTAAATGTAATAAACAATTAGAATATAATTACTGTAACTTAATGAGAAATATAAGGCAAGCAGGTTCTAAAATTTAATTTATCAGTATAACTACAATAATTTTGATTACAACTAACTCCCTTTTCATGAAAGTTGTTTTCAAAAACACATATGCCATCATCAGTCATTCCCTAAATTAAATATTTCTTTTAAATTTTGTATAATCTTAATTTTGAAGAGTTACAGATGCTTTTAATAAATCTACGCAAATTTGAGTTTTTTCTTCAAAGCATTAACTTGATTTAAATAATAGAAATAAAAAATATTTGAAATTATTGCATTTAATTATTAAGATTATTACTCTAATTAGCACTTGATATCTATCTTTATTGTTCTTTTTTAATTAGAGCATTAATACATTTAACTATTTACATTTAAAGCATGTCCTATTACTATTCTGCCATCAATATCAAGACAGTACCCGTCTTTGATGAAATCTAAAGAATCTAATTTTCAAAATATATTTCATTTAAGTAAAAATCAATTAATAGAAGATATTTAATCTACCATTTATTGGCTCTAAGTAATCATAGAGACTTAAGCAGATTTTTGACTTTTTCTATATTGCTATATATTGTGAATTATTCGTAATATTAACGCAGCTTTTTCTATTTTAAGTTTAGCAAACATAACTTAATAAATCAAAACAATAATCAATTTAATCATAGATTTTGGAGTCAATCACGCAAAAGCCATGATTTTTTTCTCTGCCTATAAAGTTTATTCCATCAATATGCTTACATTTTTTATCAATTGAATCGTAGCATTATTATTTTTTACTGCAATAACATTTAATATTTGTAATTATAAAGCTAAATAAGCATAAAATAATGAAGGGATTTTTCATTTCAACTTAGTTATTAATCTTAAAGTTTTTTATAAAAAGTTGTTAGCAAAACAAGGACTATTACTTTTTAACACTCTTTAGCCTATTTATTTTATTGATAAACTAATTTCTTAAATACACTTGTTTTGTTTAATTTTATTTCTCAAATTAAAAGTAAAGAAATTAAAATTTTCTCAAAATTAATTGAAAATGCATATGATAACTAATCAAAAATATACCTTACTTTTAAATGAACTATAAATTGCAGTGAATAAAAAGAAAAAATCTTATCCTATCATAACATAAAGATATCTTAACTTAAAAAAATCTATATTTACTTTTTACCTTCTTCTACTACTTGTAAATTATAAATAAGGAAATTTAATAATTCTGAAAATTCTAAATTATATTAAATATTTTAAATAAAAAAATGATTTTTTTTCTATTTTCTTCAAAATTCATGCCGTTTATTCAAATATTAAAATAAATATTTAAACTGGTTTTAAATGGTTACTTTATTTTTATTTACTAAATTTCTTTTAATTTCTAGATAAATGGGTGTCGAATCACGTCTTTCTTAATATTTGATAATAAAATAAATTAGTCTTAATAGAATGAACTTACTTGATAAAATCTAAATAAATAATTGATTAATATTTTTAAATATTTAAATAAATAAAATAATAAAATCTCAAGTAAAATAATTAATTAAAAAAATAAAAGTGCGTCTTTGAAATATTTTGAAAATAAATTATATTGCTATGATAATAAATTGTATTTTTTAAAGAAAAAAAGTGTAAAGTTCTCTTTTTAAATATATGTAACCAATAATCAATTTAAAATAGACAAAATAAATTAAATTACTTACTTCTTAAATTATTTTTAAAGTATTTGAAGTAAAAAAGACTTTTAATATAATTAACTTTAAAAGTTTATTTTGAATAATGGTTTAACAAATATGTCAAACTTGCATGAAAATATATGTTATATCCTATAAACAGTAGAATTAAAAAAAATATTTGTAAAATTAAATGTAAATTTCTTTTATAAAAAAAATAGGCTAGATTTCACTAAATTAATAATGCAACCAATCAAAAAAAGTACTTATTAATTGAGAAATATTTATGATAATAATTAAGAATGCTAGATTAAATACTCTTAATTTGTATTTCATTAAATAAATATATAATTTCTTACAGTAAGAAATACCAATAATTGGCTAAGAAATTTCACACTAAAGAAAATATAATTATAATAGAGGTAAGTAAAGTATAAAATAAATTTCAAATAAAGCTAATACAAATATATAAATATATGTAAATAAATGTTGACAGAATAAATACTAATATTAACAATATAAAATTTTTTAAAAATCAAAAATAGATTTACGATATAATATAAAAATACAAATATTTATTGTAAAGTATCTGGTTGTACTCAGTCCAAATTTGATATAAATTTATATTTAATATACTTTGATTAATTTAAAATTTGCTATTTATTTGTTTTTAAATATTGTATAATTAATTTTATATTAAATTGTTATTGAATTTACAAAAAAAAAAAATAGATGATATAATAGTAGAAATATTTTAAAAAACTACAAGACATAATTTTTTATTATTAGTCATTCTTTAATTTTTTTTTTAATTAAAATAGTTTTAAAGCTCCTCATTAAAATCTCATATAATTTAAAAAATTAATATATTATGAATAAAAGTAAAATATTTATTTGTAATTTTAGTTTACTTTAAGGAAATATGGAGATCTATTTTTTTAAAATAAATAAAATCATTTATTTTCTTTAAATTTTTATTAAATTTTTTAATTTTAATTTTTCATACACTATTAAATTTATTTCATATTTTTTCTTGATTTTTTCCTTCTTAATAATTTCTTTTTCTTCAACTTTTAAAAAGTTCCTATGAATACGGTGATTTAGTTGTATCAAATCTAAGCTCTGCTCTAGCAAAATGTGATAATCTCTCTGATTTGAAACTTAACTTATGGTAGATAAAATTATTTAATATACTATTTTGATATTATTTAATAAAAAATAAATTTAAAGTAACTTAACTCTTGAATTTGTATTCAAATTATAAATTTTTTTTCTCCTTCTTCTTATTTTTTTTAATTTTTAACTTTTTTTGATTCTTGCTTTATATATAATATTTTATTTATTTTTATTTACCTTTAGACAAACTAATTATTTTTTCTACAATATTTAAAAAGTAGCAAATAAATTAGTAAAAGTGGTGTAAAAGATTTAGGATAAGCTTTAGCAAAGTGCCTTAATATCACAAATTTATAAGTTTATTTAGGGTAAATGAGTTTATCTGTTTTAATTGTCATATTTTTAATATATAAATGGATATAAAATTTGATTTATTTTTCATATTATTATTTTTTCAAAATTTAACTTATTTTTTAATGCTTCTTTTTCTGATTAATAATTTTTTATTACTTCTTTTTTTTCTATATTTTCTTCTTTATTTAAATAGTGACAATTAAATTTATGATGAAGGGGTATTTGCCTTATGTTCTGCTTTAGCAAATTGTACTAATCTCTAAAATTTGATAATCGATCTTCGGTAAAAATAGTTGTTTTTTTTTTTTAATTTTCATTTTTTAATTTAAAAATAAATATAAAGCAATAAACTCTGTTTAATTATTTTATCACAAATTCAAATTCTATTTAATTATTATATTAATTTTTTTTAAAACTTAAAAAGTCGCAATTCTCTAAGTAATACATGTGCATCAGCTTTAGGTCTTTAATTAGCAAGATGCACTAATCTCAAAACTTTGAGACTTTACCTTGAGTAAAAACAGTTTTTTTTGTTTTAGATATTACAAATTTCTCTATCAAAATTTAAATTATTTTTAAAAAAAATAAATTTAAAGGTTTAATGGGATAGAAGACTCACAAATATAAAAAATTAAAAGACCTTTTCTTAAAATTAAAAGATTTGTTTCCATAAATGTATAATTAAAGGAAAGATACTGAATGAATATAATAAAAAAAATGTATTAAATAATAAATAGAATTATTTAATATTTTTATTTTATATTTTATTAAAAGTAATTTAACCTAGAAAAAAGTTTGATGTCTATTTTAATCTTAGTAAATCTCTAAATTCACAACCTAAATAGCAAATTATATTAATAAAATATTAAGTCATTCATTTGAAATATCATTCTATGTTTGAGAACATATTTTGAAGTTACAATTGCTTTTTATGCATTTAACTTAACTGATTTCATTATAAAGATTTATTCTTTTTCCATATTATTTTAATGGGATTTTTGTAAATATTGTTTTCCTACGATTTTTATTGTAAAAATTATTTTAAAGGGTGATTAATTTTTTTTGATGTTTTAGAAAAATATCTAAATTATATATAAGCATTATCTTTAATAAATGAGTTTTTTAATTCAATAATATTTAGTAATATACATTACCTATTTATATGTCATACTTCAAATAAATTACTCATATTACTTTTTTAAAAATATTTATTATTGATCTCAATCAAAATTTAAAAAATTACCAACTTTAAAAATTAAAAAATACAATTATAACACTAAAAAAATACTTTCATTAACACAAATATTTAAAGTTAATGTAAAAAAGAACTTTCTAAAATTAAACCAATTCAAATTAATTAAACAAAGTAACATGAATAAATAGCTGAGTTTTTTAGCATAATAATAGGCAAATTTTTATATCAATTAATACGTTTATTTAAAAGAAAAGGCAAAGTAGAACTTAATAAATAAATATAAATTATTTTTAAATAATGAAGATAGTTTAATTCGATTTATTTTCTTCTGAATTTTACTTTAACTTAGATGGAACGCATTTTAAGAAAGGGACTGTCCATGGTGTGATTTTATCATTAGCATCTATTACTTTGATCCTTTCTTACTTTTTTTACTTACTCCACCTATATTTAAATAACTTAATTGATCCATTATTTAAGTCTCAAAGTTTTATTACAAATAATAGAAAAGAAGTAGAATTGACTTAAGACCTTATAGGGTTTTAATTTACATATAATAATAGTTTATCAATTGATTAATATCAAAACCTATAAAATAAGACATATTTAGTTTATTATCCATATTTTTACTATCAAGATACTGAAAAAAATGTTTATTCTGTAATTAATTTGGATGTTATCTAATGTTCTAGTCCTGATTTAAAAGGTTTTAACTGCATCGATTTTTCTAAAATTAGCAATTACACTCTTGTCAGTGCTAATGCTAATAATATTATGTCAATGGTATATATTAATATCTATGGTTGCTTAGATATAGATAGCATAAAAACAACTATTCCAAATAATTGTGCTTCCTAAAGTGAAATAGATGATGTTATAAATGGTGGTTAGGCTGGTTTAGTACTTTAACTAAAAACTTAATAATATAATACTACTTCTATGCAGATTTAGACAAACTATAGGTTCATATAGACCTTTAGCTTATCAAACTAGTTCATATTAAATACATTAAAGACTTAAATGTAAGAAACTTAAGTAAAAAAGGGTTTATTAATTTAAGGTTAGTAATTTTATTCATCTCCTATCCAATATGACTAAACAACTTTTAGCTTTGATAGGTAAGTTTCTTTATAAACAGGTGTTGGACCTTATTGCCAAGTTACTCTCTTAATGGATGAAATAGTATAATATATAGAGATTTAATATCCTACAATTACACAAATTTTAGCACTTGTTAATAGTGTCAGTTTCATTGTTATGGTTTGTAGAGTAATAGCAAGATTCATTTCTTAAAATTTAATCAAAGAAGACTTTTTTGTTCTCATTCTGAGAAATCTTTTTTAAGATAAATGCTAATAAATACTCTAGCATGAGAATTTAATAAGTAAAAAAGATATTTAAATACAAATATAGAATAGAGAAGAAGAATTTGCTGATGAAATTTCAGAAAATTAAAATAAGATGAATGTGAACCTACCTAATTTTTAATCTAAATTTTTAGATAGGAAATAAAATACAAATTTTTATCTTGATTAAAGTAATAGTTTTTAAAGATAGAAATTATAAGTAGATGATGATAACAAATAAAAAGATAGTATTAAATTTAATGACAGTCTAATATCTTTAACTTCCACAAAGAGCTAATAAACAAAATAAAAAAATTTTATAAATATATAGAAATTTGATAAAAGTGACACAATTTCATATAACCAATCTCAATTCACTCAATAAATAGAAAGTAAAATATTTGGCTTGCAGAAAATAGAAACTCCAAGTTAAAGATAATCTGTGAACAAATCTGAATTACCAAAGAGCAACTTTTTAAAGAAAGATCATTTTAAATGGAAGAAAAATTTTGGTGAAGCTATTTCTCAAAAATTGAAAGTTATGAAAAGTAATGAAATGAAATAAGCCATATAAAAAACCATATTCAAGTATAAGTAAACTATTTTTTGATATTTATTTTTATGAAAAAATATTTTGTAAAATTAGATTCTTCTAAGCTAAAGAATACCTATAGTCTTTATGCTTGAAAGAAAAACAAATGAACAAAATTAAATAGGAAGTATAGAAAAGTCTAAATATATATGAATTGTATAAAGACATAATATTCTTAAAAAAAGCTGTTAGTATTTTACTAAGTACAGATTAAATGGCTGCAATATAATTAATTAGTCTTACTGATAACTTTATTAATATAGATGTGGAAAACAGAGAAAATGAATCATAATACAATTGTAAATTTTTAATATTTAAAATTTTTTTTTTTCATTTCATTTTTATTTTTATAGAGGAAAGAAATAAGCTAAATCACTTTGAAAAGTAGTATTTAATATCATAATCAGAGAATCTATAGATTAATTACATAGAAAGATTCTTAATAAAATGTTAGGATGGTGATGATTTAAGTGAAATTGATTAAAGAATAATTTAATCAATTTCAAAAAAACATTGAATCCTTTCTTGGCTACTACTTTCATGACACAATATTATAAAAATTTATATTAATATTGTAAAATTTTACTTTAGTTAACATTAATTTTACAAAATCAAGACTATTTTTATTTGTGATATGTTTTTGATAATTCCATTTTATAAAACTAGCCATTTACTTAAAACTATATATTATTAAGTTTGAATTTACGACATATAATATGTTTTATGAATAAATATTTTTAAAATGTTAAATTATTTCTTCATTTATTTTAAGTTAATTTAAATATATTTAAATCTATTTCAACTTATCTAAATTTATAGATCAGGATAACCCTAAATTAAATAAAAAAATTATAATTAAAAATAGCCTTTATTATTTTCTCTTTACATCAGTCAAAAGTTTTTTTAAATTGGCAAATAACTAATAAAATGCTAAATAAAAATCCATAATGCTTTACATGAAAAATATAGGGTTTGCTTAGTAAATAATTTTGGGCTGTTAATTAGTAAATTAATAAAGTTAAATATTATTCAAAGATTATTAAAATTATTAATAGAAAGTAGAACTTATTAAATAAATAAGTATATTAAGAAATTGAATAAAATAATGAAAATTAATAAATACGATTTATTCTCTTCTGAGTTTTATTTTAATTTAGATGGTTAGAATTATAAGAAAGGTACGATTTAAGGTGTAATTTTTTCATTTTTATCTATAACTTTGGTCCTTTCTTATTTTGCTTATTTACTTTAGTAATATCTAAATAACATGATTGATCCATAATATAAATCACAAAGTTTTATTACTAATACTATAAAAGAAGTGCCATTAACTGAAGATCTTTTAGCATTTTAATTCAATTATAATAATAGTTTATCCATAGATTAGTATCAAGCAATTTAGAATAAAACATATTTGGTTTATTATCCCTATTTTTATTATTAAGACACAAATAATAATATTTATCAAGTAATAAATTTAGAAGTAGTTTAATGCACTAGTTCTTAACTATTAGGCTACAATTGTATTGATTTTTCTCAGTTAAGCAATTATACACTTATCTTTGATAATCAAAATAGCATTATTTCTTAGATATATTTAAATATATATGGATGTTTAGACTTAGATGAAATTAAAACAACAATTCCGAATAATTGTGCCTCATAAAGTGAAATAGATTCTGTTATTAATGGAGCTTAAGCTGGTTTGGTTTTATGGCTAAAAACATAATAATATAATACTACATCTATGGAGATTTAAACCGACTATAGGTTTTTAGAAAGCTTCAGCTACTCAAATTAATTCATGATGAGCACTATAAAAGCTTAGATGCAAGAAACTCATGTGAAGCAAGGATTAATCATTTAAGGATAGTAATTTTATTCTTCCCCTATTTAATATGGTTAGACAATATATACTTATGATAAGTAATTTTCTTTGTCTACCGGTCTAGGACCATACCTCTAAGTTAATCTTTAGTTAGATGAAATTGTGTAGTTTATATAAATTTAATACCCTGCTATTACCTAAATTTTGGCACTTGTTAATAGTATTAGCTTTGTAGTTATGATTTTTAGAACTATGGCAAGACTTTTATCTTAAAATTTGATTAGAAAAGAATTTTTTGTTCTCATTTTAAGAAACCTTTTTTAAGAAAAGTGCTAGTAAATACTTTAAAAAGAAAATTTAATGGGAGAATGTGATATTTAAGTGATAACTTAAGAAAAAGAAGAAGAGTTTTTAGATGATATTTAAGAAAATTAAAGGAAAGCGAGTTTATTTCTACCTGATTTTTAATATAGATTCTTTTAAAAAAGATAGAAATCATATCTTTAACTAGATAAAAGTAATAGTTTTTAAAAATAAATACTTTAAATAGATGCTCAATATGAATAAAAAAGTAATATTAAGTTAGATAATAGTTTAAATTCCTTAGCAGCAAAAAAAGATAACTAAAATTAATAAAAATTATTTTTAAACCTATCAAATGTCGATAAAGTTGATTTGATTAATAAGAACGAATATTTATCAACATAACAAATAGATAGTAAAATATTGAGCTAGTAATAAAAAGAAAGTTAAGCCTAAAAACAGTTAAAAATTTAGAGCAAATAACAATAATTTTAAAAGAGTAATTTCAAAGATTAATTATAAAAGTAATAAAGTGAAAAGAAAAAAAAAGTTTATGATGCAATTTCTTAAAAATTGTAAGTTATGAAAAGCTTGTCAATTAAATAAGCTATCTAAAATACTATATTTAAATTTAAGTAAAATAATTTAAAATCAAATATTTTTTTATTTTTTTAATTCTTTAAAAAAAGATGCTTTAAAGTTAAAGATTACCTAACTTCTAGAGGTATCAAAGAAAAATAAATGGAGAAAATGTAAAACGAAGTATAGGATTATCAGAATATTAATTCATTGTATTAGGATTTGATATTTTTAAAAAAAGCAATGAGTATGATTCTCAGCTTGGACTAAATGGCTGCTATTTAACTTATTGGTTTAACTGATGATTACATGAATCTAGATTTAAATAGCTAGGATTCTAAGATTATTTACTAATGTATTTTTTTAATTTTGAAAGATGTTATTAAACATTAACAAATTTTTTATTTTATAGAGGAAAGAAAGAAATTAAACCATTTTGAAAAATTTTATACAGTTTTAAAATAATAGTAATTATAAATTGATTATATTGAGAAATTCTTGACAAAATGCTAGGAGTCAGATAATTTAAGTGAAATTGATAAAAGAATACTTTATTCAGTAATAAAAAAAAAATGATCACAAGAGTAAGTTTGGTTTTGTAAAAATTCATTAATAAAAATTTAAGCCATAAAATAAATAATTTTAATAATCATTCAATCAGTTATTCGTTTAATAATAATTATTTGTTTTATATTTATAATGAAATGCTATTTTATAAATTTTTTTCTATTAAAATCCATTTTTTAATTTTAAAAATAACTTTTAACAAATAAAAAAATTTGAACATTAAAAAAGAAAATTAAAATTTAGTTAAAAAATAAATGGTTAACCCATAATAATAGAGGGGTAAGAATTTTTTAATTATCAAAAATGTATACATAAACATATAAAATATTGCTTTTATTTTTTAAAAAAACAGATACTTTTATTATTTAAAAATATATTATCAAATTTATTTATAATTATTGATTAATATTTATACTCATTTATAATTTATGTTTTCGTTTTTTTAAATATTATATTAATAATTATATTGAATAAGGATAAACTATTAAATTTAAAAAGACTATTGTTTATGTATTTATATTTGAAATTTATTGTTTGCCAATCTAGACAATATTAATTATTTAGTTACTGGTATAAATTTTTATTCAATTTTATTATATCTTATTTGCCAGTCAGTATTAATGAATGACTAAATTTTAATTATAATAGACTCAAAAAATTCGTGGCATATAATTTATTTGAAGATAAAGTACTCATTTTATGATTTTGAAAAAGTAATTAAAAAATTAATGATAATTTATTTCTAATTAATTACTTTATGAAGAAGCAAAGTATGATAAATAATTCTTTTAGTTTCTATGGTGAAGAAATGATATTTAATACAAGGAATTTAATCAAAGATTAAAATATATAAAATTTAATCAATAATATAAACATATTTAAAACAAAGTAGAAGTAAATTAAATAGTCAAAAAATTTGATTAAAAGAGATGAAAATGTTTCTATTCGATTTATTTTCTTCTGAATTTTACTTTAATTTAGATGGATCACATTACAAGAAAAGCACACTTTAAGGAGTTGTGTTATCATTAGCATCTATAACTTTGGTAGTTTCTTATTTCGCTTATTTGTTAAATTAATATTTAAACAACTTCATTGATCCGCTATATAAATCATAAAGTTTTATAACTTCTGATAGAAAAGAAATATAACTAACTGATGATCTTGTTGGATTTTAATTTTAATACAACAACAGTTTATCTATTCAATAGTATGAAGTCTAACAAAACAAAACTTATTTGGTTTACTATCCTTTATTTTACTATCAAGACACTATAAACAACATATATTAAATTATTAATTTGACTGTAATTCAATGCACTGCTCCAGAGTTAAAAGGTTATAATTGTATTGACTTTTCACCAATTAGAAATTATACTCTACTCCGCCACAATTCTAATGGTATCATGTCTTAGTTGCAAATTAATATCTATGGTTGTTTAGATTTAGATAGCTTTAAAACAACAACTCCAAGTAATTGTGCTCCATAAAAAGATATTGACGATGTCATAAATGGAGGCTAGGCTGGGTTAAACATTTAACTAAAAACACAACAATATAACACTAGTTCAATGTAAATATAGACAAGCTACAGGTCTTTTTACACTTTCAGTTACTCTAATCAGGTTATAATAAATAATTTAAGGACTTAAATGCAAGAGACTACTGTAAAATAAGGTCTGATTATTTAAGGATAGTAATATTTTTCATCTCCTATTTAGTATGATTAGACTATGTAAAATTTTGATAGGTAATTTTCTTTGCAAACAGGTTTTGGACCATACAATCAAATAACAATTGTATTGGATGAAATTGTATAATAAATTCAAGTTTAATATGCTACAATTACCTAAATTTTAGCACTAGTAAATAGTATCAGTTTTATAATAGTGATTTTTAGAGTTTTTGGAAGATTTTTATCATAAAAACTTATCAAAGAAGACTTTTTTACATTAGTCATGAGTAATTTATTCTAAGATAAGTGCTCATAAATACTTTAGCATCATAATTTATTTAGTAAAAATAAAATATTATTACAAGTTTAAAATTAATAAGAAGAAATTGCTGATGAAATTCATTCTCAATAGGACAAAACCAATTTATTTCTTCCAAATTTTTAATCTTAGTTTTTATCTAAAAAATAAAGCTCTAAATGTTATTTTGATCATATAAATAGCTTTTAAAAATAAAAATATAATGTAGAAGATGAAAAATAATCTAAAGATGAAATCAAAATTAATAGTAGCCCGAATTCTTTTTCTTCTTTTCATAATCAAAAATTCAAATCAAAAAACTTTATTTTTAGTTCAAAAATTGATAAACTTGATTTAATGTCTTAGAAAGATTCTATTGTGACAAAATCAATAGAAAGTAAAGCAAAGATTTTATAAAGCTCTAACAAGCATTTTTTTAGAAATAGCATGATTTACCAAAGCTCAACTTCAAAGTTGAATTAAAAACACAAGAAAAAGACTTTAATAAGTGTCTAGGAAATGCAATTGCTTAAAAATTGAGTATTATGAAAAACAGCGAGATTAAAAAAGTTATTTAAAGCACTATTTTTAAATTTTAGTAAAATTATTTTTACATAAATTAATTTTTACAAATTTTTTTTATTTAAAAGATTTTTCAAATCCTAAGAATTCTTACAATCTAAAGGTGTTGAAAAAAAATAAATGGACAAAATGCGTCAAGAGGTCTAACAAAATCTTAATATAAATGAGCTATATAAGGATGTGATATTTTTAAAAAAAGCTATGAGTATGCTGCTCAGTTTAGATTAAATGGCAAGTATTCAACTTGTAGGTTTGACTGATAATTTTATGAATCTAGATTTATAAAACAAAAATTAAAAGATAAGCTACGACTGTAATTCAAATTAACTTTATAAAACTTAGTATTTAATTAAATCTTTTATAATAAGAGGAGAAAAAAAAACTGAACCATTTTGAAAGACAGTACTCGATATTGCAAAGTGAAAAACTATAAACCTATTATATAGAGAGATTCTTAATCAAATGTTAGGAAAATTGTGATTTGAGTGAAGTTGATTAAAGAATTTTTTCTTCAATAACAAAAAAAAATAATTTAATAAATTATTTTTGATAATATTTCTAATTTTGTTTTAAACTTCTTTTTTTATAAAAATTTTATGCTGGATAATAAAATATTTCTTAAAATTCTTTTGATTTATACAATCAATAATTTTGTATAAAATATCATAATATATTTTATTTTATTAGTTTAAATGATATAATTATTTATTTTTACAATACAAATTTTGGAATTCTAAATTAAAATATTTTTAATTCTTTTATTTGTAATTATTTTAATTTTACAAAACTAAATTTAATACTTTTTAATTCATCCTTCAATTTTGAAAATAAATCTTTTATTTTGAATTAAACTTTCAGGATATATTTGAATTATTTATTTTATTATTAATTTTATATATTCCTTTATTAATTATAAAATGTATTGAATTTCTATTTATAATAAGATTGAATATTGCAAACATATAAAAGGTTTCCACTGAATGTAGAAATAAAACATGACAGTTTCAAAATTTTTATTACTTTAAATATTTATAATTAGATAAAGTTTAATGTTGTTTGTTAATTGTAAGATTTTTCAATTCAAATACAATTTCCATCTATAAACTCAGTTTAATCTAACTGTTTTAATAAAATAAGAAGTCTTCTAGTGCTAGCTAAAATAACTTAATAGAGCATAAAAGAAAGCATAAGCATAAACATACAAGGTACTTATACGGCTAATCTTGTTCCTACACTATTATGACTATTATTATTCATCTCTATAAATCCAGAGACAACGATTATTACAAAACTAAAAATAAAATTTAAGATCGATAATAATAGACTGAACTAAAGTAACTTCGGAAAAGTATATAGTAAGGAAATTAACAAAACTATTGTTTAGAGGACAAATGATAGAACTTGAATCGAATAGGGAATAATTAACTAAGACCATGAAGCAGATTGTTATAGATAAATTTAGTATCCTATACTCAAGCTGATAACAATAAAGGTGAGTAAAATTATTAAGTAATAAAAGTATTTAATAACCATTGATTGTAAAGACTTACAACAAAAAGATATTTTTCCATTTCTAATTGCTTCGCTAGAAATATATCTATTATTGTTAATAATGGATTGAATTACTTTACTTTCCATTTTATCAGTTGATAGCAAATTAAATTATCCAATCAAGTCTAGTTCAGGAAAAACTAAATTTAATTCTGAGTAAATCTACTGTAAGGCATTGATTATTCCACTTACTCCAACTCCGTCATTACCATACTTCCTATTTGATCTTATAGGACTAGAGCAATATATTATTTCAGGGTTAGAGTATTAAACATTAATAAGGTTAGCATCAGTATTTACAACAACTAATGGATTTTGATTATAAAGTTAATTTAATTCTACTTATTGCTAAGGGTATTAATAGCCATAGTTATTGCTATTGCATAAATTACTGTTATAATTTTATTATTAATTTATTGGCTATCCAATCTGATAAGGTTACATACCAATATGATTATTTTATGGTATATCTTACAAATTGTGATACTGATTATAACTATTATTCATTTTTTAATTTACTATTTTTGTTTTTTTTATTTTTAATGGAATTATTATTTTTTTTTAATTAAGGTTTATATATGAAATACTAATTAAAATTATTTGAAGTTAATATATTAATTAGATCAAATCAAAAATTCTTCTAATTGGAATAGACATTTTTTGTAAAGGATAAAACAAAATTATATAATTTTAAAGAATTTATAATAATGTTAGAAATACGAATAATTTTTTATACACTTTTTTTTCCATATTTTATGTCAAAATATAGCAAAATAAATAAACTGAATATGATAAAATGGATTCAATATTTAAAATTTTTAGCTTAGATTCATTTTAAAACATTAATATTTGTTTGTCTATTTGATAAAAATTCAAATTTTAATTTTTTCTTTTGATAATATCTAAAAAATTAATATCAATATGATCATAAATTAATAGACAAATTTTTTTTAAATTAATTAAATTCACAAATACCAGTTTAATACTAACATTAATTTAAATTTACTTTTCTATATAACTAATCAGGCAAATCATTTATCTGATGCATAGAATAGAGAGAATTTACAAAAGGGGTATTTTTAGATCCTTTTGAAAAAGCATCCTCTTGTAAAAAAATAACCTTCAAATTTTACTTGGAGGGTGGCATTTTAATAATTTTTAGCATATTTTTTGGAAATTTTTATTAAATATCTAAAAATGAAAATCTAAAAAATGGCATTATCTGATTCCCATTCCCCTAAATATATTAATATTGACTTCATTAAAAAAAAATTTAATAATTAAAATTTGTCTGTTAGTTAAATTCTTCTTTATACAAATGATTAATTTATTAAACCTGAGAGTTAATTGATATATACTTAAATCTCTAAAAAATTAGTAAAAAGTAGAAGTATTTAGACATACATATAAATAAATTAATAATATAAAAATAAGCTGATTAATCTTGTTATTAATGGGAGTTATTCATTTCGATTTGTTTTCTTCTGAATTTTATTTCAATTTAGATGGGAAGCACTACTAGAAAGGTACTATTTAAGGTGTCTTATTATCATTATTATCGATTACTTTGATCCTATCTTATTTTTTTTACTTATTTTATTAATATCTAAATAATCTTATTGATCCTTCGTTTAGATCCCAAAGTTTTATAACTTCTGATAGGTAAGAGGTACAATTAGATCAAAATTTTATTGGGTTCACTTACAATTATAATAGTAGTCTAACAGTTGATTAATATTAAATTTAAAAAAATAAAACCTACTTAGTTTACTATGCTTATTTTTTTTATTAAGACCCAAGCACCAATTTATTTCAAACAATTAATTTGAATATAACTGAATGCACTAATCCTTAGCTTAAAGACTATAATTGCTTAGATTTTTCTAAAATAAGCAATTATTCTCTTGTCCTTGATAATTCCAATAATATAATATCATAGCTATATATTAATATCTATGGATGTTTAGACATAGATGAAATTAAAACAACGATTCCCAATAATTGTGCAAATTAGAGGGAAATTGATGCTGTTATAAATGGAAATTAAGCTAGCTTAACGCTTCAGCTAAAGACATAACAATATAATGCTAGTTCCTAATAAATTTAGATTAATTATAGATAATTAGAGATATACAGTATATCTAATTAGTTTATTTTGAGTTCTTTTAAGACTTAAAAGCAAGATACAGAAGTTAAGCAAGGATTGCTATTTCAGGAGTAGTAATATTACTCTTTTCCTATTTAATATGATTAGATTCTGTATAATTTTGATAGAAAAACTTCTTTAGAAGCAGGTCTTGGACCATTCAATCAAGTTATTATTCGATTGGATGAAATAGTTTAATTTACTTAAATTTAATATCCTACAATAATTTAAATTTTAGCACTAGTAAATAGCTTTGCAGCAGTAGTTATGGTAACAAGAATTTTAGGTAGACTTTTATCATAAAATTTAATAAAAGAAGATATTTTTATTCTGATTTTGAGAAATTTATTTTAAGAGAAATGCTTGGAAATACTAAAGAATAGTAAATTCATAAGTGAAAAAGGCACTTTAACATAAATTTTGAGAAAATAAAAGGAAGAGGAAGAAAAAGATGAAGTAGTAGCTTTTGATCCTGAAGAAAAGGAAAATAAAACGAATTTACTAGTGCCTAATTTTTAATCTAAATTTTTATAAAAGAGAGAAGCTTCTAATTTTAGCTTCGATAATAGTAGTAGCTTTTAAAAGAATAAATATTCTTTTGATGAAGAAAAAGAGTAAAAAGATCTAAGTAAAATTAATAATAATAATAACCTATTTTCTATCTCACCTAAAATTTTGAATGTGAAATAAAAAAAAACTTTAAATTTAATAAATTTTGAAAAGTTTGATATGATTTCTTAGAATGAGTCATTTACAACAACATAGTAAATTGATAATAGCAGAATGTCTTCTTTGTAGAAAAAATAAAGTATTAGTTAAACTAAATTGCTCAAAAAATAACAGAATTAACCAAAAAATAATTATAAAAATGAGCCTAAAGTGTAAGAAAATAAAGATTTATCTCAAATTATATCTTAAAGATTGAAAGTTATTAAATGTAATTCTATCAAAAAGTTAATACAAAATACTATATTTAAATTCAAGTAAATATTTTTATAATTTGAAAAATTTAAGGATGATTTTATATAAATTTTAATAAAAAAGATGTATCAAAGTCAAAGAATTTCTTCAATCAAAAGGATTGTAGTAAAAATAATTAAATTAGATTCGTTTAGAAGCCTAGAAGAGTATAAATATTTACGAGTTGTACAAGGATATAATTTATTTGAAGAAGGCTGTTAGCATGATACTTAGTTTAGATTAAATGGCTGCTTTATAATTTGTGGGTTTAACAAATGACTTTATGAAACTAGATTTAGACGAAAAAAATTTAAGAATAAGTTATGAAAGTAAATTTAATTTGACAACATTCCATCATTTATTTCAAATTTACCTTAAATAGAAGAGAAGAAAAAACTTAGCCACTTTGAAAAGCAGTATTTGATATAGCAATGCGAAGAATTGTAAATTAGTTAAATTGAGAGCTTTATAGCCAAATGTTAAGAAAATAGTGATTTGACTGAAATTGATTAAAGAATAATTTCATCTATCTATAAAAAATAATTATGATTTTGTTAAATTAGTATACATTAATCAAATTATTTATTTATATTTTTAAAGCTCATTAATTACAAATACTTCATAATAAAAAACTTTAAAAAAGATACTGTAAATGATATTTAATAAAATTGAATATTCTTAATTATTCATATTTCTAAAAATTCCTATATAGTTAAAAAGATTTTTAGGTTTTAAAATAATTCGTATTAACTAATGTTGGTCAATCATGTTGTATATTTTCAAATAAAAGTTTTTTCATTAATTATATTTGATTGGTGTTTGAAATTTCACTTATCTAAAAATTACTTTTAAGCTTATAAACATATGTTCATTTTTACTTTAATATTTTTGCCTATCAAATATTAAATAATAATAGAAATTGATTGAAGAAGTATTATTTTTAAAAATTTGACAATAAATAAAAAATTAAACAGAAATATTAAACACACAGTTGATAGTAAATTAAAAAACTATATTTGAGCATAATACAAATAATTACAAAAAGTAGAAGTAAATAAATAAAAAAGCTAAGGCTATTTAATTATTTTAGAAATGAGAATACTGAATTTGGATCTGTTTTCTTCTGAATTTTATTTTAATCTAGATGGACCCTATTACAAGAAAGGTACTATTTAAGGTGTTTTGCTATCATTTTCATCAGTTATTTTGGTGCTTTCTTACTTTTTTTACTTATTACATCAATATCTAAACAATTTTATTGATCCTTAATTTAGATCTTAAAGTTTTATAAGTTCTTCTAGTCATGGTGTTTAGTTGGATTAAGATTTAATTGGCTTTTTCTATTATTATAACACAAGTCTCACAGTTGAGTAGTATCAAATAATATAAAATAAAACTTATTTGGTTTATTATCCTTACTTCTATTATCAAGATCCAATAAATAATATTTACTAAACAATCAATTTGAATATAACTTAATGCACTAGCCCTTAGCTTTAAGGTTTTAGCTGCATAGACTTTTCACAGATAAGCAACTACACTCTTATTCTTGATAATATTAGTAATATCTTGTCATCACTGTATATTAATGTATATGGTTGCTTAGACTTGGATGATATAAAGACAACGATTCCTGATAATTGTGCAACTTAGAGTGAAATTGACAATGTTATAAATGGAGATGCATCTGGTATATTACTTAAACTGAAAACATAACAATATAACACTACCTCTAAAGAAATATAGACAAATTATAGATCTATGCAGATATACAGTCTATAAAATTAGTTCATTTTAAGTTCTATGAAAACATAAATATAAGATACTGAAGTAAAGTAGGGATTTCTTCTATAATCATAGCAATATTATTCTTCCCCTATCTATTATGAAACTACAATGTACAGCTTTGATAGGAATGTTTCTTTGTAAGCTGGTGTTGGACCATACAATCAAATAAATATTTTTATTGATGAAATAGTCTAATATACTTAAATAAAATATCCTACAATTACTGAGATTTTGGCACTTGTAAATAGCGTAGCCGCAATAATTATGATCATAAGATTTTTAGGTAGAATGGTTTCTTAAAAATTAATAAAAGAAGATTTTTTTATTCTAATTTTAAGAAATTTATTTTAATAGAAATGCTAAGAAATACTTTAAATAAATAATTTGATAAATAAAAGTGGCACTTTAATGTAAGTATAAAGCAGATCGGAAGAAGAAGCTTCTTAAAATAGATAATAAGAGTTAGTTGTTGATGCTGAAGAAAAGGATAACAAAACAAACTTTCTTCTACCGAACTTTGAATCTAAATATTTATAAAAGAGAGTAAATTCTAACTTTAACTTAGATAATAGTAGTTAAAAGAATAGATTATTTTTTGATGAAGAAAAAGATTAAAATGAATAATTTAGAAAAAATAATAGTATGATACAATCTTCTACTTCTCCATCAACAAATTAAGTAAAATTATAAGTACTTGGAAATCTATTAAATTTTGATAAAATTGATACCGTTTTTTAGAATGAGTCTTTGATTACATAGTAAATGGATTGTAGGACATAGACTTTATAGAAAAAAGATAGTGTGAGCTAAATTTAATTCTTGAACAATAAATTAGATAGGCCAAAGAGCAATTTTAAAGATAAGTTAAAAGGGCAAGTAAATAAAAACGATAAAAATCTTTCAGAAGCGATTTCTTAAAAATTGAGTATCATGCAAAGCAAGTCTATAAAAGAATCTTTATAAAATATAATATTTAAATTTAAGTAAAATTTTTATAAATAATTCATTAGTTTTTGATTTATAATTTTAATAAAAAAGATGCTTTAGATCCAAAAATTTCCTACAATCAAAGGGATTAAAGCAAAAATAGTTAGATAAGATACGCGAAGAAGTCTTGAAGAGTTTAAATATTTATGAGTTTTTCAAGGATATTACATTTTTAAAGAAAGCAATTAGTATGTTACTTAGTTCAGATTAAATAGCTGCTTTACAATTTGTTGGTCTAACAGAAGATTTACTTAATCTAGATTTGAAAAGAAAAGATTTAAGAGTTATTTACGAATGTAAAATTTATTAAAAATATTCAATCATTTCAAATTTATCCTTTTTAGAAGAGAAAAAAAAGTTAAACCACTTTGAAAGATAGTATTTGATATTGTAATATGAAGAGTTATAAGTTAATTACATAGAGCGCTTTTTGGTAAAATGTTAAGAAGGCAGTGATTTAACTGAAGTTGATAAAAGAATTATTTCATCAATAAATTAAAATAAATGAATATGTTAAGTTAATAGCAATAAATAGAAGGGAACCTACAAAAGGGAGATATTGCCAAAAAAACTTATTTATATTGTGGATCTCATTCATCAATATCTATTTTATATTTTTTTAAAAATTTTTAAATTAAAATAATTTAAACCTTATTTATAAATAATAAAATTATCATTTTTATATTTTGTATATTAAAATAATATTTAAAATATTTTTATAAATGGTTAGTTTATTTATTTTTAAAATAATTGCTTTATTTAATTATAAAATTAATAAATAATTTTTTATAAAAACCAAAAATATAATTTTTGTTTATTTGTAATTCCATTATTGATATTTAATTTTTAAAATATTTCTAAATTATTTTTTTTAAATTTCTTTAATTTTTAAAATTAATTTCTTACTATTTATTTTTAACGTACTATTCTTTAATAATAAAATTGCAAACTAAGTGTGAATGAATTGATATTATTGGTTAAAACTTTCATTGCAGTTTAAAATGCTTATTATTAATTATCACTATTTTTTTATATTAAAAATGGCTAACTATTTATCTATGCTATCTTACTTTAGTGATAATATTCTTTAAATTAATTAAACTTAAAAGCTAAAGAGTAATAATAATAATAATAATAAATAAATAAATAAATAATTTTTAAAAATTTAGAGAAAAGAAAACTAACTTATTTAATTTGTCTTAATTAAATTAATCACAGAAATATCAATAAAGTAGAAGTAATTATTTATAATTAATGAAAATTTTTTAGCTAGATTTATTTAGTTCTGGCTTTTACTTTAATCTAGATGGATAAAATTACAAGAAAGGTACTGTTTAAGGAGTTGCTTTATCATTAGCGTCTCTGATATTAGTCATTTCTTACTTTATTTATTTACTTGATCAATATATTAACAACCAAATTGAACCATAATTCAGATCTTAAAGTTTTATTACTGATAGTCGAAAAGAAATTTAGCTTGATGAAGACTTGATAGCTTTTCAATTTTATTACAATTCTAGCTTAACAATAAGTTAGTACGAGGCTTTGCAGAATAAAACTTATTTGGTTTTTTAAGCATACTTTTACTATTATGATCCATAAAAAAATATAAACTAAATAATAAATTTAGACATAATATAATGCACAAATGCTTGGCTTTAAGGTTAAAATTGTATAGATTTCTCTTAAATTAGAAACTACTCTCTAATACTTGATAATAATAATAATATTTTTTCCTAGTTATATATAAGTGTCTACGGATGCTTAGATTTAGATAACATAAAAACAGTGATTCCAAATAATTGTGGTTTGTAAAGTGAAATAGATGCTATTATAAATGGGTCTGCATCAGGTGTAAGCATGTCACTAAAAACTCAATAATATAACACAACCTCTATGTAAATTTAGACAAATTATAGGTTTATTTACAGCTATAGTACATCTAGTTAGTACATAATAACTAACTTAAAAGCTTAAATGTAGGAGACTCAAGTAAAGTAGGGCTTGATTATTTAAGAGTAAAAAACTTACACTTCTCCTATTTATTATGATCAAACTATGTTTAGCTTAGATAGGTAACTTTCTTTATAATAAGGTATTGGTCCATACAACTAAATTACAGTTTAAATGGATGAATATGTACAATATGTTAATGTTTAATATGCTACAATTACTTAGATATTAGCGCTGGTTAATAGTGTTGCAACAGTGATAATGGTGTGTAGAGTTTTGGGAATATATGTATCTCAAAAACTAATCAAACAAGACTTTTTTATTCTGATAATGAGAAATCTTTTTTTAGAAAAATGCCAATAAATTCTTCAAAATAATAGCTAAATCACATAGAATTGCTAATTATATATTTAAAGCTAAAGTAAAGAAGGAAATAGTAAAAAAGAACAAAACGAAGAAACAGATGAGTTCACTGATGATATTTCCGAAAATCAAAATAAAAAAGACATAGTTTTACCAAGTTTTTAGTTTAAATATTTACAAAACACATTTAAATCAAAATCATTTTTCAATGATAGCAGTTGCTCATCTAAGTAGAAATAACTATTTGATGATGAATAATAATTTAAAGATGAAGTAAAAGATACCCTTTCTTAATTTTCTCTAAAGAATTAAAGTTAAGTTTGCAATAATATGACAAATTATTCTAAAATAGATAAGATAAACTAAATTGCAAAAAATGAATTTCATCTGGATAAATAAATTAATAATGGAATATTTGATAAGGAGAAATAATTAAATTTTACCTAATAAAAATTCTTTTAGAAATAGATAGACTTTGAAAAAAAAGATCTAAAAGTAGATTTAAAAAGCTTACAAAATAAAAATTAAAAGAATTTTGGTGATGTAATTTCCTAAAAATTAAAGGTAATGAATAGTAGCTAGATGAAGTAGTCTATTTAGAATACAATATTTAATTTCAAGTAAAATTATTCAATACATATTAAATTATTTCCAAAATGTTTTTTTTTTTAAACTAAAAGATGCTTGAAATCTAAATTTTTACAAAGCAAAGGCATTAAATAAAAAGAAATAAAAAAAATCGATTAAGAAGTATAAAAGAATTTAAATATTAATGAGTTTTTTAAAGATATTATATTCTTGAAAAAAGCTGTATGTATGTTGCTTAGCTTAGACTAAATAGCTGCAATTCAACTTGTTAGTCTGACTGATAATTTTACAAACCTAGATTTAGAAGGTAAAGATTCAAAAGTTAACTATGAATGTAAATTTTTATTTATTTTGAAACACTATTCATAATTATTTTAAAACAGTAGAAAAAGTAAAATTAAATCACTTTGAAAAATAGTTTTCAGTATTACAATGTGAGTAATTGTAGTTATATTATATAGAAAAATTTTTAATTAGGTATTAGGAAGGAAATTATTTAAACGATGTAGATAAAAGAATCATTTCTTCTATTTAAAAAAAAGCAAATGAGTGAGTAACTAGCTTATTTTCCTTTACAAAATTAATCATTTTTATTTAAATCGTTTTGTACTAAGAATATGATTAATCTTTATTGTAAACTTTCATATTTTGTTATTTGATTCAAATGGTAAATTTTTAGAATTTAAATTTATTAACAATTTTTTTTTATATCTTATTTAATATTTATAATCATTTTTATTTAAATCGTTTTGTACTAAGAATATGATTAATCTTTATTGTAAACTTTCATATTTTGTTATTTGATTCAAATGGTAAATTTTTAGAATTTAAATTTATTAACAATTTTTTTTTATATCTTATTTAATATTACTAATTAGTTTATTTCATTTGAATCTAATAAAAAATTTATCAAATTTTCCTTATTAACAAGCAAAAATTTAAAAATAAAGTTAGAGATTATGTCTTTAAATTTAATAATTTTAGAATTCAAATATCTCAAATTATATAAAGATAGAAAAACTTATGAATAGAAATTGATTTTAAAATAAAAATTTAACTTTATATTTCATTAAAAAATAAATTCAGAAGCAATATACAATATGAAAAATTCATATTTTTAAATAAATTTTACTCGTTTGTTTTTATAATTTAAATGAATTTGACAAATTCATTTTTGAGGTTTTTTTAAATTATCTCAACAAATTTATTTAATTAAATTAATAATAAAAAATATTATATGATAATAAAAAATTATTATTTAAATTAATTAATTCAAAGTTAAATTACAATTTAAGAAAAGAGAATAAAAATATTATATTAAAGTCAGTTAGATAAATATGTTAAAAATAAATAAATTTTTGTTAAAAGTAATTTTATAAACATTTATAATTATAATTTAAAAGACATTTTATTAATATAAATAAATTAGCATTATAAATTAATAAATATAAGTCAAAAATATAAAGTTAATTATTTATTTATTTATTTAGTTTATCATATAAATATTTTTATTTACTTTTTTTTGGAAAATTTGTGTCTTTAATTATATCAAACCTGCAAGCTAAGGAATAACTCTCAACTTACAAATGAAACTCTTAGTAAAACTATTAAAAACTTGAAAAAATCTAATAAGTATATTAAAAGATGAATGAATTATCTATTTAATTCTTTGAATAATCATGTTTTAATTAGTCTATTTAAAGTGTTTAATCATCAAGTCATAGCATTTTAATTATTCAATTAGAAATCAATTACTATTGAAAGCCTGGTAAGAAAAATCAAAATTAACTATGTTTATTTAATCAATTTGTATTTATGTTAAATTACTTTTAGACTAAGTTTTTATAGCGCCCTGAAATTATTTAAGGAGCTGAGACTTAGTTTTATTAAGAATTTTAAGCATTGTTATCATTATGACTATTTAAAAATTAATTATAGTGATTATTATTGTTGCCAAAAGAAGGTTCGCGAAATGGGATTGATTAATTAGAGAATGAGACAAGGAGCTCTTATCCGATATTATCTTAAGGATTGTTATTGTTATTGCTATTGCTATAGCTCTAGCTACCAAAACCAGCATAAGAATTGTTTTATTCATGAAATGAGGGAGAGTGATTTTGAGAAGAAATATTGATATCCCTAACGTTATTTTGAACAGTATGATTTGCCTTAATATTTAGAGTATTCGTTACAAATCTGCTTTGTTATGGGTCTTCGCTAAAAGAAAAATTGACGTGATCTACATTTTAATTGTTACTTTATTGATTTGGAGATTAAATATTTTTATTCAAGTTATTATTCATTTCTTTGTTTTAAATTGGTTTATTTTATACCTATTCTTACTAGAAATTAAAACCTTTTTGGTTAACTTAATCATTTGTAGTTTTATTTTTCTTCTTTAAGTGACTTGAAAGATCTACAAAATGAGTTATAGGATCCTCTTCATTGTTATCATCCTCTTCTTAAATTTATTATTATCCTTAATGAAGTTGTTATTTGTCTAATTGAGTAAAGAATTTTGGCTGGAATGAAAACTCTTAGTGTAATTTAGGTTAACTTAATTAGTCACTTTGTAAACTGTTTCTTGATGGAGGCTAAATAAAATTGAATGTAATATCGTTTCCCTTTTTACCTAATTGTTGCTATTAATTTTATTACTATAATAGAACTTATTCATTAAATTAGTTTATTTATTACTGCAATGGCAAATAACTTTGCTAAATTTAACTTTGATTTTAAGTTTTCTATATATTATTTTAGTTATTATTTACAATTTTATTTTATGATTAAACATGTTATTACTGTTATTTTAACTACTGTTGGTATTATTATTGCTATTGATACAATTATTATTATTATTATTACTATTGTTAGTAAACTTATTATTATGATTATTATTAGTACATTTATTGTTATTATATCTATTGTTACTATTATTATTCTTGCTATTGCAAAAGTATCTTATTTAATTAATGCTAGTCCTACTTTTATAAAAATTATTACTTAGGAGATTGAGCAGGGAGCTTTTCTATTTATTTTGTTTATGATTAAATCATATGTTAGATAGCTTGGTCCATTTTATTGAGATATTTCTTGTTGTAAATCTAAAATTAAAAAAAAATAAATAAATTAGTCTTTTAAAAAATATTAAATTTATTTACTTATTGAAGAGCTTCTATCATTTACTTTTTGCTGTTGATGTATTCTAAAAATGAGTTAAATGTGTACTTAATGTTTCCATTATCAGCCAAATCTAAAAGAAAATTTTGTAAAACCTCTAATATGTCTGTTTTTAATGAATTAATATCAACATCTAGCACCGAGATCGTTCCATCACCATCACTATCCATTTTTTTAAATATTTTTTGGTATAAGAAATCTTAAAACTCCATTTTCACAGTATTTACTTAATTAATAACAACATCTTATTTTTTTTGCTATTCTTTTGGTTGTTAAGTTGAAGATTTACTATTATCAATAATGTTATTTACAAAGGTTTCATTAGGTTTTTAAATTTCCTTTTATCTTAGCAATCTATTGACAAGCAATTCATTATGATGAGGATGATTAAAGCTAGAACTTTAATCTTAAATTAAATTTTAATTTTATTAAATTATTTTATTTGGAGGAGATAATCTAGCTTGTAGTTCGTTTCCAGCAACTCTTGAACCAGGTAAAATAAAGGGACCGTTTTTAGATACTTTACTTTCTTTTCTGCTGTTATTTTCATAGCTCGGATTATGAATAACAGAGTTGTTTGCTTAAATTTACCCATTTGTTAGTAATTTATGGATTTAAGATATATTATGACCAGAAGGAACGTCAAAAGTTGTATTTTGCTTTTCTAAATTAGAGATATTATTTCTTATTGGAGATTTTTGTATTCTTTCGTTAATATTTTATGTTTAATGTATAGAACTACTGTTTTTTACTCTGCTCTATTTAGAAGAAGCTAAATCAGTAGATTTGTCAAGTTAACTTGTATTTTAGAAGTAATCATTGTAGCAATCATCTCTCTTATGAGATTTATCAGCTAATAAAAATAAATTAATTAATAATGAGTTAAAATAATTAATTTTAAATAAATAAAATTAGTAATCAATTATAATATTTGATAGCAAAAATTAGTGTTAATAAAGATAATTTCATAATTTATGAATTTATATCATTAATCAGAATTAATTAAAAAGCAAGCAATACTTTGAGGTGTTAAGGTTTTTACTTTTTTGTGTCTTTGATAAGACTCTAAGTCTACTTTTACTATGTTGTCTTAATTAGAGGATTTACCTGAACTCTCTTGCAAGTATTTCAATAAGCTGTTATTCTCAAGACTTTCTTGCTAATTTTTTTGATTGAGTTCCTATTGCTTTTGTTAATTGTAGAGTTTTGAGCTTATGTTAAAAGACGATTTATGACTGTTATCTGGAGAACCATTTTGCTTCATTCGGATTGTCAGTGGAACCTTATTTTTATATTTTAAATGCTATTCTTCTTGTCTTCCTTTTTGGTCTCTATCAGTTAAATTACCACTAATTTTTATTGGATCTTCGTTAACATAATTATCTCTTTATGTTTATATATTTCTTGGGCTTCTTTGAGTTTGTGAATATTGATGCTAATCAGTGTGTAATTTCCCACTATTATCTGCTTATGCTTTTTTTATATCTAATAGAGGGACTATTCCCTACACTCTTTTTTAAAGAGAACCTAACAATTGTTGTTATACTTATTAAGAAGTTTTAATACTATTTCTTTAAGAAAGTGGAGAAACTTATTGATGTGATTAATCGAATTTGTTAGAATTTCGGGTGGGAGTTTTTAACACTTTTGTATGCTTTTTTAAAATTTGGTCATCAATTTTATTTGATTTGTTTAAATTGGTGCTACTGTGAAGATTTTAAGCGTTTTAATGAAAATTACTACCCAATATATTTTGATTTACAGAAGAGGACAAGAGAGAATTACTACTCTAAAAATTAGCATTATTTGTGGCATCTATTCTGCTTGTATTTTAACTTATAGAAGAATTCATCTCTTCAATATTAGAAAGTTAAGTAGCGATATTCTTTAAATTTTTTTCTGTGTAGGAAGAAGAGGAAGAAGATGGTTAGCCAGAAGATCCTGATGTTAAAAATTTTTGTTTGCGTTTAGGAGAGAATTTAGTATTTCCAATAACCATTTTTTATTAAGCTTTTGTCAAATTATTTGGTAATAAACCTTCGTTTCGTATTTTTTCTAGTATTTAATATTCGTCTAAGAAATCGTTAGTATTTTCAAAGCTGTTGTTTTAGTGATTACTAACTGCGTGTCTCCTATCTGATTTTAATTAAGAGTTTTTATTGTAAAATTAAGAAGTAGTATGTTGAGAAGCCATGGGTGACTGATATCTTTATGATTAAGATCTAGCTCGCTTATCATCCTACTGGTTATTTTAAGAATTCAAATTACTTTAATTATTTATTGCTGATTTTAAATCTTCTCTTGACCTTGCATTTAAATTATTTTTTAGTTCAATAAATTTGTGCCATTTCTCATAATTTTCTTACATTTTTTAGTGTTGCTTTTTATTCTAATTAAGCTGTTAAGCACTTTTATCGTAATTTGTTGAAATATTTTGATATTCCTTTTGGCTTTTTTTAAAATTTTATCCGCCTTCATTCTATACCTTATGAGAATTTCTAGCCTAATAAACTTCTTAGCTGTTTAATGAACTATTACTTTGTATTTACTTTATGTCTTCCTTATTCTTGTGTCTAGATTAACTTGGATTAAAATCAACTGGATTTTTGGAAAAGTAATGATTTTTATATATTTCATAATTATCGTTATCGCTTCCCAATTAATCATCTAAAACTTCTCCCTCTTATTAAAGCAAGCCTTTTTCTACAACATTATTTCTAACTAATCCTTCTTTACTTTTATTATGACTTTTGTTCGTTGATGTAGAAGAAAATTAGTCTAAATTAATTCCCTATGCCTATCCAGGTGAAAGTGGATTATTAAATTAAAGATAGTTTTGCTTTGAAGAAGAATTAGTTGTTTAACTTTAAATATCTTCCTTCTCACTACTCTAAATTGATTATTACTAAGCATCTTATGGTAAAAATTATTCATTTTAATGATTATGCTAGACAGCTTGTCTTTTAGTTTCCTTTGATTATGCTAGGTTTATTTCATGAGTGATATGTCTCACCATGTGCACCACACATTTCTCATCAAGTTCATGCTGCTAACAAAAATTCTTTACAACTTTAATTATATCATCTCCCTAATAAACTCTAATAACGTCTGTTTGACCTTCTCCAATATCTAACTTGACAACTGCTAACAGATTCTTGGCTTGTGATATGCCTTTACTATATTAAGACTATTAGCCTGACTTATTTTATCCAATGTCTTAATTCGCAGACCTCCTTTTATTTTCCCAGCCTTCATATTAAACCTTGTCTTGAGTAATTTAATTTTTCATATTACATATAATTTCCTTTTGTTAATAGCTCAAGCTTGATTTTTTAATTGAATATTTGTTCGTTCTTTCAATTATCGACTTTAGCTTTGATTTTGTTTGTTTCTTTGATTAATTGGTTGATTGAATTATTCATTCAATTAATTTATTATTAATATAAATATATGATATATTCGTTCATTGAAATCATTAAAAATTATTAAATTTAATTCATATTCTTTCTGCTTCATTGTTTTTTGATATTTATTTAACAAATCTAACTAATTTGATTGAAATAAACAATCAAAAAACCTCAAAAACAAACAAACAAACAAAAAAAGCAGTCAAACAAGCAAAACACCTAATTAATACAAATTAATTCTTAAGAAATTTTTGCCTTAATTTTTCATATGAATCGAATATAAATAATTCAGAAATTTAAGATTTACTTTTTCATTAATCATCAAAAAATACTTTGAGTTTTTGCTAAGAACTTCAAATCAATTATCTTGCTACTATAACTCATAATAACTATTATAAAATCTATCAATTTATTTTAAAAAGTTTCTTTATCAAAAATATCAAAAAATTTGAACAAATAGTCATAAATAATTTCATTCTTTTTATATAAGCTATGCAATTTAGAAGATTAAATGAAATACAGTAAGATGCATTTGAGCTTTTAAATCAATTCCAAATCATTAAATGTTATCAGATATTAACAAATCTTAATTATAATTCTTCACTGGAGATATAAAAATAAATAATATTTAGTAAAATGTAAATTTATTTGATTAATTATCCAGTTGAAATCATTGTAAATGATAAATATTAAAAAAAAAGTCTACAAATTGCTTAATATTAATAATAATTTATAAAATTGCAAACAAAAAATAAGCTAGAGAAAAAAAATAATTTGTTTTTGTTAGTAAAATCAATTTTTCGATTTTATTTACTATAGATTTTATAATTAAATTAAAACTAAATAAATAATTGAGCTGAATTATTATTATTATTTAAAGACAAACAAATTCTGTGTGAATTATTTGAAAAATAAAAGAAAGAATTTGAAAATTAAAAAAAAGTAAATAGAGAGGTTGATTTAATGACTGACAGATAATTTGATATACAAATATATATTTATAAAGATAGATTAATTAACATTTTTTCAAATGATTTGTCTATGAATGCATGAAAAAATTAATTAATTATTAAAAATTTATTATCAAATCTTTCTATTTCTTAATTTAATTTCTTAAGAGTGGATTTTTATCAGATTTTCTATCTTAATAATTTCTATTAGACCTTTAACCATATAAAAAATTTTAAATATATGATTATATATTTACTTGTAGAATTAAACTCAAAAAATCAGCAATAAATATTTATAATTTTAATTGATTTAAATATCAATCAATATTGTGACAATAAGTTATTAAGTTTTTATTTTGTATAATACTTTGTTATAAGCTAAATTTGTTAAATATGTTTTTTTACAAAAATTTTAATTGATTCTTTATTAAAATTTAAAATCTTGATTTGGTAAAAAATCATAATATTTTCAGGAAATTAAATTTTAAAAATTTTTTAACTACTATTCTTAACCAAACATATGTTTACTTAAATTAAATACCAGACTAAATTACTCAAGATAGATTATCTGGAGCTCTTCTACAAATTTATTTGTAATACTCTCCTCTGATTTTTTTAATTTAAGCATCAATTTAATTTACTTAAAAATATTAAGGCTACTAGATCTCTTTATTGAGTCTCCAACACCTCAATATCGATATTAGAAGAGATACTATTGATGATTGCTTCAAAATCTAAAGTTTGATAGTTAATATATTCTTCCAAATCCTGGATTCTTTGTCTCGTCAAATTCAGTAATAAAACTCATTTTAAAATTTTCATAATCAATAAAGTAATAGTTTATTAATAATCATAATTTATTTATTTAATTGATAATAATATTCTTTGTAAACTATTAGAACATTTACATTAAAAAACATCAGGCTTAATATAGATTTAAATTTATAAGATTTTTGAATTATTTTTAATTTATAATTTTAATAGAATTTTTATTTTTAGATAATATTATTTGTTTTTAAAAAACATGAATTAGATTTCATTAATTTATAAATAATAAATAAAGTCCTTTATTTTAAGTTAACAATTTTTTCATAATTTAAAAATTTATTTATTTATTTATTATTTTGTTTTTTTAATTTTATTAATATGTTTTATTACTTTTTTCATAAGCAAGAAGAGATCAGATTTAATGAGGATTTTAATGGCTCGCAAATAGAATCTTTTAATAATATAATGTTTACCTCGCTGCTTATAATATTGTTTTTGTGAAATCAAAATTAACACTAAATTGCGGGAAGCATTTTAATAGAGAAAAAAAAATCAAATTTTGAATAACTTTTGTGAATAAATTTGTAAAGATTGTAAATTAACTAAAATAAGTATTGAAAGAGGTTTTCTTTTGAAGGATTATCAGTGCTAGGCCATTCAAAATTTCTGAGGATAAAATTATTTTAGAATCATTCTGGATCAATTTAAAAAAATAGAGTATATGAATTAAAATCAAGCTGATTAGCCAAAGGGATTATAGAGAAAAGTGTATGAAGTTCCAGATTGTCCTATTTGTTTAGATGAACTTGTTTAAGATTTAGCATGCGCTCCATGTGGACATGTATTCCATTAATTATGTATATTCTAAAATTTTGAAAATTCTAGTACGTGTCCATGCTGTAGAAAGAGAATGACCAGGGCAAATATAACTGGTATGAATTATGATTTGAAATGTAATGATGAAGCAGAGGAATAAATTTAAGCTTTTTATAACAGTTTGTCATAAAATGAAAGACAAAATGTTGTAGAAATTATGAATAAATTTGAAAATTAAACCAGGGAGTTTACTTCAGTTAAAAGACATCGAGATGAGTTAGTGGTAATGTGCAGAGAGTAGTAAGATAAAATTCAAAATCTTGAGAAATCTGATAAAGAATTATCTTCTACTTACAAAAAATTAGTAATTAAAGCTGAATAATTGAAATAAAAAGCTGAATTGGAAGAAAATAAAAGAAAAGACTTACAAAGTTTGCATGATAGCGATTTAGAAACTATTTAGGAGCTTAAAAAGAATTTATCTGAGCTAAGGCACATTCAAGTAATATTTATTTATGTATTTTAGTGGGTTATTTAAAGTTATTATTTTAATTGGATAAATAGATATTGAAGGAATAAATGGAACAAGGTGGAAGCAATGAACATAAAGTAATTGAGGATATTAAAAAAAATAAGCCTATTGAAGAACAGGCATAAAAATTTTATGAGATGCTTAGAATGAAGAAAGGAGCTTTTGAAGAACTGTCTTAGGAAAATAAAATGCTTCAAAGCCAAATAAAATAAATGCAACAAGAGATTGAATCTTAAAAGAGCGAAGCTAAGTTTAAAAATAACAAATTAAATGAATAAAATCTTCTTATCTCTCGACTTTAAGAAAAAGTAAAAAGATTATAAGAAGTTATGAATAATTAGAAGAAGTTATTTTAAGATAAATTAACAAATCTTAAATCTCAAATAAACTAAAATTAAAATATATTTATGAGCAGTCATAGTAATAATAACAACAAATAAAGTGGAATGATTAATTTAGATGAAGAAAATAGCAATTTCTCTATTTTTTCTATTGAAGATTAAAAACTGAATAAAAATTCTTCTTCTCTTTCAAGTAATGATCTAGCTTCTATTTAGAATCCATTTTACATTCAAGATTAAAAGAATAAAATGGTCAGTGAGGATGATTAAATTCAGTAAACAAGATAGTACTCTATGAATAACAACAGGGAGAAAAAAGAAACTGCTTTAGAAAGCATGATAAGTTAAAGCTAGGATTCGATTGGTTTTTTAAAGGAAAGCTTGAGTAAAGAAAACAGCAGCAATAACATAAATATCAATGAAGTTGACAATTAAATAAAAAAAAGAACTTTCGAATATAATTTAGAAAATCAATTAAAAAAAACACCAAAATATGAATAAAGTAAATTGTTTTAAACAAATTAATAAGCCTCAGAAGCTCCAGCTTTTCTAAAAAAAACTAGCGGATAAGGTTTATTTGGAATTGCTATGAACAAAAACTCTCTTCTAAACAAAAGCTAATAAACAAAACAAACACAAAACTGTGCTGATTAAAGCACTAATTAAAAAAAGACTTCCATCACTTCAATAAATGACTTCTTTTAAAGAGGGAAGAAAAAATGATTAAATGTAATACACTATTAAAAAATTAAAATATAAATAATAAATAAATAAATGTAAATATGAATTAAATAAAAAATCAAAAAATTAAATTTAGTTAATCTCTTTTTATATAAAATAAATATTAAATTTTAATTATTTAACTCCAAATAAAATAAATGTGTCAAATTTCTTGATTATTTTTATATAAGAAATTATTAATTTAACACTTATTACTTGAAAAATTCGTTATCAATAAGAAAGAAAAAATAAATAAAATTATTTAACTTAAAAATAAGAAAATTTAATAAACTAATTATTCTAAATAAAATATTTAAAGAAAAAAATTCGTTATATTTTACATGAAAAATTTAACAAACATCATAAAACACCTTGATATTTATTAAGAGAAAATAAATATAGAAAAACATTTTGGTTGATATTAGGAATAGGTTTTAAAAGTTCCTCATAATTAATAAATAAGTATATAAATAAATATTAGATAATGATAATTACATTAAGATATTAATGAGATAAAAATAGGAGAAATAATAAGATTGTTTATAATTTCTCCATATAAAATGATAAATAATACTAAGTAAATATAAATAGATAAATACAAAGTTATTAAACGCATTAAAAGTACTTAGAGAAATTAGATTGATATTTTTAATTATAAATAATAAATATATTTAAAGTTTAGTAGAAGTAGAAATTGTTGTTAATATTTTTATTTGTTAATTAATTAATTTTTTTATTAGTTAATTAATACTAGAAAATTTTATTGTTTAGTTTCAATGATTGGCAAATAAATTCGTCTTATGGTTTTGGTCATTTATTTAGCTATTTTCTTCTATTATTTTTTGATTTTCAATTATGTTTTATTGGTTGATGTTTGTAATGTTATTTAGAACTGGCATATTATTTGCTTGTTGAATGCTGTTGTTCAGTCTTTGGATACTTCTTTATACACTTTCTTCTTCGATTTATGAGTTTGGGCTTTTATTTGCAAGCATTTAAGCGTATCTCAACTTAAGCTAGGACATTTTGTCTATTCCTCCATTACTTACAGGAGTAGCCTTAGTCAGAGGAGATTGGTGAATAGTGGTTGTGTTTGAGATAATTTCTATCATTTTGATTATTTACTGGTCTTTAATTGGCTAGTTTTCTAAAACTTTATAGTGTTGCATTAAAACAGGGATGTCTACTGCTTTAGCTATTTAATCAATCATAGTTTTTACTGCTTTAACACCAATATCATCACTTCTTTAATTTTCATGGTTAAATTCAGAGATATATTAATGGAATTTAATGAACAAACTATCCAAGTTAACTTCCTTGATATCATCTCTCAGAACCTTTGCAAGCTTAAGAATACATCTTATTATAATAGCAATATACTTAGAATATTCACTCTTTCTACGATACTATTTAAAATTAAAAAAATTTGAATATTTCATAAATCTTTTAATGATAAATTATAAAATAATCCTTAATTGTTTTAGAATATTCTGAATTGAAAATGTTGAAAATTCAATAATTGAATTAAACCAAAATTAGAATAATTTAATAATAATTTTTTTACAAAGATGAGCAAGTCAAATAATATTTAGAGCATGTTGTTAATTTCTCCATTTTCTAAAACTCTAAGCATCAATGTATTTAATTGCTTAACTGCTTATTAAGAGTTTTTATCTTCTTTGTTTTCATCAGCTTATATGAGCTCAGTTAAGATTGTTTCAGCAACATTTTTGGTAGAAGCGGAGGAGATAGAGCAGAAGAACTACTTGGTATTGGTGATTTTAATGAAAAGATTCAAGAAAGAATTGAAAAATTCATATTGGATTTCCTTTTATTTAAGCTCTATCATACAAGTGCTCAAATACTTAGTAATTTCTAATGTAATTAAATCACTATGTTTAATCATGATTTATATTTTTTCTGGATTCTAAAATGCTTCATTCAAAAAATGAACTGTGTAGAGCTTTAAATTTATATCTTTATTTCCAAGTTTATAGAGATTTTGTTTTATCTCCAAGAAACCTTAATCTTCGCCTATTTCGTTGGTTTTATTTTCTTCTATTTATAATAAAAAAATTATAATTTTTAAAATTTTAGCTAGTTGATTACGTTTAATACTTTAGAATGAGTTGCTTTATAACTAGAATCCGTAAGCCTTCATGACATGATCACCATAAGTATTCAATAAAGCAGTAACTATATCTTAGTTTTATGCAATAGCCTCAATTTTACTAAGTGTTCCTAACTCGTTGCTTAGCTCAGAAGTAAAAAGTCCACTATTCAGAACCAATATAATTAATTCACAAAAACTACTGTTAACTTAAAGACGATTGACCCAAAATTTCATAATCTTTGAAGAAGAGCAAATCAATCTCAGTCTTTCATGAGCTGACACTATCAAATTAAGAATTTCACTGCTCTTGCTATGCAATTCCATACATAAATACATGCTTGACAAAATAATATTCAATTCATAATCAGCCAAATAGTACTATTCACCTTTTAAGCAATCAAATATCTATTCATTAAAAAATGTTTATTTTCAAAGTCAAATTTTTGAGTTATTGAAACTATTTTTAAGAAAAATATTGACAAAATATTTACTTGCTTTTGCATTTCAAGAATGACTTTACAAACCTCAATATTTCTTTATTCCCACAATCTCAAATAAATCCATTTTATTAGAATATCTGATATCTATGAAGCGCTAGATATTTTTTCTTTAACATACTTAGCTGCTTCAATCACACTAGCTGAATTATAAGAAAACATTTTCATTCTCAACTCATTAGGAATTCCAACTTATCTAAAGTTCTCTATTAAATCTTCCACTAAATCATCATGAATCGTTTCAAGAGGCCAAGGTCTTTATTCTTCCATGTCAATTCTTTTTTCTTTGAGAGTCTATGTATTTACTATTTTTTATTTAATTAATTACAAAAATTAATAATTAAATCCAAACATTTTATATTAACTAAAAAAGTGAAATTAATTGTTACTTGAGTATATTCTTTAAAAAAATTTTCAAATGTAATAATTTCAAATAATTTTTTATTAAAAAACAAAAATTTTAATTAAAAATGATTAAAAAATACTTTGATAATTGATTAGTAAATAAATATATAATTTAAAATAAACAATTTAGTAATTAATTAAAATTTATGATTTTTTACATTATGGAGGAGCTTGTTGTTGTTGAATATTTCTTGCCTGAATGTTGTTTCTATGTGGATTATAGGCATTTTGGTTGGTGTTATGTTCTATGGGCATTTATCTGTTGACGTAGGGATTGTTTTGTTATGAGTAACTATTCGTATCTTCATTTACTTAATTTGTTTTAACTCCTTGGTCAGGTTTTCCACCTGAGTACTTTTCAAAGATTGATCTTAGCTATTGAACGACTGCTGGCTTGAAATCTTTGACAGAGTCGTAGAAGTGAGAAATAGGGAATACTTATAGAGTAATTTCGAGAATTTGCTCTGCAAGTGTTCTGATTTCTTTCGTTTTATCAGTTAAACGCTAGAGAATCGGGACAGTGAATGATTTAAGATCACTTTTTAAGTAACTTTCTGAGTTTTTAATAATATAATTCATCAACTCGTTTTTAATTTCTAAGCTTTCGTATCCTAAAAATGGAGGGATAAAATTAATTATTTATTCGATTCCAATTAATTCTGCCCATTTCTCAAGTGCATTTTGTGCCTCTGTTCTGACTAAAGCTTGTTTGTCTGATAAATTTTGCATTATTCCTGGTACAAGAGTTTTGGCAAAAACCTTAGCTTCCTTTCCAAGAGCCTCACCAAACTTAGCCACAAAAGAAATAAATTGTCTGACTAAACTTTTGTTGCTTTCAGAAAGGCACTTTTTCAAAGCACTTTTAAAATAAATAATCAATGAAAAAGAATTCAAACAAATATTTAAAAATAAAAATAAATAAAATTGAATTGAATTGAAATGAAGTGCATTTAATTAAAATCAAAGTATTTTACATGACCAATTCAGATATTCCGTTTGAAGATATTTTGTAATTTGCTTATTGCAAAAGAACTTCTAAAATATCTAAACCTTCTTTTTTAGATTGTTGCTTTTGTTCTTGTATTTTTCTAAGAGGTTTTTCTAATTCTTTAGAAATATCCATTCTGGCGTTTGGATTTGAATTTTATATGCTATGAATATTGTCGTTTTCTATTTCCATGGAAGTATTAGCCTTATTTCCATTTTATGTAGATGCAGGCTATAATCCTATTTTCTAAAATTTATTGTTGTTTGTAGAGTTATTGCTTGTACCATTTGCAGCATTTTTTTTTAAGGTTGCTCCACTTGAAGCTGGCTTAGGAGGAGATATTCTGTCACTCATTTATGACCCTAATTGAGAATTATTCATTTCAGAAGACTAAAATGGCTGGACTTAAGAAGCATATTAATCGATCTTAGACATTTTTTATTGATTCAAATTTAATGTGATACTCTAAGTGTAAGAATCTGTGTAGTAACCTTTAAGTTTTCCTACTAATTGAATAGTTTTGTTTCTAACATCTTCTGAGCTGTCATCAAGTAATTTTCTCAATTGTTAAAAGAACAGCTTAAAAGTGTTTTTATATTTTTCATCTTCAATGCAATTAATTAACAAATTTATAGCATTTAATTTAGATCCTGCATTTTTATCATTCAAAGCTTCCTTTAAATCTTCAGTTAATTCATCCAAAGTAATACAGTAAAAATAATTCTTTAAAGTCTTTAATGCTTCATCTACAATAAATTGCTTTTTATCTTTGAATTTTTCAACTATCTATGAACTCAGCAATTTAGCACTCTACGAAAATTGTTTTCTAAGTCCTGATGCTAATAACCCAACAATTTTAATAGCACAAACCTAAATATTGACATTGCTATCATTCAATAATTTCTTACACATCTAAACAATAGGATAGTAATTAGTTGGAGCAAGTTTTGGAACTGAAGCAGCCTTTTATAAAATAAATAAAAAATTAAAATTATAAAAAAACTTAACTCATATTCTAAAAATATTTAAATTATTTTTAATCTAAAATTTAAAAAATAGTTATATTTTTGATTTTATTTCTATTAATTGTAAGTGGAGTTTTTTTAAATAAACAGTAAATTTTAAAAACAATTTTTAAAATAAATGTTTTGATTTAAAAAACCATGAATTTCAATTTATTTTCTATTCATTTCATCTAGTTGTTTTATCGAATAAATGCTAATTTTGTTAATTTTTAAAGTGATAATATAAATCCTTTTTTCTTGCTAGTTTGAATGAATTAAAATATTTTCTTCATTTTAGAGGCTTTTTTATTTGCAATTTTTACAATTTGAAAAATATTATTAGGTTAATTTTGAGATCCTCAATCAACCAATCAAAACTAAATTTAATTAAATTTGATAATAATTCATTTTGATATGAAATATTTATGTAGAATTTCTAAAATTTTATTTGCTCAAATTGCTTTATCACTTAAGTCATATCTCTCATCAAAATAATCAAAATAGATCACATTATATTTTAATTTTTATCTTTCCATTTTTGTGTTAGTTAAGTATTATGATCTTATTAGAATTTCTTTTTATGTTAAATTTATATATTGATACTCTAAGCTATTTAGCAAGTTAAATTCTAATTTAGGTTATAATTTTATTATTACTTTTATTAAGGCATCAAGAAGTTCTTTCTTTTCACTCCATTTTTAAGTTGCAAGGACTTTTTCTGTCCATGCTTCGTTAAATTTAGAAAATATATCTTGGGCTATGGCCATATCATATGCATCAATTTTAGCTCCTGCTTTTCCTTTACCACCTTTGGTTAACTCTTGTTCTTCTTTTAGGGCAGACTCTCTTGTAGGCTTCAAAGGTTCTTCTTCTTTGTATTCTGCATAGAACTTTTCAAGTTCTTCAAGTTACTATCTACTTAACTTATCTGTAAAGATTTTCATTCCTTCTCCCAACCATTTGAATGCTTCTTTAAAAAATGTCATACATGCTGCTTTGACACCTGAGATAGTTACTTCAGATAATTTCTAAATTTCTGGAAGGAACTGCTTGAGATAATCTAACTTTCTTGCACCGAATCTCTTTAAAATTTCTAAAACGGCTTAAATGGAACAGCACTGAACCTGATGGAAAAAATGAAAAAATAATGTTTTCAATTATTTAAAACTCTGTTTAAAATATTTTCAAATTACTTTTTGATTTTTGTGAGGAAAACATATCTTAAGGGAGTTTAAAACATCATCCTTTTGTCCTTTTTCTATGAAAATTGAAAATATTTCGTAAATAATGTCTGTTATATTTTGCTTTCCCTATGACAAAGCCTTTTCAACAGTAAGTTTAAGGAATTCTTAAGGCTCAGAAAGAGATGACAAAGATTCCATTTTCTCGCACCAAATCTAAATTGCTTGAAGACCCTTTTCCAAACAAGCAGGGTTGGAATCACTAACAAATTTAGAAAACATTGATGTATATTCACTAAAAACTGCGTCATTTACATCCTCCGTTTTCTTAAACAACTCTATTAATTCCTCAATTGCTTCTTTTCTATTTTTAAAGACAGTACTCTTAATTCTTGTTTGAAGAGGTAGCTTTTCCTATGTCTCTTCTTTTTTTGCATTAGGATCATAACCTATTAAAAATAATAAATACAACCTTAGGATTACCAGCAAAAAACTCAAAAGCAATATTCTATCTTTCTGAATTGTTTATTTAAGCAAAGCTAATATTGCAAAATAGTTAATTTATTACCTGGAGGATACTCATCTAGCACAAATTTAGTGCCTCCAATTGGCTTATCTTCGAACTCCATCAAACAATCTTAAATAATTGAAATCCTAATTCTTGCTTTTCTTTAATTATTAACTTGATAATTGATTGATTTATTTATTTAATTTTTGACTAACTATTAATTCTGCTAACATCAAAAAATTTAATTTTGCAGCGAGAAACAATAAGCAGATAAAAAATAAAGCAAGCAAGCAACAAGTAAAAATTAATTTGATTTGCATGCAAAATCAAACTAATTTCAAAATCACAAATATTAATAAAAAACAAACCAAAAGAGACCAAAATTTTGAAATTTTTTTAAATTTTTGATTTTTATATTTCTAAGCACAATTTTCGCGGGTGTCTAATTATTAATTTAACAAGAATTTATTAGACAAGCAAAATAAATGTAAATATTATTCTTAAGCTTATTCTAAAATCTAATAGAGGAAAATCTTACATAAAATAGAATAAAAGTTATTATTTATTTATCTAACTATTAATTCCCTAAAATAAATATATTTAATATAATCTTTTGATATGTTTATCAACAAATTTTCAAGTCAAATTTTAAATTAATTATTCTAATTAGCATAATTAAATTAAAAGTAGCAAACTGTGAATAAATATTTAATTTAAATTGCTTTAAATTCTCTCTTCAATAGATTTCATATAAATCTAATTTTTAATTTTTATTGATTCAAAAAGAGGTATTTTTAAATCTTCATTTTTAACCAATTAATTATTTTACATCTAATATTGAAATAATATTCAAATAGCATTAAATTTAGAAAGTAGTTAGATATATTATTAATAGTAAGAGAAAATAGAAATTTAATTAAAATAGTTTTTAAACAAATACTATTGATACTATTGTTTCAAGTAGTTAAAATATTGAAAACAAATTCACCACAATAATATTTTAAACTTTCTATAAATGTTAAAAATGAATTTTTTTTAATTTTTATAATATTTATTTTATCATTTTTTAATTTTACTCTCATTGAATAAGGCATTGAATAAATTCTTATCTAAGGTATTAATATACTGTATTTACTCATATATTAAGAACTACCCTAGGCTTTAAAATACCTAAAAATTAACTTATTTAAAAATGAAAAAATTTAAATTTGTATTTTTCAAAATTATTTTGAATTCAAGAGAATTTAGAGTATAAAAATAAATAAAGTTAATATTAATTTATAATAAATTTTACAAATTTATTTTTAAAAAAACATCAACTAAGAATTCAATTTTTTTATAAATACAAATGCATAATTTAAACTTAGAATGCTGAGATGAGTAACAACTAAACATAAAATATAAGAAAATAATTTAAAATTTTTAAATTGAAAGCAAATAAATAAATATAAATTAGTTAATTAGCTGGTTAGTTAAGCAAATATTTATTTAAAATTTTTATAAGTTAATTATTATTGAAAAAAATTAAAATATTTGATTAAGGATGTATTTAGTTTATCAAATTTATTAAGCCTTATGAAAACAAATCTGTGTCCCTCTTTAAGACCAGTAAACCTGAGGAAGTGTGCTTTTGAAGAAGAAATAAATCTTCAGGTGAGAATATTTTAAGGTTTTCTAGATGTTGTTGCTAATTACTGGTAGACGTATAAAATGAATGATATTATTTTCTGTTTCATCTATATTTTCCTCATCTTCTTCTTCTACTTAATTATTCTATTGATTTAACTGAATTTCTTGGACTGTAACATTTTAAATCTTGTAATTAGTTTAGAATCTTCTTGTTGGTGATTATATACCAAACCCTTCCTTCTAATTACCACCTCCACCACCTCTTCCAATAACATTTTAACCTTAATTCTTCTATTTTTTAGGCAATAGGGAATCATTTAAAAACTCCTTTTCATATTATTTGTAATTATTTGAAAATTCCTATTATTATTCTATGTATCTATTTTCTAAATCGTGATGAACTTAATCCATAAATTCAATAGGAATATATATCTCATCATCCTTATTCAATAAATAAATAAATTAATTAATTAAAAATATAAATAAAAGACAAACATTTTAAGTAGTTTAAATCCAAATTTAATTGATTTAACGTTTAAATAATTTATTTTTATTTAAAAATTAAAATTATTATTTTGAAAAATAAAGAGCTTTTTAAATTAAGTTAAATATTTATTTTTAGTAATAAAAATAATAAAATAAATACATATTTAGTATCAGTCCTCAAAACCACCTTAATGATAGAATAAGTAAGTTCTTACTCAAATTCATAAAGGCTCTCAGGCTGTAAATAATCATTTATTGGATTAAGAGAAGCTGCTTTAAGCATTATTCCTCTTATACAAATACCTTCTTCAGGATTCTGCCTTACTGGTGGTCTCTTTAGTTTGCAAAGTTATATTTTAAGCATATGTATAGGTACCTAAAATAAAATTATGTTAAGTTAGCTAATAAAAGTAAAAATCATATTTACATTTAATTTTTTTGATTCATCATAAAGCAAGGAATAAATTAAACAAAAAGGATCAAACATTTTAAACAAGCTCAGCGAAGGGAATAATTCACAATTTCTCCAAACAACAATTTCATAAATATGTTCGTACTTTATCAAAATCTGCTTCAAAAAATCAATTAAGTTGCTTTGAGTTGGCAAAAGGGAGAAGAATTCCCATTACCTTGGCACGGCATTTTTCTTTATCTATGAAATCAAGGAAGAAATTCTTTCATTGGATTAGTTGTATTAATTTTATTAGAGATACCCAATCATGTTTTTAATATCATTTCTTATGCAATTTACAATCTATTTTTTATTTTAAAAATAAATTCATTTATATTTTATTAATTTAATATATTAAAAAAATCTAAGTACTCAAATCTCATTTATTTAATTTTTTTATTTATCAATAAGATACAAAAAATTTAATTTTAATCAAAAAAATTTATTTTATTTTTTATTAGTTTAAGTTTTTAAAACAAATTTTGTTTAGAAACACTATTATTTTATCTAGACAAACAAGAAAGCAAATTATTTAATAAAATAATTTTAAAATTCTGATAAAATATGGAATAACCAAATTTTTACTCTATTGCAGGTGAAAACTTCGTTCATCAAGACTAAATTTGTGAAATCGTTATTTAGTAAAATATTTCTAAGCTTATAATTATGAATTTTAGAGTATTCAATATTATGACTGTGCCTTGGCTTTTCTTTAAGGTTCTTGTGCATTTATGAAAATGTTTTCAAAACATCTTTTTATGCATTCATTTATTATTGCTATAAAAATATTTATTTAACTTAAATTATTAGTGTTTAAAAATATTTATTTATTTACTTTTTTCTTTACAGGAAGATAGTCTTTGATTCTATCGTATAAACAGGTTTTATTAAATTAATTCTTAATTTTTAGTGCTTAAGGATTGGGAACTAACTAAGTCTATTAGTGGATCATTTAATCTAATTTATTAGTTGGAGAAAAATTGTTAATTTAGTTCTAAATCTATATATATTGTTGGGCATTTGGTGTTCTCACTATTTCTGGAGAAGCTAGAATCGAACTTCTACCTGACGAGCTTTTTTTAATTAATTTTAATTCTGTTAGACTCATTAAAGGACTAAGTTTCATTTTTAATTTTAACTCTTCAGTTGTTTAAATTAATTTTTCCTTCTCTTGAATTTAGTCTTCCTGTTATTCCATTTAATTGTTATAGATAGACACATCACTATTTCTCTTACCTTGTACAATATGATTTAAAATAGAAACTCCAAATCTTTTTTATTTGAATGATGGTCTTCTACTGTTGCTTTAAGAATTTAAAGTATTGTTAATAAATTGTTCAGATGAATTCATGTAGCTTTAACGTAGGGAAGATCTTTTTGTTTAAAATATGCTTTTTCTTTATGCCCTACTTAGATTATCATCCATATTATTTTCATGTTTTATGGATTCTCCATCATCAGGAGAGCTTAAGCCAGTCATAGAGCTCTCTAATTTCAGTAACTTTAATGAAATTTCTCCTTATTCAAATAACTAATCTATGCTTTATACTGTATTAAAAAAATTTTATTTATATTAATCTAATTTTTCAATAATTTAAAATAATTAATTTATTATTAATTAATTCTTTTGATTTTTTATTAACTCAGAGAAAATTTGCTAAATTAATAAATGGATTAAAAATTGAAATTATTTATCAAAAATTTTTTATGGTGCTTTTAATTAATTAAATATTCGAGGTAATTTTACATAGGTTGATTAATTCTTCATGCTCTTTTGCTTTTTGATTGAAATTGATAATGTTAATTAGAAGTGCATTATCAATAATTGTTTCTTCAGGAGTGTGTTTATTTTTTTGGTTTTACTTGCTAGAGAAATGTTTTTCAATACTTTTCATAGCATGTTTCTTATTTTCTCTTTCCTTTTCTAGAGATTCAGTGTGGTTATTTATGCTGTTTAGCATTTGTTAACTTTGTACAAGCTATTGATTAAATTGTAAATTTTGGCTAAGACCTAAAATTTCTACTGGGTCTTATGATGGGAGATTTAATATATTTAGGAATATCTTTTAAGAAGAAAAGCTTTAAACATCTTTCTTTTAGTATGACATGGTAAAAGTATATATTTCAGGAGTGTATTTAAGTAATGGATAACTTTAGTTATTTAATTGAATTACTCTTTGTTTATCTAATTTGTAACATACAAAATCTTAAAATAGCAACTTTATAATTTATTCATAAGGTGCTTGAGTATTAAAAGGCTCTCTTTCCTTAAAGATAAAGGAAAAGTAGTCAATCATAAATCTAAAAGGACTTGGTTTGTGATAGCCAATAAAATTAAGCAAATCAGTAATCATTTGATAAAAATCATTGTCTGAAGAATACTGGAAATTCAAATTGATAAAATTTGGATTGTTTTTCTGAATAAGTTACTCTCGTTGACGAATTATGCTAAAGACAAATAAGCTATTGAATTTGTTTCTTTCTTCACCGTGTATAATCATATTAATTATTTTCTCGTTCTTTGTTTCTGGTACCACAAAAGAATGCAGGTTTAAGAAACTTTTTTATTGTAAATCACATTATATTTTTTTATTCTTTTCATAAATATTATCCAAGCCTTCTATGTTTTTAAATATTATTGGATTTTCCACTTTTGTTTGATGCCTCCTTAAATAAATCTAATGATGAATCTAGGATGTTTTTTTCTCAATATTGTTTTGATATTATTAAGGTAACTCTTAGCTTTCAATTAGAATTTTCTCTACATTCATCATATGTTGATTTATTTCCTAAATAGATATTTTATCAAATTTATTCATCAAAAAAATTAAAAATGTTATTTTTATCTAAGAAAATTAAATGGGAAAATTCTTTCATTTTCATTAAATTTGTTTGATAGAAACATTTATTTTATTTTTATTAAGTAAAATCCCATTTTTATTTTATTTAATTAAGAATAAAATAAATTTTTTTACGCAGTAGTAGAAGTTTGAGAGATTCTGCTTGATGGCTGAGGGAGTAGCAATATAAGTTTTATGGCTTAGGTTGAAGAGATATTTTAACGGTGAAAGAGAGTCACTATGTTCCAAATATTTGTTGTCTTACTAGCATTTATAAATGATAAATATCTTAAAATCGATGGGAAATTTTTTATTTGCATAGATTTTGCATATAGCATTTACAGATTCAGCTTATATCGATTAGGATACGTATTAAATGCCTTCTATAATAATCCAACAACCCTAAACTACAAGATCAAGAATTTTATCATAAAGATTTTGAAAATTTAATCCATCTAAAGTTATTTTATAGAGCTTTAAGTTATTATTTTAGCTTGGTTACTATTAAGAATGTTTAAGCATTTTAATTTCGATCAACTTAGAAATACTGCTATTCAAATCTTCAGTAAATAGTATTATTGGCCTTTCAAATGAGTTACTTCTGCAAAGTGTTTCAAGATTTTAGGTACTGATCTTGGAGAAATTCGATGAAAAGGACTACAAAAACAAAATTAATATTTTAAAAATTTAATTAAAAAATTTTTACTTATGCGAAAAGGTTTTATAAATAGAAAATAAGATCTTATGGCTTCATACTTTTTACAATCAAACAAGCTTCAACAGGATTTATATTAAGTTAACTTAAGAATGGCGGAATCTTAAACACATTTTAACGATGAGCATAATTAAAATTGGTGTTGTAAATAAACTGTTTTAGAAGAGCTTATTCACTTATAGAAATAGAGAGAGCTTTCTAAAAAGGCAAAAAACTATTGCTTTTATCTAAAATAGCTAAGTAATGATAGAAATTCCTAATTACTCTTTATGGAAGGAAAAGTGTGTCAAATTAAATTTTTTGATTTTCATTTTATTAATTTATTTAAATTTCTTCTTAACTTGAGCTGTTTCTTTACAAATCTTGTTACCATTTTTGTTGTTGCCTTTAAAGTTATTATGGAATTTCTTAAGTCTCTTATTCTTGACTTATTAATCTTATTTATTGCTAAAATCTTATTTTCTCTTTTTAGTTCATTTGACTTTTTATTATAGCTTGAGTAAGCTTTAACTTTCCTCTTATTGCTACAGATTCTATGAGATGTTGGTTTTAAAATGTTTAAATTTCACTGAGGATTTTCTTGTTTACAGCATCCTCAAGTAAACTATAGAATTTATTTTATTTATTATCAACCTTGATATTTTGCTATTGCTTAAGCCTCTCTTATATCCTCTAGTACTCTTAAGAATATTTTAGTCTCTTTATTTCTATATTATTCATTTTTTATTAGCCTTACTAATTAAAATTTCCCATTCGAATGATATCTTTGTATGTAGATAACCCTTAGTTGATAATCATCATTATAAAATTCTAGAAAAATTTATACTATCTGCTTGTACAAGTTATTTCTTCTTTCTCACTTGATTCCTTTTAACCTATATCTTATTTCTAGATCTAAAGAGAAATCTTTTATCAAAAAACAAAAATTTATTTAAAATTCAAAACATAATTGATAGTTTTGTTAATCAGAAAAATATCATGTTTATTGCAATTAAATATTTAAACAACTACCACTTTAAAAAAATTATTTGATTTTTATTAGTAAATTCTAAAAATATATTTTATGATTTCAATAAATGCGATTTGAAAGAATGATCTATTAAATGAAATTTCATTTAAACTAATTTTTCAATATTTTAAAAATAAAATTATTGAAAAGAGTTAGAGATTTTAAAAATTTTGTTAAATTACATGCTCAGATAATATAAATCAATTAATTTAAATTTAAAATTATAGTTGTTAAAAATTTAATAAAATTTCCAATTTGCTTTCTAAAATATTTTTAATAGTAAAATAGAAGTAATTTAAATTAAATGAATAAAAGTTAAAAAATAAATAGATGGCTTTGAAGTGGATGGAATATACTGATTCGAATAGGTTAAAAAAATAATTACAAGTGGTGTATCAAATTGTACGGAGGAATCTTTGTAAAATTTAATGAGCTATTCAATCATTAGATTTTTAGAGTTTCTATTCTTTTTATGCTTGACTTGCTAATCTATTGAAATATTTGATTTATTTTGTTCCTTAAGTAAAGATGCTGAGTTAACTTCGTCATCCACGGTTTTTACTTAGATAACTAATCTTATTTTCTTTTTAACTTTGAACATCTCATTTAGATAATCTTTTTATTTCTTTTTACTTAATTGATTTAAATCATCTTGCTTTTCTTTTAAATCATCTTCTATTGAAATGTTTGTATTATTTTCATTATCTTTTTGCTACTGCTTCTTAATCGATTCTATAAGCTTAAATTCTGTGTTTTAAATATCATATCTGCTATCATCTTAGTTATATGGTATGTGTTAACTTGAATTCATACAAAATATTGATAACTTTGTTTTATTTCCAACAAGTTTTTATTTAATTTTATTGTGAGAATGGCCTTTTTCTTTTTTGTTTTTATTATTTTTTTTACTATCCTCTTATGACATTTCTTCATAAGAGTCTTCAACTAGATTTTAGCTAGAGGATTTTTATGAACTAGGTGAAGATTTACCAGAAGAGACTTAAGAAGATGATTCCTTAGATGAAATAGAAGAAGCAGATGAGGGAGAATTAGAATCCTCTAATGATAGAGATGATGAAAGAGATGACTAAGAAGAAAATGAGTCCTAATCTTCACCAGATAATTTTTATTACTTTTTCACCTTTTATGAATTTTAAGAAGAAGAAGAATATGGTGTTGATGATGATAATGAAGAAGATTGATTTAACTCTTTTTCTTCTTCTTCTTATTCTTCTTCTTTGTGCTCCTTACTTTAGTCTATTACTTTTGAAAATATACTTTTTTGGCTCGGATATTATATTTTTATTAAATCGTCTTTTATCTTATGCAACTTAGGCTAAGCAATTACTGGTGTGTTACCTTCTTAAATTTATATTAAACTTTTAGCATTTTTAGCAGATTTATTGATGTTGTTTGTATTAACCTTAATTTATTTTGAAGTTTGATATTTTTTTGGAATGTCTAGAATCCCCTTTTCAGAAAGTTAATTTAAATAGGCTTGTTCTTCATTTTCTTAAACAATAGATAATTCACCTTCCGATTTTTACTTCCTCAACGATTTTAAGTTTTTCTCAGTTATATCAAACTTATCATTATCTCTTGGTGTACGATATGTCCAATACTTTAAGGTTGGTAAATTGAAAGGAATTTCTATAAAAGCAGATAAATTGTTCATGTATTTAGGTATTTAAAGTTTACATTTAATTCCAAAATAGGAGTTAAACTTACTTTCAGTTGTTTAGTATTTATTTATTATTTTCTTATCATAGAACTCTAAATTTGTATCTTAGTCTTGAGTCTCCCCATCTTCAAAAAGTAATTTAAGTAATATATCATTTACTTATTCAGAGGCTTTCAAATAATTTAATCCTATTTAGTTAAAAAAGTAATTAATAAAATTTAACTTTTTGAAAATATAAAAAAATAAAAATTAATATTTTATTTATAAATCTAAATTATTTATTTAAATATTGCTAATCCTGTAATTAAAATATTTAATTTTTATGATATTAAGCCAATTAATTTTACTCTAAATTTTATAATAATAAGATGAGTAAAATTTAGAAATTAGTTATTTTTGAACCCTCCTTATAGAAGGGTACCTACGGTTTATATATTAAATTATTTTTAAATAAATTTTACCTAAATAAAAATTAAATAAATCTCTATGATCTTCTCTTAGTGAGCAGATGATGGTTTAATAAAAGAAATGAGCATACTGTTTCTTGAAATCATGTATTTTTTCAGTTGTAAAGCTTATATAGTTTCTTCTAAGATTCTAACAAACTTGCTTATTAATCAGAGTAAAATAGCTATCTGAAAATCCATAAACATTTCCAATAATTCCTTAAAGGGAATCAATAGTTTGCTTGATTACATAAATAAATCCAACAAGATCATTGAGCTACTAGCTAAAATACTCTAGATCTTTAACTAAATAGCAGTATCTAATTAGCTCAGAAACATTGTGTTGCTTCTTGCTTGTTTAAAATTAACTGAAGTTGTATCCTTAATTATTAATTTCTATATCAGAGTGGCTCTCATATTCGGTAAAGCTTGTATTATTGTTTTGCTTAGCTTCTACTCTTTTTATATTTTGTTGAGATTTTTAATGAATTCTTGCCATCAAGCTGCTGCCAGCTTATTTAAAAGCACCATTATCTTTCTAAGATCTTTAAGAATGAGACTTTATACTCTAACTGCTCTTAAAATTATTATCTCTTAATGAGATAAGATCATCCTTTGAATTTTCTTATGTTTAAATCTTTCTTTTAACCGTTTATCCAACACAATTTGCCCTTATTTCATAACTTTCATGAGGATAATACGTTTGATCCAAAATCTTCAATTTAAAAAACAATTATTTCTATGTTTTTTTAACCAGACTCTTCAAATTAACAACATATTCATCTAAGTTTAAGCTATTTAAAAGTCCACAGTTTTCTTAGCTTAGATGGATTATAGCGCTTTTCACCTTATCAATTTATTTCGCATCCTTTCAAAAAATAAAAATATAAATTAAATTTCAAAAAATAGTTTTTTCTTTAAAATTAAAAAATTAATTTTATCTTTTAATAAAAAATGTTTAATATTTAAATTTACTTAAGATTGTCTTTAATTTTCTAAGATCTATTCCCTTTTAATGAGCTTAAGCTTTTCTTAATAGTATATTTCATTTATTATAATATCTTTTTGCAAATATCTCCAACTAAATTCTTATTTAATTTAACAGTCAATAACAATACATTTTTCAGATATTTGCTGAACAAGATTAGACTAAAAATAAACTTAGTCTGTGTAAAGAATAATTAAACAAAAGATAGCTTCATTTTGTTATTTTTAGTTTTAATTTGAATTTTGATTATTGGAAATATTTTAAGTTAAAGAGTCTATAAAGACATCGCAGTATTTTTTGTTGATAAGGTTTTTGTATTTTTCTAGAAAAGAGTCTTGGGGATTTACAAGGATCAAAATATTTTAAAGTTAAGTGTTAGAATATTATTGAGATTATTGTTTCTTAAGAATTTGAGAAGCATCTTTTTTCTAGGTTTTATTTCTTTAAAATATTTTTTGAATAGATTCCTCTGCAGTTTGGAAATCATCTTTGAAATAAATAAAGTGAATAATATTTTTTAGTTCTTAGTCTTCTGCAGAATCAGCTTCACGATTCTTCTTAATAAAATATTCTTCTATTACTCCTGAGTAGTCTTTAACAATGATAAAAGGCATTTATTACTAATACTTAATAATAAACTCAATCCATGCAATTTAGTAAATGACAGAATTTGAAACAGAGTAATTTTGTTGAGAAATCATATCATAATAAAACTTCTAGCCTTAGATTGTATAAATAACTAATCTTTTAGCAAAGAAAATGATGTTTTCATCAAGAAAACTAAGCAAATCAAGTCCTTTAAACCTGAACTTCTCTTCTAAGCCACTGAAAAAAGCCAAATACATTGCAACAACCATCACTTATTAGTTAAACACTTGATCATCTATAAATTTTATTTAATATAAATTTAGTATTTATTTTAATAGCAGCAACCAATTTATATATTTTAAACACTTAAAATATTTAATTAATTAAAATTAAAATTCTAATTTAATCCTTCATTTTTAATCTAATTTTCATATTTTTCTATACCTTCTCTCAATAGGCAAAATTAAAAATTGAAGGTAATACGGAATTTAAAGAGCAAAAAATTTAAAATAGATTGATTATATTGAAGAAATATAGTTTTTGAAAAATAAAATAAGAAAATATATTTAATTTATTAAATTGCTAATTTGTTAAATTTAATGGCTTTTTACCAATTGATAACAAAAGTTACTTCATTTTAATTGACTTAAGGACTTTTTATCTGATTTCAGTGAATCTTGCTAATATTTTTTACTAAAATATTTGAAAATCATTTAACTACTTCTCTTCTTGTTAAAAGAAATTTTGCTTGCTCTAAATAAATAAATTGATATTGTTGATTTATTCTTTAATTTTATTTAATTCTTCATTTAGAATAAGAATGCTCTAGTTAATCTATTCTAATTTGGAATTTTACTATTTTACTTACAAAATTTTATCTTCCTCCAGTTTAGATAATATCATCATTTGTAACATGAATTATTTAATATATTAAAATTTTTCTTCATGTTCAAAATAATATTCTTAGTCATTGCTTTAGCTTTAATCATTTGTAGGATTTTATATAAACTAATGTATTTAAGAGATAAGCTTGAGTTTTTCAAATTCAATTGATTTATCAAAGTTAAAATTTGTGTTTTCTACAAACATGTTGTAAGATTTTATTAAAGTTTACTTAATCTGCTTTACATTTACTTTCTTTATGTAAATATCTAAGATTATTTTTTGCTTTTCCTCTTGGTTGAATTTTATATATCTATCAGCAAAAAAATCATCATCGCTAATAATTATCAAGAAAAGAATAAAATAAAAGCTGTCCTCATTCTCATGTTTAACTAAATGCTACCAAATCTCTTACCAAATACTCTCTTCTCTAATTGAATCTATTTATTTATTTATTTGTTTGTTTATTTTTAATTCAAATATTCTGATTTAAATCAATCATTCAAATTTTATTTTGAATAAATTTCTACTTGAAAAGGGGGTTTAAAATAATTAATTAATTAATTTTAATTACAAAAAATCAATGAAAATGAAATGAAAAAACTACTTACTTATATTTTATACAGAGATTTAAAGTTTAGCCCTGAGTAAATCAATTTCTAAACTTTACTTAAAATTTTTAATCAAATTTAAAACTAAAATCTTTTATTCAGCAAGTTAAGATATTTTGGAATTAGTTTCTGCAATTTTTATTTGTGCTTACTCAAGCTATTATTTAGAATCTGTAATTTAGGCTATTGTTTGTTTTTGCTGCTCTAGACGTGCCTCTAACTGCTTTTCTAAAAACTTTTCCTGCTTATTCATAGCTTCATTTATTTCTCTATTTTAATGAATAAATTTAATTTTAATCAAAAATAACAGCAAATTTACTTGTATTGCCCGTCTTGTTTCTTAAAGTTTTCTATAATTTTAGTGAATATGATTTTCAACTAAGTAAATAGTATAAAAACCTTATTTTAGCAAGTATTGTATTAGTTTTCAACATAGATGCTAGATTGGCTTGTAAAAACTTCATGTCTATACAGTGAATTGTATATTTCATATGCTTGTTTAGTCATTTTTATTTTACTTTAATCAAGATAATTTAGACTGTAAGGAGAATATTCATTAATTTTATCGTAAACTGTGGACTCATCAACAGCGTTGATATATTTACTTTAGAAAGAATCTTTTGCTAGGCTTATTGTCAAAAAATTTTAGAAAAATGAGTTCTGAAGAATTTTTTATGACTAGAAGGAATTTATTTTTAAAATATAAATTAGCTTAAATTAAGTTTTAATTTAGTTTTGAATTTTTTGATGAATCAGTTCTAAATTTGTTTGGAAGCATGAAAAAGAAATCAACATATTTTCAAATACTTTATCATCAAATAATTAATGGTATTAACTACTACTAAATAGCATCATGAAGAATTCAAATATTTTGATGAGTTCTTATTGGTTATTGAACTACTTTATGTGGATATAAACTGTATTCTTTTATTTATTCTTAAAATGCTAAGGAATAATTTAGTTAACTAGTTACTAAGTCTCTAATAATGAAGAAATTTCAATAACAGAGTCTCCTTGAATTTATATAATTGAATCTACAACTATTTTTATTTCATCTTCATCGTGATAATGTTTGACTAAAATATTCCAAAATTTCTCATCTTTGTTCATTTGCTTACAAAGACTAAAACTATACATTAGTTAGAGCATTCTCATCACTAAAGTGCTAGAGGTCATACTTAAAATTAATCTTAATCTCTCTTTTAAATTGCTTTTACTGATCAAATCCAAGTAAATGCTTTTCTCTACTTATTTATAATTTTTGCTTGAAACCCTAACAAATGAATTTTAATCATAAGTTTGCATTTCTTCATATTAAAAATCATCCTTATCAATAAGTTTCTTATCAACTAACCCTAGATTATATCTTTTCAATTAAAAAATAAATTCAATCCCTTCCATTCAATTTAATAAAAGAAATATAAAAAAATATCCTCTTTGATGAAATATTCGAAGAGGGAAAAATTTTAAGCTAACTTAAAAAGAGGAATAAACTTTACCTGTTTTTCATTAAATTTTATATAGCGTCATTTTATGAAAACATTTGGAATGGCAAACCAATAAAAAACTAAATAAGATTTTCAGGCAAGTTAAAGAAATCAAATATAAAAGTATCTTCAATAACAAACTGATTCTAAATCTTTGGTTTTTAGTTTGACTTTAATTCTTGTGCAAATAAATTTAAGTGATTAGTGATATCATTTTTATTTTTAATAGAGTTCCTATTATATTGAATTAATTTGAGAAAAATTTATAATTAAATAAAAAATATACTTAGGACTTGTTGCTAATTAAAATAATTTTGTTTTTGTTTGCTCAAAATTATATGAAAATCTAGGTTTTCTTAGTAAGTTTTTCTACTACTAAATCTTAACAGATCCTCTTTTGCTAGAATTTAACGTTAGAATTGGTTTTATCAGTTTTAGTTCTTGGCTATTTGGTGAATTTTTTTTTTCATCATCTGAAACATCTTCTTCGATTTCATGAAGACTGAATTAACTAAATTCTTTTGGTTAATCCACCTACGACTAAATATCAGAGTAAGATTTATCAGTTCCACCGATTTAGAAATTATACGAAGTTCTAGAGTAGAATGATTTAATTGAGCTAGGTTTATAGTCTATTTTTTTATCCATTACATAATCATAGTGTTTAGAGTAGTATTATATTGCTTTATCCAGCTAATTAGAATTAGATTCAAAATTATCACAACATATTGAATTAAAAGTGTAAATTATAGAAGCCATAAACTGTTTCATATTTCCCTGATTATTTTACTCAAAATAGCAAGCATTATTTTGCTCAATAGCTTGCATAAAATGATTTATTGTTAAGTTAACACCGTATCTCTGTTTTATTTAGTAAATTTGATCTGAATTCTTAAAAAGCTACAAAATAAAACACTCTAAACCATACTTTAGGTTTTCCTACATTGATTAGCTATCTATTTTAACATTTTACATTATATTTTTCACCTTAACCTATTTATTTTTATTATAAATTATTTATTTACTTGTTTATAAAAAATTTAAATCTTATATTAAATCTAAACTGACAAATTAAATTATAAATTTTTCCTTTGATAAACTAAAATTTAATTTTTTGTGCTATAAAGTATTTTTAACAAAATTTTATCTTTTTAGTATAAAATGATGATATTGAATTTGTTTATTGTGATTAGTAACAAAAATTTTAAAATAAATAAATATCTTAATGAGAAATATTTTTTAATTTAAGCGATATAATTATTAAAAAACTTTTAAATTATAGAGTTAATTTTATTTAAAATATTAAATTGTATAAAATTCCTCTAATTTTTTTATATTTTTAAGGGAAATTATGTATTTTAAAATATTGTTTTGTAAAATTTTTATAATTGTTTAGTTAATAGGCTAAATTTTAAATTTTTTGTTCATCTTATTAGAAATACTTTTAATAGATATAATTGATTACATTTGCAATAGTTTGAATATCTTATAATGAGAAGTCTTCTAACTAGAGAAAATAGCATTTCTACATAATATAAGAGGGTTTTTGAGTGATTGTATTTTCAAATGATTTAGGAAAATGATAGGAGGAAATTATAGAGTGTGATTAGAAAGTAACAAATTTATTTATTTCTTAGCTGTACCAACCTTAGCTGTCGAGTAGACATTTTAGACTACTAATAGGGTTTAAAATATTTGGATATTTTTCTGATAAATTAAGATCATCAATAAAAATAATATTCTATTTTTTTATTTAGTATTAACAATATTTATTGAATTAAAAATATAAAATTACTTATGGTGGATAATCGCTCTAGTTATTTTAATATTTAAAGGGGATTTTCTTTTCAATAGAGTACTAGAATTTTTAAACAGATAGATTCTCATTTACACTTATTTTAATAATATTGTTATCACTCCTTCTAATAGAATCCTCATACAATTTATTTAAAATTGTTGTCTTTCCTTTGTATGAAGAAGATGCAAGTAAAATTTTCTTTTAAATTATTTAAATTTATGCAAATGTTTTTTTAATATTTTGAATAAAATTATTTACTTGGTTGTAATTTAAAAGAGTTAAAATAGTAAACAAATTTTTTTTTTAGCATTAAAGTTCTAAGAATTTGTTGTTAAATGGTTAACTTAATGTAGACTCTAACTCATTTTGTATGTAGATTTTTAATTATTCCATATTCTATGCTTCAGGATTGAGTCTACATATTTCCCTTGGGTGAATTATATTTGATTTAAATGAATTTTGTAGAACTTAACTGTAAAAGGTAGGCTAAAAAATTAATATATTATAAAATTTTATTAAATAAAATTGATAAGAATTTATTTTACTTTAGCTTGTTACCATTTAACCCATTTCAAATTAATTAAATCAAAGTAATAATCAAACAAGGTAGTTTAATAGTTTTTTATTTCTGCTGTTTCCACTAACCCAAAAGCGAATCTGTCTCTTTTATATATTTTAAATTGCTGTAATTTTCTATAATTTTTAATAGACTTGATTATTTTCTCACTAATCAATTATTTTCTGTCCTCTTAAATAATACTTTCAAGTGTCAAGCAAATGCTTAATATAAATATAGCTTCAACTTACATTTTTTTCCTTTTAAAAAATAAATATTTATTTTAAATCGATTATTATTTTCAAAAATTAAATTTTTTTCAAACAAATAAATTTTTTATATTTATTTTTAAAATACTTAATAAAATAAATAAAATCTGTAAAATAAGTATGAAATTTAATTTGTTATTTACTGAATAACTTTAGTAAAAATAGTTTGATAGAATTGAAATATTTATTTACCTTTCATCATTGATAATATTGTTAGGTTCTATTATGCACTCGTAATTTTCCACTTCTGAATGAGAATTTGAGAGTCTTCTTAACTCTTCAGGATCTTAAATGTTGCAAAGCTCATACTTAGTTAATTCAGAGTTATCAAACAATCCAAGAGCTATTTCTCTTTTTCTAGTTTCATTAAGTAAAGACTCTACTAAACTCAAGAAAGAAAATATAAAATATTTGTTTATATTTGGTATTCCAACAACAGAAACTCCATTTTGGACAGTAAGCATTCCAAGAACATCCTCAAATATATTTGAATAGCATAGATTTAAATATTTTTAGTAAGCATTGAATTTAGGTTGAATAGCGACTAAGTTTTTTAACCATGTCTAAAACTCATCTTTACAAGGAGTAATTGGCTCATACAAGTAAATTAAACTAAAAGTGCTTAAAAATCTTGGAGAAATTCTGCTTAAATCATCTATTTCAACTATGCACTACATTTCATTTGATAAATTATACTTTTCTCCTTCTATAAAGCTAAATCTTTTGATTTTTAAAATTATTTATTTGCCATTAATATTTAAGAAGAGGGAGGGTTAATTTAGGATATGAGAATTTTTAAGTGAGTATTTGTAAATAATATTTAAAAAGTAAAAAATTTAATAGTTTAAAAATAGACCGACTGACCCTCTGTTAAAATTAAAATTAAAATAAAAATAAAAATTTACATTTTAGACTCAATACTTTTTAAGAGCGGTTCTAAATAAGCTATTTGTAGATCTGTTTAGGTAAAACTTCCACAATCAAAAACGATCCAATCCTTAGAAGTTGGTAAGCATTTTTGTTTTGCCTTTTCATTGTTAGAGTGATTAAGTGTATTTGAAACCCATGAATTGAATTCTTCTCTAGTGAATGCAAAATCACGAAGTTCATCCAATATATACTTTTAATTAATCATACTGGAATAGCAAATATTCTTAATTATTAATTCAAATTATTATTTGCTTAAGTTATCGATTGGAATCATATTCACTGAGAACTCTTCTTGAATTATTCTTTGTTAAACAAATGAAACTATCTACAAGAATTTAGTTTTACCACTTCCACATTTTCCTTTATTAAATAAAAAATAATTTATTTTGATGTTAATTTAAAATATTTCATATTACCTCCAATGATAATGTTATTTTTTTAATTAATGAGATGTATAAAATTAGTTGCTATAGATATAAAACTTTCATGCAAATCCATTTGTTTCGATAAAAAGTATTCTTTTATTGGATCTATAATATCTTTATCTTCAACAATGTCAACAACTAACAAAGAACTCTTCTCAGTAAAGAATCTAGGAAACAACTCTTGATAAATTTCAAACATCTACAAAGATAGTATCCCTCCAAAAAATATATCAAGCGAAGCTTTCAAAGCATCTACATAATTGAATTAAATTACATTTATAAAGGTTTATTGACAAAAATATTACCAATTGGAGTTAGATTTTCTTCATCACAACTATCTCTTTAATCTATGATATCGAGAGCCTTTTAGCAAATTTTAATGTAACTATTGTAATTTATCATTTTCACAATATTTTAGTCAAGCATGTTGCTAATTATAATATAAGTAATATTTAAAATATTTTGGATAGTTTATTAATTAATAACCTTGATTTAAAGTCTGTCTAAAAATTAGTAAAGAAAGACTCACAAAAAGTGATCATGAAGTAATTAAATTTAACTGCTAATTCTTAAGGTTTGTTGAAATTCATCAAATAAAAGTAGTCTTTGATAATTACTATAATATCTTACTGAACGAAATTCACTATCCTAAAAGACTCGAGAACTGAGTTAGGGATTTCATTAAATTTAATTCCTTTTTCATCGTTTGAAATGTTAAAGCTACTGATTATTGGTAGCTAATTCATATGGGTTATTTCTATTCCATTTTCAAAATTTATCTTTTTTATATTTTTAAATACAAACAAATTAAGAAAAAGTAAAAAGTTTATTAATTTATTTTACAGTATTTTATCTTTCAATTAAGGCCTTCCTGACAAGAAACACTAAAGAAGAAATGATTGACAACTAATTCAAAGGAGTTAAATCAATATTACAGAAGCAAAGAAGAAATCCTCCTTAAACAGCCCCTGCAATTATATTATAAATTTACTTTATAGGATAGTCTTACTCAATTTAAAAATTGTACATTTGTTTACCAATTTTATTCGCAAACTATTTAATGAGTGTTTCCTTTTATTTTTAAATTTATTATTTAAAATAATTATTTATTTATTTATTTTTTCTAAAATTTTTTATATTTTATTTCATTCATATTTCTACATTAAATAGTTTTTTATTTAAAATATTAATACTCTTTTTGAGATACGAATACTTACTTATCAGTTATTTGTATTTTGAAGAATTTCCAATAAGCAACTACTTTTATGAATAAAGTTAATTTCAAAAATTTTTTTAGAATTTATTTCTTTGAGTCTAACTAAAAAAGGATTTAAAGAATTTAAAAATTTACTTGAATATAAATTTTTTTTTTATTTTCCTTTTTAAACAGTAAGTTTGATATTTAGGTTTAGATTTTTGTAAGTTTCAAGAAATATATTTGGGTATAATTTGTGTGAATTTGTTTAAATTTAAAATAATTTTTTTGAAATAAACTTACTTTTCCAGAGCTTGGTTGAGAGCGAATGAGAGGGGAATAAAGAGTGTAAATAGCTTAGAGAGAGGCAAAGACTATCTTTTGAGAAGTTAATGTTTAGATGAAAAGCTAATCATTTCTTTAGAGTTAATAGCAATATTCTATCTTATAGTTCATAGCTAACAAAATTATGCTAATTTTTTTATTTGTTTTATTATTGTTGATAATCGCATCTAAAAAATCTGATTTCTGGCTTATTTTAGGAAATTTATAATTTTATTTCTTACTTATATCACTTTGATCTAAAACAATTCCTTCCTTTGTTACTTGTTTTATTTGCTTTATTTTAAATTTATCATGCCTATTTTCAATATTAAGCATCTAATCTTCCATAGAAAGACTGCATTCCAAAGAAATTTTTGGATGAGCAAGGTATTCGAAGCAGTTTAAGGAGGTTATTTTTTATTTCTTCATCTAGTATAGTATTTCTATCTGATTTAGAACCTGCAAAATAATTTTCTGTTAAATGATTCTAAGATTTTTTGGGATGTATTGGCTCATTTCTTTTCTCTCTTTTATGAAATCAATAAAGATTTATAAATTTTATTTGATATGAGATTTCATCACGTCTAAATAGTCTATTGGTTATTATGATTAAGATTGCTAAAGTATAAACTAACTTTTCAAAGTATTTGATTAATTTTGCTATTCTTTTTAACCAGATGAATCTTAAACTAGTGATATTATAACAGTAAGATCATGGTAAAAGCACAAATCTAACAATAGCTGGATAGATTAATAAGTTATTTATTTTTTTAAATAAAGCTTAATCAATCCTACAAAATCATAATTCAAATTAAAAACAGCCTACATATTTTAGTAAATATTCTTTTGGACTGTTGTTGTTGAGAATTCCTCAAGCATAATCAATAATTTCATAACAGGATTAAGTTTTTACTCATTCATCTGGTTTATAATTTATTGGTCACACTTTTAATTACTTGGTCTATTATATTTAGGTATTTATATATAATCGCTTGGATGGAAATCTTCATCATTGAAATTCTTGTATTAGTTAACTATTAATCTATTATCGAAATCTTCAATCTCTATCTGCTTAATACCATGAAAGCAATGTTTAACTATCTAAAAAATATTTTTAAGTAAATTTTTATAAATTAAAAGCAAATTAAAAATCTATTTTCATTAAAATTATTTGATTTCATGCAAGTAATTATAAATAAAATTATACAAATAAACGAACAGCTAAGCTTTATGATTTTAAGTGTTTTAGAGAATAATATAGAATAAACATTAGAATTTGTTGAAAAAAATATCAAAAAGAAGATATTATTTTGTCATATCAAATTTTTATTTAAATTTAAAATTCTTAATTGTAAGAAGAAATTATTCAAAAATTTTTAAATAAATATTTATTTTTAAATTGGATTAAAACAAACGTTAAAAGGACTTAATTAAAAATATTTTTAGAGAAGCAAAAACAAAAATTACATATTGAATTAATTCTGTGTTATGAGTGGATTGTAAAATTTGAATAATTTAGTTGTCTGAGAGCATATAAAATTTAGGGCTTTTAGTTCTGACTTAGCTGATAAACTGATTCTGAAACAAAAGGAGATTGTTTCCTAGCTCTTTGAGTTGTATTATTTATTCTAGCTTTTGTTATGAAATTACCAGCTCCTATTATAATTAGAAAATATTCATTTAGATTAAGGATTTACTTTTAGCTGAATAAAAAATACATGTTCATCATCTGCAGTTACTCTTTGGAAGTGCATCTTTACATTCTATAATTTATTTCTATTATTATTTATTTATTTATTTATTTATTTTTTATTTAATTTTTAACAAAAAATGTATTTTACTTGTAATCTTCTTTGAATGTTTCGTATTGTTTGCATATGTTTAATGAAGAGGGGCAAATGAAGTCAAAGGAAGAACCAAAAAATGAGCAAACTTTTACCATAATTTCTTGAGTTTAAAGTAATTCTATGAATGATTGAATGAGGGTCTCTATGTTTTTAACAAAAAGATAGGAAAAATCAATTTTGGAAGCTACTAAATGGGTATCTTTGATTATTTTATTGCAGCTAAATTATATGTCATTAAGTTTTTTAATTATATTCTTGCCATTCTAAATATAGTTAGTTGGGAAATCTGGAATCTTGCTAACACCACAAATTGGGATGATTTCTTTTATGATGATATTTTAAATTTTAAGAATATCTTCCTTTATTTAATTTTCATGTTTGGCCTAGTTAAAAAGCTAGTAAATAAACTAAATGTGCTCCTTTACATTTAATTCTCTCAGCTTGTTTATTGTAAGCTTTTCGTATTTTATTTTTAAATTTAAGTGCTTTAAGAACAAATCTTGGTATTCCTAAGTAAACAACTTATCAATTAAAATTACAGTCACTGGAACATACTCTTCGAATTTCTTAATTGATTCCTCGACCTGAGAAATTAGCTGAAGAAAATCAGTGTCTCCAAATTCAAATTTGTTTCCACTTTATTTAGCATTACCTAAATAATATTTTTATATATTAGTAATCTAATTTATTACTTACTCCAAAAATTTATTTGTAATTTCCAAAATTTATTTTATCCGTTTTATAAATTCAAATAATACATGGAAAATTGTAACCAAAGAAAGATAAATGTACAGTAAGTACTCATCTATAATATCAATATTTGTATTTATTGATTAAAAAATAATTTACTTTTTGGAGTTGCAATTTCTTGAATGTAAAATTGTCTTAGCTTTTAGAGTAAAGAACTCCCTTCTCTGCAAGTATTAATTATTTCGTATTTGATTTCTTAGCTCATTTCATTTTAAAACACCTCTTCAAAAATCAAAGAATTCCAATTATCACTAAGTCTAAACCACTTTTCAGTGAATTCCCAAAATTATACATACCTGCTAAACTCATTAAAAGTTCTTTCGAATTCAGTAAAGTCACTCAGCTCATATCCAAGCTAAGTTTCTTATTCATTTATCTACATTCCTTTCATTAGTATTACCTATTCAATATAAATTAGTTTTTAAATTTGTTAAATTTTAATTAAAAACCTTGTATGAGTCTTCAATAATTTTGCAGTTCTTTAAGTTTTGCTCATACTTTGAAAGCTCTAGAGATTGAATGACTACTTTTTACTTTTGATAAATTTCCTTAAATTCCTCAAACAACTCTTGCTTCCTTGTTTCGAAATCTTTGTGGAAAATGTTTCTATTTTTTTCTAATTTTTGTTAAGCCACTTTCTACTCTTAAATAAGAATGTTAATCCATTCTTATGATTCTAAAAGACTTTTAAAATGCTCAATATCATATTCAATATAATTATCTTCAATTACTTAAAAAGCTATTTAAGCTTACCTTGCCTTATATTGACACTCCTTAAACTACTCTTTCAAATTCTTATCAAGCAAGTTATTCATAAGGGAAATATACTTTTCCACACTATAAGGATCTATTCTGAGTTATTTTAAAATTAAATCTTTTTCATCATGCAATTTGCTCAAAAGATTTTCGAATTTCTTAATAATATTTTAAAAATAAATAAAAGTTATTCATTCAAAAAATAAATATTAATTTTTTACAATATTCAAAGCTTTGTCTATTGTTTGTATGTAGAAATTCATCTTTTTTATCAACAATTACTTTATCTCTTTTAAATCTACAGTAAAAATTCCAAGCTAGATTTCATCAGGTATTTTATTTGAAATAAAAATCTTATCCTTTAAAATATTTTATCTTTCTTCTCCCAAAAATTTGATTTGATTACTAAAATAAATAAATAAAAAATTTTAAATAAATAAATAAAAAAAGATGAAAAATTATTTCTACCTGTTTTAAAATATAACAATAAGCTCTTGAAGATAGTCTTTTTCAAACAGATAAAAATCAAACTAATTTATCAATATAAGAAGAGAGTAAACTGGGTAAATATTCCACCTTAAAAAAACTTAAAACTCTTTATCAAAATTTTTATATTCCTATTCTAGCTCTTTTTTCAAATCTTAAAAGTTTTTTCTTGTTAAGCACCCATAGATTTCCTCTAAATTCAAAACCTTATCAATAGGAACTTAAAAGCTTTCATAAAGTTGCTCCTCAATATGTTGTAATTTAGGCTCGATTTAAATTCTCATGTCTATTAAATAAATAAGAAAGTAAAATTAATAATTTCTTTAAATTAATTTTTATTTTTTTAAATCTTTATATAAAAAATAAAGTATTTTTAATATTTTGCTTTATATTTTTAATATAGTTATTCTTTATATAAAAAATATCGCAGACTAAAATCCTATTTGTTTATTTATTTTAAAAATGTTTAATTCCTTTTGATTTTAACTAAAGTAATAGTAAGTTATTTTCAAAAGTTCTATCATTTGGTTTTCTATAAAAAATATCATAATTAATTTTAAAATTTCAAGAAAATGTTTGATTGATTAAATACCTTCAGTTGAGAACCATCCAAGTCTTTTATAAGTTACTTCCTATTTTTTATTAATTTGTTAAATTTTTTAAAAAATAAGAAAAAATTATAATTTTAACTAAAATTATTTAGTAAAAAATTTACTAATTTTAGTTTTATTAATCCTATTTTAATTTAATTAATTGAAGAATTTAATTATTTTATTTACTCTATTTTTGCTCTTCTAAAGAAATGTTTCGTAATTTTTGCATTCTGAGAGATTGAGTCTTAGGATATCATACATGACATAATTCATTTCAAATTCGAATTAAGATTGGTTTTACAGAGTTTATTTGTTTTGCATTTTTTTGAGGCTTTTAATTTTTGACATGTCTTTAAAATTAATTTTAGTATCCTTTTATTTTTGTTTCTTTTATTGCAAGACAGGCTAAGTGAAAAAGCTATGATGTGGTGATCTAGGAGTAGATAAAGGACTTTCTGTTTCATCCTTATTAATGTTTCTTAATATGATTTGCTTATAGGGATTGTTATTGCTTTAGGAGCTGCTTCCTGATTGACTAACATTTGAGCTTCTTTATCTTATAGTCTCTTCTTAAATTTCGTCATTCATGTCATACACATTTTTATCATCAATTCCATCTATTTTATGAATGGATTGACTAAGCTATTTTTGAGAGTAAACTTTATTTCTATTCTTCAGGATATAAGAAATTATATCTTTAATTGGTGGATTTTTTCTGCTTTTTTACAGAAAAGAAAATTTAAGCTTAATAAAGGATTTAACAATACTTTTTTTGTTAATTTGGAAATCTATGTTTCCTCCCAAATACTCATCAAGGCACTTACTTGTTATGTTTTTATAGGTTAAAAATATCATTTTCATATCAAATTTAAATGGAAGTGTGCTTTCTTCTTCGTCTTCATACTATTTTTGTGAATGATTGTCTATCTAATTATAATTTTGAGTATTTTCTTTCAAATTCAACTCAATTTAGGCCTTGCTCCTCTTTTAAAGGATGGAGAGTGGTAATAATAGTTAAAATTCTAAAGAAATATTATTAAGAGGAAGTATTGAATAATAATTCTCAATGAATTCCAAACTTTTCAATAATGATTGAGTGAAACAAAGCTTAAGTGCACCTCTTAAAGCCATATTATAAATAATAGTTTGTTTCTAAGTAAACTCTTTGATTAGCAAATCAAAATTTGGCAACTCCTTTGATGTTTTTACCACATAAATAATATGCTTGCTTTTCTCCTTTAAGAAAGTTTAGCATTTATCGATATTCTTCTCAGCATTATATATAGCCATTTCTATCTTATCGACTTGCTTCATGAATTTCTTTTGGTTATCTTTTTTACATTATAAAGCTATTAACAATTGAACTATACTATAATGAATTTACATTGAAAATAGTTTAATTTAAAATCTTCTGTTTTTTCTTCATCCTTTGTTTGATCTTACAAAAAATTGAACAAATTATAAAATTAAATTTATCCTATAACTTAAAAAGACTCCAGCATAATATTAAGAATATTTTCTTTGCAATCGAGCTCATTAATGGAAGATGATCCATAAATATTACTAAAAATATATCTCTAAGTTTATTTGAAGTATTAATTTATTTCCAAATAATTCTTTTGATACTCAAATTGGCATTAATTTTAATCACTTTTTATTGTTTTAATCTTTTATTCTTAAAATTAATTAATTTATTTATTTTAAATAAAAATAAATATTTTTAGTAAATTAATTACCTTTTTTAACTGTAACGTGTTCCTCAATGATCGCCAAATCTTGTTTCTCTCTCATTCTGCTAAATTTAGCATAAAAACCAGAAAACTGCTTCTCATAAAATTCATCAATAGTTTCAACCTCTCCTAAATAATAAATGAAGCTTTGAACTGAGAATTTATACTCATTTATAATTAATTATTTGATATAATCTTTGTATTCGTTCTAAACAGCTTCACTAAACCCAATTAAACTCTTATTTAATATGCTGTAAAAAAGCTTTTTAGAAATGAGAATGTTTGCGAATTATGAATCTTCCTATAATATATCTATATAAAAATATTATACATACATGTTTAGTATAAAATAATACTAAAAAATAAGTTAAAGTTAAATTTTATAGTAAAATTTATTTATTGTTTAATGATTAAATTAAATATATTACCTTTTATTGATTCTGACTATAATTTTTACTATCTAATTTTACAGGCATCAACTACTCTTTAATTGTAGCTTTGCAAATTTTCAGTATCAATCAGAAGATTTAGCCTGCGTACTTCTTTTGTTTGCAAAGCATTATCAACCCATTATATCTTAAATAATCCAGATTCCTTATTATATTTAGTAATTAAACAAGGTTTCCAAATAATTGAACCATCTTGTTAAACCCACTTAGAAAATCCATTGACCAAAAATCCTATTTCATTTTATAATTTAAAATAAATTAAACTTATCTATTCATTCATTATCTCTATATTAAGTCAAAGAATAAATATTTTAGATATTTTAATTTTTAATTTTATGTTTTTTGATTTTAAATTTATTTTAATTAAAATTTATTCATTTATTTTTGAATAATTAAACAAGAGGACATTTAAAATAAATAAATTTTTTTTAAATAGTTAATTTATAAATCCATTTTTTGTAGATTTTTAGAAATTAATATTTTATTAACTCTTGAATCTGATTTTAATATATTTTTTTCTTTTGTTTTTTCTAAAATAAATTTAGAATTGAAATATAAATTAAAGAAAAAAAATACCTTTTTCTAGCTTATCTTCTAAGTAATGTTCATCAGACTAAAATATATCATACTTAGAGAGAGGTTCTTGATTAAAATTGTTAATATTTTTAATTTTAAGTTTAAAGTATTAGTCTCTCATATTTTCATTATGTTCATCATTAAATTGGGAATTATCGAGCTACCTTTCAAATGAAAAAACATAGTCTTTAATTTAGTACTATGGTTCATTTTTAGAAGATTTAATTTTTTAGAATAAATTTAATGTGCTTAAATCTAAAACTTTATTCTTTTTACTGTAGAATGATGCTTGTGATTAATTACATATAGTGTCATTGTTAATCGATGTATTTGCTTCCTTTTTATTTTTAAGAAAGTTCAAGATGGATTTTTTCTAAATTGAATTCTAATTTTGTTTATTCTAAATGCCAAAAAAATTTGCATTATTTTAAACTGGAATGACTGGCTAAGATATCTCATGATGGTCTTTTAAAATAGAAAAGTCTTTTTAACTTTTGTTCAACATCTATGAGAATGTTATATCATAGCTTTCATTTGTTTTAAGAGCATTTTTATTTGATAAATCCTTTAAATACAGACTTAAATTTGAAATTTTGCTCATTCTATTTTAATTCATAAATAAATTATTTGAAATCGGAGTATAATGAAGTGAAATTCTGCTTTTAGTGCTGTTAAAGCTGTTTCTTTATTCATTTTATTTAATATTCAAAGAATTATTCCTCGATCTCTCAATAATCTAGTCTTCCTTTATTAGTTTATTTATTTAAATAAGTAAATAAATGTCTTTGATTTTATTAGATAATTTTTGAGTTACTTCAGATTGATTTTTTTTTTGTACATTTGGAAATAGCTCAGCATATTTGGAAGATTTATTTGAAATTATTGAATTTTCTGTGACTTTGCTTGTTGCGTTCATGATAGAGTTCTAAAAATATTTTTTTAAAATGTAGTGTTTATATTGGGAAAAAACTTAACATTATTACTGTCTGCAATTCACTAATTCTCATAGACTCCTCTAATTTACTCTTATTTAAGTAAGAATAGCCTAATTTTATAGCCTTTGGAGATCTTCTTTTCTAATTTATAAATGTAAGCGTATTTAAATAAATACAATTTCAATCTTTAAAACAAAATTAAAATAATTTCCATCCAAAAAAGTTATTTTAATAAACTAATAATCATTTTTGAGTGTTCGATTTATTTTGCTTGCATGAGATTCTAAAGTGAATGAATGATATTTTTTACTTAAACTTTTAATTCTCCTAGATGTACTTTCCTCCTAATCCCATTGCTGTTAGTGATAAAATCATCTATTGCCTTTAGACTTTCCAAGGGGTAATTCTCTCTAATCTTAGCAACATTATCAATTTATTCCTAGCTTGAATATCTCTTATCACTAGACTAGTTCAAGATAAATTTAGCTTTTCTACTTATTATTGATTATTAATTTTCAAACGCAGAGAAATCTAAATGGGATTAATCTCCCTAATTAACGCTCTAGTTAAACAAACTGAAAAGGGACCTTGAAAATTCTCCTTCTTTAGAATTCATTCTAGTAAAATTTATAAAAATATAGATAAAAATGAGGTGTAAGATAGCTTTTAAAGACGCTTTGTTGTCTAAATATATAACTATCTATCTGTTATTCTATTTAATCTAAAAATTGTAAAAAGATTAGTAAATCTAGATAGAACCTATTTGATTAATTATTAAATTTTCTAATTGATTTACATTCAAATCAATATTCATATTGATCATTTAATTTACTTATAAACCAATTAAACCTATATAATCCATATTAATTTATTAATTAGTAGAACTTAACCTTTATTTTATTTTCTCAAACAAGATAATAATTAAATTATCAACATTTTTGAATAAATATTTTTAAACAAAAATTTTAAGTAAATCATTTAGAAAAATATTTTATTTATTTATCCTTTAAAATATTAATTTTTAATATATTTAATTCAAATATAAATATAAACATTATCAGAGTGTTATAAATTATTTTACAAAATATCTTTATTTAAGCATTTATTTCAAAATGTATTTAGAAAGCAAAAAATAATTAATTTAAAACAGTTAATGAATTAGCAAGCAAAAACAATGAATTAATTTTTTTGTAGATTTTTTACAAACTATAATTTAAATTAAATGAAAAAATGAAATCAATCAAATTAATAAATGCGAAAACTCTAAAATAAGTTAAAAATTATATTTGTGGAATAAATTATGCTATATTCACTGAGTTCTGCTATTGTTATCAAAATTTCTTTTAGTTATTTAAGTTAGTTCATTTTAATATTAAACAAAAAAACAAACAACAAACAATAACTGACAAGATTACAATAATTTATATTTTATAAGCTGAAGTAGAATTTGCTAAAACTACTTGAAGAAATATATTTTATCATCTTAAAAAATATAAGAATATTCAGTTTAATTGCTTAAAGGATGTTTTGCTCATTAACATCAAGCATAAGCTAAAATTTAGAATTTATGTGATGATCAAAGTATTGAAAAGACTATTAATAGAGCTATTAGTGACACTTATTTGATTTGTGATAGTGTTGTAGATGGCAACAATACTTGCAGCTAATTATATGAGCTATTATCCCCGTAAGTGTTGGAAAGACAAGGTAGCTTAATCACATAAAGACTTTGCTGATCATCTATATCAAGCACAAACTAAAATTTAGCACCTTCATACAATTATCCAGTAGAACTATTTATGTCTGAAACATAGGTGTATTATCCAACTGTGCTAGTAAGATCTTAGTCCCCATTCGATCCGATAACTAAGATAGTTAGTTGGTTATTATAGCAATTTTAAGGTGAATATCCTTAAGCTTTTCCCTAAAATTGGATAGCTTTTTACCCCTTAAAAGTTGTTAATGTTGGTGTAATTGTTTAGTTATAAAAAAAACAACATGCTCCCTCTAGTTAAAGGCATACATCAAATCCATCCTGCTAAGGTTAGAACTCAGTAAGCCAACCTTAAACAGATATTCTGTATTTAAGATTGTAAATTTTAATATCTACGTCTGCAAGCACTTTGCTTGCTAACTAAAAAAAGACAAAAATGCTAAACAAAAGTTTACTCATTTATTTATTTATAATTATTTTTTCAAACTAATTTAAATTATATATTAACAAATTAGATTCAATTCTTCTACTATCAATTTAAGTATAGTGACTTTGCTGATTTAAAATATGCAAATCACTTTTAATACAAATAAAATAATTGATTTAATGCTTTAATATTCTATGTTTCTAAATTTATTATTTTTGAATAATAGAAATTAATCATAAAAGTATTAATAAATGTATAAATATTTTATTTTAAAATAAAAAATAAATTGATGGAAGAAAGGATTTATTTTTGTAGTTTTAAAAAAAAAACAAATTAAATATTCATGTACCCTTTTTAATTTTGTTACTATAAAAATGTCAGGTTATCGAAAATTCATTTGTAGCTCATCATATTTTTGATAAACTATCACTTTTCATTAATATTTTACAGTTTCTTCAAGGAGGGTGCTATTATGAATTTTTACATTAACAAAGAAATAAATTTTAGTTTCACTTTAAGAATAAAATCAATTTTTTAATAATAAAAACGAATTGGCACCCACACTTAATAAATTAGAATTATCAATTAATAAATAAGATAATATATTTTAAATATAAAATATACTAAATTTTGATTTGAATAATTGATCTATTTATTTTATTTACTCTTAGTAATAACTATTTTTTATTTATTTTCATAATATATTTCTACAGAATTAATTATTATTTGAAATATTTTGAATATTTTAATTAAAAAATGGGGATCATTTCTTGTAGAAAAATAAAAAACGATATTCAATATGATAAGTCATTTGAAGACTTCCAATAAGTTATAAATTTAATAATCAGTCACATTTAAAACATTTTTATTAAAAAAAAAGTTTGTTAACTCTAATTTGAAAGGTCATTAAAGAATCAGTCTTAATTTTAAGTAAAAATTTTTATATTAATTTAAAACTTTATCAAAGTACTTACTTATTTACTTAAATACAAGTAACTTTTCTGATTATCAAATTATAACTTTAAAATATAATTTCTTCAAAATTTTAATTATTGAATTGACTTTGAAAATACATTTTTTAACATTGAGTTTCTTATTATTAAAGTAATTAACAAAAGAAAATTTATTTATTATTTTATAATAAAAGGGATTGTTTATTAAGTTAAGAGAATGTTTCTGAATTAGCTACTGCATTATCTCGCTGCGAAAATCTATCTATTTTAAATATTGATATTTAAGAGTATTTAATCTAACTTCAATATTATTTTTTATAATATGAAAAAATTAAATCTACTAATTTTTAAAAGACAAAAATAAATTGGTCCTGATGAAATATCAAAGATAAGTTAAGGTTTATAACAATGCACTCATCTTTAATCTTTGATAATAGATATAGAGTATATATATTTTTAGCTTATCTTTAGATAATTACAAAAATCTTACTTTAAATTTAAATTTCTTAGTAAAGTTACATATTTTATTCAAATTTATTTCATAATATTTTAGTTAGGATTATTGATTTTTATAATTTAAATTAAAAGTTATTGCTCCGTTGATGATAAAGGATTAAATAATTTGAGTCTTTCTTTAGAAAAATGTACTGCTCTGTCATATTTAAAACTTTTTGTAAGGTAAATTAATTTATATCTTAATTGGTATTTTCGTTTATAGTAAATAATCTTAAATTTAATATTTACAAACTAAGAAATTTAGCTTATTAAATCTTCAATCTAATCTAATATTTAAAAAGGGCTAACCATTTATAACCATAATCAGCTACATCATTAGGTTCTTGTTTGTCCAAACTAAAGAAACTCGAGCATTTAGATCTAAAATTATCGTAATCAATTTTATATATATAAATTACTTATAATAAAACTAATAATTATTTTTTTAAATATTAGTCATAATGCAATTAAAGACGAGGGTCTTGCCAATTTATGTAGCTATTTAAAAGATTGCTCAAATCTTCAAATCTTAACTCTTGGTCTTAGGTATAAAAATACAAATATTGAAATAATTTTTTTAATTAAACAATTTTCTAACTATCTTTGTTTTTTATATTTGAAGATTACAATAATAAAATGATTTAAAATTTTTATATTTTCTTTGTAGTAATATTTTATTTTATTATTTTAAAATGAACTAATTACAAATACAATAAATTATTTTAAAAAGTGGATTGGGCTATACTGAAAATGGAGTTTCATTCTTAGGCTCTGCGCTATAAAACTGCTATCAACTCTAAATTTTAGATATGGATATGAGGTTAAATTACTTTATTTATTTATTTATTTATTTAAATTTCAACTTAAAAGTTACTTAACAATTTTTAATCAAATTTCTCTTTAAAAAATAAATCTAAAACAATATTTTAATTCATAAATTAAAAAATTTATTTAAATAGCAATAATGAAATCAAAGATTTAACTGGATTATGCTTAGGACTATAAAATTGTTCTAATATTTTTCATTTAAAAATGGATCTTAAGTAAAATAATTTACAATTAATTAATTGTTTTTAATTTATTTTTATTACTAAATAATAAAGTGATTCATAAATAGGGTAGTAGGCAGCATAAAGTTTAGGATCTTTAATAGCTAAATTATTAAATCTTTAAAAGTTATCTCTTATACTCGAGTATAAATTATTTTATTTTATAAAATTTTAAATTTAATTATTTTAAGTTAATTAATTCTTGCTTACTTACTAAATTAAAACTTATCATTTTCTTCTAATAAAAAAGGCGAAATTAAATTGGAAATGATGGCTTATCTAATTTAGCATAAAGTATTAGCTAATGCAATAATCTTTCTTATTTATATCTTCATTTGAGGTAAATAACTTTATTTATGTAAAAACATATTTTATTAATTTGAAGAAATGAAATCGATATTATTCTTATTAAACGAAATTTGTCCTTATGTCATTATTTTTCTTAATTTTATTTATTTATTTTTTTTATAAAAACACTTTTGCGTTTTAAATTATTTCTTCAAACAACATTTTGTTTGTTTTGAATTTATTTATGAATAAGTTTTTTATTATTTTAAATATAACAAAAGCAACAACAATATTGGATCTTTAGGGACAACAGCTTTAGGTTAGAATATTTCAAAATGCAAAAATCTGAATGATTTACATCTATTTCTCTCGTAACTAATTAATTACATGAAGTTAATTTTATTCTATAAGTATTTTAATTTATTAATATTATTTTAAAGAGATAATATGGTTAACATGACAGACTTAGCAAATATGTGCTCGGCTTTGGTTGAAGGATCTGCTCTAGAACATTTACATCTTAATTTAAAAAAGTGTTTTAATTTTCATTTTATTATATTTTAAAGATAAATTATTTTTGATAATTTTTTTCTTCTTTAAAAATAAATAGTTGGAATAAATAGTATGTTAGTGAAAATTAGAATGGAATTTTTAAATTAGAAAAAACAACTAAACTGAGAAAGTTTTCTTTTGACTTAAGGTAAAATCAGAAATTTTAAAATAGTTAATATAAAGTAAATTTAATTTTAATGTAAAAAATTCATTTATCGCTGCTAATTTTAGATTACTTTAAAAATAAAATGTTAATTTATTTTATCTAGAAAATATCTTTTATACTCATATAACTAAATTTATTTCATACTTTTCAATTAATTAATTTTTATTTTTAATTCATAGTATTTAATTAATTTTTTATAAATTCATTTTATTTATTATTTCTAAAATAAGTAATTAAGTATTTAGCAAAGAGTTTATCTCAAGCCTTGGTCACTTTTTAATTAATCTTAGCTGTCTTTCTCATCTATCTTTGTTTTTTGAGTAACAAGCATTTTATTAGAATAATTAAATATTTTTATATTTCATTTAATATATTTTAATGTTAGTAAATTTTTATTTTTAATCAAAAATAATTTTTATTATTAATAAATAAAAATTTAGTCTGAATAAGCATAATTAAAAAAATGGCATATGCATGCATGATATATAATTAAAAAATTTTAATTTTGTTTACTAATAAGCTTAAAAACTCAAAAAGCATAAAATTATATTTTGCTTATTGAACAATATTTTTCATTGAAGTTATCGATATTGTTTTACTTACATTTTTAAAAAATTAATTAAGTATATTAAATGAGATATTAAAATGGTATTTATGTGTGAATAGAATATTAATATTTTTTAACTATTTTATTTTCGAGTAATTAAGATTTGCATTTGAAAATAATATAAAGATTTAATTAAATTAAATAAATATTTAAGGTTACAACAAATAATAATTTGAAAGCATTACATATGTTATGTTAGTAAGTATGTAAATAAGAAATTATAAATTAAATTAATTCATTTCCACTCAACATAAAATGAATGTCTAGTTACTTATTTTATTTACATCAAATGTATTTTTAAAAATGTTTAGATATAAATTTTTAGAATTTAATACATTTTATTTATTTTGAACAATTAGTAAATATATTTAATTATGTAATTCAAATAGATTTTAGTATAATTAATTGCTTTTCTAGAATATTATCCATTTAATATTAATATGTTTAGTTTTTTTCTCTTTAGTCAGTTATCAATTTATTTAATTTTTTTACAAAAATTCTTATTTATATTAAGAAGAATTGAAATAAATTTATTTTATTTAAAAATTAATATATTCTACTATAAGTTAGATAGAGGATTTTCTCATAATATTGCTTATAAAGTTTAAAAAAAACATTATTATAGAAAAGATAAATAAAATATAAAAGATTTTGTTTAATTTTACATGCAATATGAAAAAATAAGTGTATTTTGTGAGCAATAATAATAGGTTAAGCAAAATAAATCCATCCCTTTTAAACAATAATAAAAGACAACTAATATTAACCAACTTTATAATAGAGTACCGAGTTTTTAAGCAAAAATAAATATTACAAATTTCTTTAATTTAGTTACAATCACAAATAGTAAACATTTTTATTAAGGTGTAAATTTTTTAGATAGATCGGAAAAATTAAATTGAGTCTAGAGTAAAAATTAAATTTAGACAACAATTAATTTCTTGTTACTTGCTTAAATCTAAATATAGCAAATCACTTATCTATTTTTATCTTAAATTAAATTATCAGTATTTAACATAAACAATAAAAATATCATCTTAATAGAAAGTTTTTTAAAAGTTCTTTTGCAAATAGAAAATCTAACTAAGTAATTAACATCAGAAAACATAGGTCTTCAAATTGATATATTTTTTTTAATATAAGTTTAAAAGTAGATTAATATCTTGTTGTTTTATTAAAATGATATTTTTAGTAAGATAAATTTATTTTTAATCATATTAGAGTAAGTTGCCATACAAATTTACAAAAAGCGAGTTTTATATACCGTGTTTTTACATTTAATAAAATTAAAATTTTAAATATTTTTTGTGAATTTTTTTTCATCCCATTTTGAAAAAATTTTCAAAATTTATTTTTTTCAAAAAAAATGACATGTTATAAGAATATACGGTATCTATTATTTCAAATTTTATATTTTGCGAATTTAAAGCTTTCTAAAAACTCAAAAATAAAGCTGTTTTAAGCTTATTTAGCTGCATTTATTATGTTATTAAGATATATTACATTTCGCCTTTTGTAAATTAAATAGGCATTTCACTCTATTTATTCTACCTTTTTGTGTGTGGTAAATTAAATTAAATTATTTAGTTTTTTAATACTAGGTATATTTATATAAAGCTTTTTTAAATTTCAATTATTAAATCAAACTAAATTCATACTTATTTCCTTAATTAATTTAATACAAACTTGAAATTATTTTAAATGAAAGAATCAAAATGAAAATGTATTTTTTTTAATTAAAGTTAAAAAGTAGATTAATATGTTGTTTAATTATTAAAATGTTATTTTTAGCCAGATAAATGTTATTTTTAATCTTATTATTTATACTATCTTTTTGTATTAAATTTTATTAAATTATTTACTTTTTTAATAGCAAACTAATATAATGAATGCTTTTTGAAATTAAAATTATTAAATCCAACTAAATTCTTATTTATTTCCTTAATTAATTAATTTAATACCAACTTGAAATTATTTTAAATGAAAGAATCAAAATGAAAATATATTTTTTTAAATATAAGTTAAAAAGTAGATTAATATGCTGCTTAATAATTAAAATGATATTTTTAGCCAGATAAATGTTATTTTTAATCTTATTATTTAT